CTAACCCCTCCAAAACTCACAGAAAAACTCGACCATCTGCTGGCGACGCGCTCCCAAAAAATATCGTATCCTCTTCCCTAAAACGATTTATCTTCACAAGACCAAACCTTTTCTTAACTGTCAAGAAACACTAAAAGTACCAGCAAAAATTAAATTACTTCTTCAAAGCATGTTCTTTTCTCGTTTATATTTTTACAAGCTTTCGAAACACCCGGTCTTCGGGAACAACAAATTCAGCCTTGTAAAAACTCAGCAAAATCGTAAAACCACCCTGTCTCCTGAGAAAAATATTACGAGTCCAACTACGAAATAGTGAAAAACACCAACACCTGGTATTTTCTCGTTACCCAACATCTGGGATTCCTCGAAAATATTATCCAACCCTCCCTGTCGAATTTTCGGTTAAAAACCCCTGATTTTTGGGGTGACAGCCCAGTCCGAATTTTGCCGTCGAAGCGTTTCGTTGCGTCGTGAATCTCGTACTTTGCCAGAAATTTTAACCTGCGAAAAACCTGTTGTGCATATTTGCGGTCCGAAAAACTGTTGTGAATATTTCTAGTACCAGCAAAATTAAATTACTTCTCCAAGCATGTTCTCCTCTTGTTTATATTTTTACAAGCCTTCAAAACACCCGGTCTTCGGGAACAACAAATTCAGCCTTGTAAAGTTCAGCAAAATCGTAAAACCACCCTGTCTCCTGGGAAAACATTACTAGCTCAACTGCAAAATAGTGAAAAACACCAGCACCTGGTATTTTTCGTTACCCAACATCTGGGATTCCCTGAAGATATTACCCAACCCTCCCTGTCAATTTTTCCGGTTAAAAACCCCTGATTTTGGTGCCGAAACACACAGTCCGAATTTTGCAGTCAAAGCATTTTGTTGCGTCGTGAATCTCGTACTTTGCCAAAAACTAAAACCTGCAAAAACCTGTTGTGCATATTTGCGGTCCAAAAACTGTTGTGAATATTTCTGTACTTTTGTGTTCTTGCTTGCTGATTTGTCTAACAAAGGCTTGCGCTTTTTTTGGAGAGAATCCCTGGTAGGTTCGCGCACCGGCCAATTGCTGTGTCACATTTTATTCATTCTACTTTTCAGTACTTCTCTGACCACACGTTCAAGTAACCTCAAATACTGTCATATAATTCTGAATCTTTTTTGCTGATCCTATAATTAATTTCAAAACAAGGTGTACGGCTTGAAATATTTCTTCTTGTAAAACCGTACGAGAAACCTGATTTTGAATAAGACTAAATTAAGTGGAAAACAACCCAAGTGAAAAAAGCACAAGAAATATGGTAACATATTTTCCTCTCCCCTCGAAAAATTCAAAAACTGGGGCCAAGATGTCATTGACTCAATATTTCTTAGCCAATTAGATGCTTTGGCTTCATCCCATTTATGATCCAGTACTTTGATAAAGAATTGGAGAGAAAAATTGTTAAAAACCCCTTCTTATTGGCATTTTCATCATCAGTTTGAAGAAATCAGTTGCTTGCAACACATTTGTGTGAGAATTTTGCTGAGAGGCTTTTTGTACTTGTAAGATTTGTCTTCTCAACTCTGTGTACTTCTTTTTTTGTGTTGAGGAAAATTTCTTGAAATATAACTCTTAGCTTTTAATTTGGAATTCCATTGAGGGTTCCCTGCACCTGTCCCAGGTGGTTTGTGTGTTTTCTTTCTCAATACTTTACTTTTTCCATCAAATCTTTTGTGTTGCACAGTACCTTTAGTCCTCAGCAAGACAGAAGCATTTCCTTGCTTTCATACCTCTCTTGATCCATTGTAATACAGTGTAATATGCATAAGAAAAACTTCAGAACATCCTTTATAATTTTTCTAAATATTGGCAACGGTGAACGGCCCAAATTATCATCTTATGGTCACAAAAAAATCACACAAATGTCTATACTGTACCTAACACCCTGTATGGAAAAACATCCATAGCACACAAGCAGATACTGTAATTAACATTTCTTACAAAGCATATTTAAAATACTTGTAGTTCAGTTTTTAAAAGAATATAAAATTCCCCAAGATTCACAAAGAATCGTGGGAAAACCAGAAAATTGAGTGAAAAAGAAAAAAAAATGTTGTGCGCAGAATTGGGACTGTCTCAAATAATCCCGGTCTCCAGAAGCTTCTGTCTCAAATTGTCCCTGCCTCAAATTGTCTCTGCCTCAAATTGTAACTGTCTAGAATTTTCTGTCTTGATTGTTCCAGTCTTAAACCAGCTGTCTCGATTTGTCTGTATTCCCTGGTATTTTGTAGAGTGTCTGAGAATTTGCTATTCAGTCATGACGCGTCACTTCTCATGCATCACGAGTAGAGAGTTGAGCAATGCTTTCGGGGATAACATTGAATAAAAATTGGGAAATGAGGAATTCGATATCAATCTGAATTTTGAGGAGAAAAGAAAAACAAAGAGAAGAAGATGAAACTGACGTGGAAGGCAGATGTCTGTGAGAGTCAGTTCGAAAATCTATCTAATTCTGCGTTTTCGTATGAATGCACGTTTGCGTGTGTCAGGGTTGCTGGCAGAGCTGCCAAAAGCCTGTTATTTTATATGATTCTTCTTTTTTTCAGTTGTAGTTCTTGAATACTGTATTAGCTTGAGTAAATTCAACACCTGATTATTTTCAAGTCCAATGATTTTTGTTTTAAATTTCCAAGTCTTGCATCGCCAGCATAAGCATCGCTGCTTTTATTTTTTTCTGCTGAATTAATTTCTGGATACGCTTTTGTTTGGTCACCTTACCATGATGCGTAACTTGGAAGGAGTTAAGTGTTCTTTTTTTAACGAAGTGACTTTAGATAGATTTCAGAAGAATTCTCACTAATGTCCTCGAAGAATGACTTGAGTGTTTGTGAGAGAACTGTTCGTAATTTCAGCTCGTGAAGAAGAGACGATGAGATGAAGTGAAATATTCTGGTCTCGGTTTTTCCAGATGATTACAATCGAGTCGTGCTTGAGAAGCTGCCCGGACAGCCCGACTCTGACTACATCAATGCTTCGTACGTCGATGTGAGTATCGAACTTTCATCGATTTTTCTGGATTTACGAATCAAAACTAACAAAAATTTAGTAGATTAAAAAATTAATCTGAAAACCACGTTTTGAAAAAGGAAAAAAATAACCTTAAACGTGGTGCATGAAGATTAAACAATCTTCATGCGCACCACGTTTAAGGTTATTTTTTCCTTTTTCAAAACGTGGTTTTTAGATTAATTTTTTAATCTACTAAATTTTTTTGTGCTTTTTAGTCTTACTTGAAAAACGTGGTTTTTTAGATTATTTTTTTAATCTACTATAATTATTTTATTCTTTTAAAAAAATATTCTTATAATTTTTCTTTTCACAAAAGATTGCATTGTCATCAGTTTCTAAGCTATCCTGAAAGTTTCAGCTTGCTAGCTAGTCGGGAAGTGAGCAAAATTGAGTTGCAAAATTTGATCCGGACAAACAAACAGACAAGAAAGTGAGTTAATAAAAACGTGTTACAAATGATTACCGTAGCCGTCCATGAATTTTTGCGCTTATCTTTATGATGATGTTTTTTTTCTGCACATCGTCTGCCTAAATGATGAATTTCATACCTTCAATTATTCATAATTATATATCATAGTTATTTTGTGATGTCGTTTCTCTCGTTAATTTTCAAGATCAATTTATTGCATGAAATGGATTTTCATGAATTTTGTAGTGAATGACAGTGTCACCTTATTTTATCTCTTGCGAAACTTTCCGGTGACATTAGTTTTCAATGCATCTTGAAGATGTTCGGCCTCGAAAAAAGCATATTTTCTCCGTGATTCCGTGTACGAATGAAAAATGTAGAGCGAACGACTTCGATTTTTTCATCTTAGGATAAGATAAAGTCCTATTACTTTTTCGTGATTTTGATTAAAGTCGTAAAATTAGTGACTTCAGATACAAATGAGATAAAATTTCTTGGAGGTGCATGCTCCACTCAGTCTTTTACCAAACTATTGCCGTATTATTAAAGATGGAATGCGCTGATTGAGAAGATCAAATGTTTAAAATGCCTGTGAAAAATCAACGTTGCAAATTGAATAATCTGTGTCGAATTCATCTCCTGGGGGCTTACGAGTTTTTCCCGTCTTTGATTTTTTCTGGACAATTTTACCTGAATTTTTGCTACGTAATTTTTGAGAAAGCTTTTCTGAAAGAAACACGACATTTTGAATGCAATATTTCCGAAATCACTCGAGTTTGCGCCCAATTACAAAATTTTAAGCAAGAGNATACAATTGGACATCTGACATGTATGCATACACCCATTCATTCCGTAAAAATTAATTTAAAGCACAAGGTCTTCAGCTTGTTTCTGTATGAGGTTTAGTTGAATGCACAAAATTCAGACGCAGCAATAAATATACAATGAATGGAAATATAATCAGTGATGAGACTCAACCGGCTTCCCCCTCCTATTCTCCCCACAAAACCGCGAAACAAAGGAAATTGTGGACTTTTTCTATTTTTTTCTTATGTGATTCATTTTTTATTACGATTTTTCCTGCCCGAGAAGTTTTGTATCCCAAACTTTTTTTTTGTACGCGTCTTTTGTTGGTCATCCTTATTCTGTTATTCAAAGTATTTTGCATTCACAGATAAACTCGAAGTCCTGCAATATTAGAATCATTTTATTTCAATGCTAAAGAATTTTAATATTCATCCTATGAAACCTTGAGGAGCTGGCTCATTCCCTATTCATTATCATTTCTCTTGCTTCTTTCCATTCTCTCTTTTTCGTGTCTTCTCCCGTCAGCAGAGCCTGCAAAGGGTTTGACATGAAGCTTGGAATCGAATGGTTTCATCAGAAAGTTCTGATAATTTCCAATGATACCACGTTATTCGGGGACTCACTGTAGGATACCTATGTGGAAAGTTGGAGGGTTATAACTAGGAGGAAACTCGGCGGGTTCTCATCTATCCCCTTTTTGCAGGGTTTTCGTGTGTCCCCTTTTCGCGGGGAGGTTCTCATCCCCCTTTTTTTTTCTTTTGTGTGCGTTTTGTAGGTGATGTGCGTGCAGTACTGGCCGGCTGCCAAGGGCCACGAGGAGGTGTACGGAGGCATCGGGGTCACCGTTGTGCACGAAGAGCAGCTGGCGAATTTCCTCATCAGGACCATCAGGCTGAGGAAGGACAATTCGGTGAGTTTTTGCATGTCCTCGTGTCACCGCTGAGATGTGTGCCGTTTTTGTAATGACCGAGCCAATTTTTTTTTATAATGGGGGATATTTAGCGTCGAATGTATTGAATTATTTGGATTTTACTTACGCGTTTACATTTTTATTAGTGTACTGTATATACACCTCATCGTCACTCGAATTCAATCTTACGAGTTTTTTTTTTTTTTTAATTGGGATATTTAGCGTCGAATGTATTGAATTATTTGCATTTCACTTATGCGTATACATTTTCAGTAGTGTATATACACCTCTTCGTCGCTCGAATTCAATCTTATGAGTTTTTTTTTTTTCCTTGAGGTAGATATGAGAGAATATCATCAGTACAGTACAGCGGATCCCCACATTAGAAAATACCCTTACGACGTGAAGTTTGCATTGCGATTTTTGTTTTGTTTGTTTTTTTTAGGCTGCGATAAGTGACTCGATTAACGCAATCATTTCCCATGAGAAAAATTTTCCAGCTCAAAACACGCATTTTTATCACGTTTTCAATCTAAATTTGGTAGTGTTTCGAAAAATTCAGCAAACGAGGGAAAAAGTGTATTGGTTTTTAAATTCTTGTCTTTGAGAATCGTGGAATTCGAAAAGTTAAGAGCAAGAAATTGTTAAAATTACGTTAATTTTCTGTTTTAAAAATTTTAGATCCTTGTTGAAATTTTAATATATATAATGGTCTTTTGCTGATTGTCCGGAAAGATTTAAATAATTTACATTGTAAGCTCAAAGGAAGTGGCGTTTCGCATGGCGAACATTTTGCAAAAAGAAACGCTTTCATCAGGAAGGAATTTGTTTCATGATGTGGGGACCCACTTACCATAACCGTGTCTGGTCGGCCAATTCACGGTCGCGCACCCGCCGGTCGTCAAGCGCAGGTCGGTCCAACTGCCAGCCAGGGCAGTTCTTGGCCCCGCCAATCCCCAGCCCACCAAACTGCGGTTTGGTCACCCGATTGTCGGGGCACCCAAACAATCGGGTGACAAGAATCATGCTGATTTTTTTTCAGAATTCAGTGAGCAGAATGGCATCCTACCACAGATTTTTTTTTTCAAAATTTCAGCAATGTTAGGTTAGGTTAGGTCAGTTTATGTTATTTTAGTTTAGGTTAGGTTAGGATATGTTAGGTTAAGTTAGGTTGGGTTTGTTGAGTTTTTTCTTTTTGTGAAAACTTTTATAATATGAAATTTTGTAAAAAAAAAAAAAAAATCTGTGGTAGGATGCCATTCTGTTCACAAAATTCTAGAAAGAACCAGCATGATTGTTGTCACCCAATTGTTTGGGTGCCCCAACAATCAGGTGACCGGACCGCGGTTTGGTGGACTGGGGATTGGCGAGGCCAAGAACTGCCCTGGCTGGCGGTTAGACCGACCAGCGCTTGACAACCTGCGGGTGCGCAACTGTGATTGAATGACTGGCGGATGGCCCGGTACCATACATAACAGCTGATCAACCCTAAAAACAGGCATGTGAAGCAAATTTTTTGCGACATTTTTTGGTCTTGGCTTATTATTCTGATAAGCCCCGAAAAAATACTGTACAGTGTTTAGAAAAGCAGATTGAATGAAGCTATATGCGAAAAACGAAGGATAAATCAAATGCCTCCAAATGGCCGTGGTTTGTCCAAGAATTGTACAGTACAGTGGAGTATTCAATCTGAGTTTTTTCATATTATTCAAAGAGACACGTACTCAAAATATAAAAATACGCACACATGAGGGATTAAAAAATAAAACAAGGGCCTTTTTCAGCACATAAACTATACTGAACTGAAATGGGAGTGAATTGTTCAGCATTTCATTCATTGGGTTGTTTGTATTTCAATGAGACGCTCAAAGTATCAAGAAGTCAATCCGCGCACAATGGACTTGATTTGTGCAAAAGAGTAGTCTGTTGTGTGAAAAGTCTGTTGTGCAAATTCAGTTGGGAAGCAAAGGGGGCAATGATGGACTCATGTCCAATGGCGACACTCACTTCTGCAGACAGAAGTCTGTAATGCAAGATGAAAACCTGCCTCCACAGGCAGTCTGTTCTGCGAAGATATCTTGTGTAGGGATTGATTATACTGTACCTATGTAACCTACCTAAACATGAGAGATTGAAAAGAACAATAAGAGCCATTTTCAACACAAACATACTACTCTGAAATGGTGGTGAGAGCATAGATAATTAGCCTATTGATTAGGTCTCCATAGGTTGGCAATAGCCAATAATCAACTTTCAACTGAAGCAATCAAAGAATTTTGGAAGCTAACAGTATCCAAAAACAAACTGCCCACTACAGTAAACTTGAAATTACAGGGGTTTAAGACATACTATGTTAAATTGTCTGCAATGTACCCAGAATTGACTATCAATACTATCTGCATAAGATTTTGTCCAGTTTCTCAAGTGTAACATCAATAAAAGCAGAGAAAAGATCCTAATCACTCAATTTTGTCATGATAATTGTGATGTTGTAGACTCAAGTAAATTACTAGCTGTTCTTGCTTTTGGCAGTACTAAACCATTACTATTTGCATCATCTAACATCCCATTAATACATGATGCTTTAGCTATTTTAACAAATTCATAGCACTAGTAAAAAATTCATCCAACTCTCAAAGGTGTCTAAGTGGTGTAACTCCTGCAGCATAAATACATCAGTTTGTGCATCACCAGAGCACCTTCTCTTCTTATGTCCAGCATTTCTCATGGATAGAAATCAGCTTAAGAAAGATTTAAAATTACTGAAATTCAATGAATAGACACTTTAAAAAATGAAAACGCGGCAGCATACCATAAAAGTCCAACTTTGCCTTGTGAACGCTGAAAAGCAGCAAATAAAGTGTTCAGTTTATTCATTCATTCATTGGGACTCCTTAAACTATGCAGAAACTTCATGCTGGGTAATTCTTCCTGACCTTCCAGTGAGAACAGTATAGTCAAAAGCATTGAATTCCACCTGAACTTTTAAAATACTGTATACAAGTACTGTACTTCCTAGTTGGAATGTCACATTTATGATTTTTTTAATTGAGAGAAAAAAGTAAGTACAGCATAGTAAAATCATTGAATTACGCCTACATTTTTTAAATACTTCTTTGGTCCAATATCTTTTGTTCTATGATTCTTTTAACACCAAAATAAACCTTTTGAGGGATCGAACTGAGAAGCATGCAATTTTTTCTTTCTTGATGTAATGATGTTGAAATTCAATTTTGTTGTGACATAATAACTCCCACTCAAAGTGTATTTCTGAAGGAGTATTCAGGAAGAAATTTTATTTTAGTGAATAGGTAAAGTGCATTTTCCTTGTTGGTTATAATAATTTTTAATGAAATTTACGACAAAAGGGCCTAATATTTTGGTTTTTCATTTTACTTTTTAGGAAAGGGTGATGAAGCAGTTTCACTTCACTGAATGGACGTGTCACTCGTGTCCATTCCCAAGTGCCCTGCTGGAATACAGACGAAGGATCCGACACTATGTCAAGTTCTTAGGTGTTAGTCAAGCTGGAACTGGTGAGTTTTGTAAGAAAATATTTATTTATTGCAGTGACTCATCGCGGGGAACGTTCTTGTAATAAATACCTTCATCTGATTGCCGTTCTCTTGGGGTTACTAATGAATGATCGTTTTTTTTTCAACTAACGCGCACATCTGTTTTCTTTTTTTTTACAGTCGTTTGTATGAATGTATTTTTTTAAAGTCTGCATCAATGCCTCAGTTTTCCATTTAGTTATGCTGTATAGTCATATTGTTTTGACTATTGCATTAGAGAACTTGTGAGTCATTCAATCGTTTACTTGTTATTGTGCTTAATTGGCAATACTACTTGAGATTCCATTGCTTTCTGGAAGTTTTTTCCATTGTTCTCCTTTCATTGTGGCTGTATGTTGCAATATCTTATGCGTTGAGAATAATTCAATGCAGTTGGCATGCGCATTTTGTGACCACAGTATACAGTATATGCAATCCATGACCTCAGTACCCCAAGATTATAAATGCAGGTGTTTGGCACTCATAAACTTAACTTATCTCCCAGACTTTGTTATGAAACCTTGTCTGCGTCAAATCCTTCCATGCCTGTGTGGATAAGTATGCATTTTGAATAAGAATAAAAGAAGATACAAATGTCTACTTAGAATATTGTTGTGTACTTCTTTGAAAGGACGCCGAAACTGATTCAAATCTTGAAGAACCTAAAAGTTACATGAAATTTTATCGGATCATTTATAAATTAAAACTTTTAGCGAACCTGCTTGTTTTTCGATTGAAATACCGTTCCAAGTGTATTTGTTCCAATGATCTGAGATAACGGTACATCTTTCATGTCATCTTCTTGAACACCCTCATATACTACCCTATATTTTCAACAACAAAAGAGCAGATTCATTGTGATGGTACTGTATATATTGTCAACAGGAGAAGGGAACACAGGCCCGGGTGCAGCAAACAACAGGAAGCCGTCTGTTGCTTCCGCAGCGGGTTCACCAGAGCACAACAGCTTGTTGAAACCCGGCACTGCAGCATCGGGATCATCCTTGCAACTTGCGCAATCTTCGCAAAAATCTGGGTCCACGCAAAATTTGCTCCCGCCCCCGAATGCGTCCGGAAGAAGGTTGAGTTCCGTCGCTGCTTCTCAAGTTTACGTGCCGGGACCCGCTGAGGAACTCACTGGACCTTTGATTGTTCATTGCAAGTAAGTAAAAAAAAAAAATGGAAGAAGAAAATTGTACAGTGGGGTATTGGTTTACAAACCAAAACCCACTCTAAGAATGCACACCGCAATAGTTCACAAGATTCTGATTCTTCCTGCTGGGGCAAGCTTGCTGTTTTCATGGATTATGGACAAATATCTTTTGAACAACATGGGAATCATTCCTTGGAGAGGAAATGATTCCTGAGATGAAATTTGGAGGTTATTCCTCCTTGAGAGAAGATTTTTGTGCAAAACAGGCTTTGGAAAATTACCAGATGTTGTAGAGCGTGACAAACATGTTTTTGAGCATATACAAAAATTGTTGGCTGTTTTTGTCAAGAGAAACATACCTAGGGAAATTGCTCCTGAAACTTGAAAGGAGATCCTGTCTAGTAAATAGCTCAGCAATTTTGTTTTGTCATGGACTTTTCCAACTGTCTTGTTTTACCATTAACCCTTCCACAGCAAAGGGTTCTTTCCCATCCCATGGCAAAGTTGGACTTTTATGGTATGCTGCCGCGTTTTCATTTTTCTGGAGGTCACAAAACCCCAGCCAAGTCGTGTGAGGCAAAGTCAGACAAAATCGGGGGGAATGCAGATTGCTGAATTTTCTGAAGTTGGTCTTTTTCTGGATTGACCTCCCAACCAGTAGCATTGTCTTGAGTCCACTACAAAACCCTTTAAAAAGGTTTTGAGCTTTCAAATCCCTTGGAATTGATTTGATAAGATCCTGAATGAGCCACTAAAATGAAAGATTTAAAAAATGTGTTCCACCTCAGCTTATTTCCTTCAGCTAGCTTTCTTTAAATCTTCTTCAGTGTTGCTTCTCATTGTGAGTTAAATCTTTTCTTTCAAAAATTCGTTTCAAGGAACAGTGCAAGTGTCTCAATGAAAGTAGCAAAATTTTCCTACACCAAAGATAGAAGAAGATTAGGATTGTCATGAAGGACTTCTTCCAAAGGTGCCAAGACACTTACAGTGCAGAAACAAAAACCTCTGCCCTGAGGATTCCTTTTTTACTTTTTGGCAAAAATTTTCTGTGCAGAGCAAAAAAAATGTTGGGATTTTCTCCAACTTTGCCCCCCACTCACTGGATGGCATTTTATAAAATTTGACTCTAGGTGTCACAAAATTTTGCAAAAAAAAGTCCAACTTTGCCACCCGAGGGTTAATAGTAAAAAAGGTTTCAGAAGGAAATTCTTTGCAGAATATTGGATTACAGTTTCATTTACAGTATTTTCTATTTCTGGGTTCATGCAGAAAACTTGAAAGCTTGAGACAAGGAAAATGCTTTTCAGAAGTGTCAAAGCAAGTAATCTTTTAGCTCTCCATATACAGTACAGGTGAACCTCATTAAGTTTAACCTCCCAAAGTTGAATTTTTTTAAGTCCCTGTCTGAATTCCTTTAGAATTAATACATTCAAAAGAATCAAAACCTCCCTAACTCAAATTCTTTTTTTTTTCTAAAACCTCTGTAAGTTGAATTTTCTGAGCCCTTCTAGTTATTATTCCTGTGAAATATGAAAGAGAAAATGATTAAAACAAATAATTTGATGCATCTTGAAAGGAATTGAAAGACAGATATAGCAAATTAAACGCTGCTTCCAAGTTCAGCAAGGTGTAAACTCATCAAGAGGCAAGTTTAGGTCCAGAATCTCCTCATTTACAACTTCCTGAAATTTTTCTACTAATCCTCACAGCAAGAATTATTGTTTCCTTAATTCGAAACCTGCAAAAATGAAAACCTCCCCAAGTCGATTTTTTTCGAATAATTTTTTGGTCCCTAGAAATTCGACTTGCAGAGGTTCAACTGTATTAGGCGGTAAATTTGCGTTTCTCAAGATTTTGGAAGTACAGTATTCTAATTCCATTTTCTTTCTTTTTCTCCTCAAGTGATGGAGCTGGTAGAAGTGGAGTGTTTTTGGCGATTGACGCCAACTTGTGTTTGTCGGAAGAAGACGGTGTTTTCTGCATCTATCCTTATTTGAAAAAGATGAAAATGGCGAGAAAGGGACTAGTGGAAAGCATGGTGAGTAAAGTACAGTATACATATTTATGCGAAAAAAATTTCTTGTCTCAACTTGAGGCACGTCATTTGGGTTACAAATGTTTCGTTCGTGAAAAACGTAACGCTTTAATTCTGTATTGCTTTATTTTCAGAGACAAATAAGTTAAAACTGCGGATATATGCGTGTAGCTTCAAAGAATTGTTTCGGGGCATTTTTGAAGAATGAATTTTGATTTTCCAATGCAGGACCAGTATAAATTCATCTACGATGCCTTGGAGGAAAGTGTGATATGCAAAAAGACCTGGTTCCCCGTGTGCGAGTTGAGTCAGCGTTTGAAAACCATGTCGATGAGAGACCCCAGGTCCAAGATGAACGAATATCAAGAGCAATTCTTGGTTAGTTATATTTTGCCCGATTCTGCGTGTATTGTTGAGATGCAATTTTGTTTTTCTTTTTCCACAGAGAATTTCCAAGCTGGCCGCCAAGTTCTCCATCGGTGATTGCGCCGGTGGGCACAGACCTGAGAACAGGGAAAAGAATCGAGATGTGATTATTGTACCGCGTGAGTTGGATCAATTTCTTTGACTGAAACGGTTTCTGGTACAGTATTTTTGTATAAGACACGCAAGGAAAATTTCTCGTATCGAATTTCTATGTGAATTATGTAGGTATTATTCCCGCAAAATGATCCGAGGCCAATGATAAAATTAGTCGTTGTATTCGCCTCTAAACTTTGGAAAAATATTCTCAATTTGGGATCGGAATGTATTTTTGTGCTGCTTGGAAGGTGGACAGTCCTGTTTTGTACTTGAATTAATAGACATGGTTGACGTAATTTACGTGCACTTTATTCATTAATTTAATTATTTGTTCTCTATTCCTTGACCAGCGGATAATTACCGGCCTTACCTCACGTCATTCCAAGGAAACGCTTGCACCGATTACATCAACGCAGTCTTCGTCGACGTGAGTACATTTCTTCTTTTTTCAACTCCTCCCTTTATATATTTGTTCAAGGTATATTCTTGATTCGGACCGAAGGAAGTTTCGAAATCTTAATTCGGGCTGCGTCATTTAAATGAAACACACGGGCGCGTTCTCGGAAATTAAATGACGCCTCTTTTCGATCCCAAACATGAAGTCGAGTTCGGATTTATCTTTCGATGTATCGTGTGAATGAAGGTTGATTATATGCTGTGTCAAATTTTGCGCGGATGCTGATGGTGTCGTTGTGTCTTCTATACTTGACCCAGTATATATATATATATATACTGTACATGTGAACACCATCAGCAGCTGTTGAAAAGGAAAAGTGGATGTTGTGTTTTGTTTAGGGCTATACGCGGCCGCGAGAGTACATTGTAACGGAGTGGCCGATCGTGTCGACGGTGGCCGATTTCTGGTCGCTCGTGTACGAATTGACCAGCGGATAATTACCGGCCTTACCTCACGTCATTCCAAGGAAACGCTTGCACCGATTACATCAACGCAGTCTTCGTCGACGTGAGTACATTTCTTCTTTTTTCAACTCCTCCCTTTATATATATTTGTTCAAGGTATATTCTTGATTCGGACCGAAGGAAGTTTTGAAATCTTAATTCGGGCTGCGTGATTTAAATGAAATACTCGGGCGCGTTCGGAAATTAAATGCCGCCTCTTTTTGATCCCAAACATGGAGTCGAGTTCGGATTTATCTTTCGATGTATCGTGTGAATGAAGGTTGATTATATGCTGTGTCAAATTTTGCGCGGATGCTGATGGTGTCGTTGTGTCTTCTATACTTGACCCATACATGTGAGCATCACGTCGTCGACAACTTTTCCTTTTCACCTACAACACAAAACAAATCCCGATATGCGCCGGCGCTCTCATGTAACATTGCCTCACCGGCTAGCACAGCTGCCACCGGCTAAAGACCAGCGAGCACATGCTCTACGAAGGAGCCGCCGTTGTGGTGCTCTGCCATCCTGAAGTGTCCTCGGTACGTTAAAAGTTACCCGTCGAGCAGGCAATCTGGGTTATTGTACGAGAATAATCCACGAGAGGTTATGATGTGTCCACACGTGAATGCGACCTTGGATATTTCTAGAGTGGGTATGACTATGTGAAAAATAATAATAATCTGCTACATTACCAGTGTTCCCCAACCCGTGGTCCGCGCGGAAGCTTTTTGCCGGTCCGCGGGAAATTTTCAGCATAATTAATTCATCAAAAGTTGTAATGAAGTCTGTTATTGTTATCTAATAGTTTGGGAAGACAATGATATTCGAAATTATCTAGTCAAAATAAAGTTTCCTTTTCTTTTGATAACACTTGAGAATAATTTTCACCTGCTGAAATGAATTATTTCAGATTTTTCGGATGGGTAACCTTCTTTCAAGCCAAGCTTTCTAAATTGTTTAAACAAAAGTTTTGTTTGGAGGACTTTATGGTAGGTATTTAAAAATTGTTCGGTCAGTCGGTAAAAATTTTTTGAAACGCTGCTGGTCCGCAGAAAATATTATGGAATATGCCGGTACGTAGAAAATTTTATGAAAATATGCCGGTCTGTGAGTCCAGAAAGGTTGGGGACCACTTACAGCTCATGTGATGTTATGAGGTTCTGGGATTTTTTTTTCGGATTTTTCAAAAGAATTTTCAATTTTCTCTATGATGATATGTGGAAACTGTCCACATATGATCGGAGTTCTTCAGCGCCCATGTCTCGGAAATGGGGGTGGGGGCTGAAATTTCTCAGGCCAGTTGAAAATGTCAAGTTTTTTATCGAACATTTTCTAAAATTCGGAAAAGATGACGATTCAAACTACTAACAGTTTTCGCTTGTTTAGCTGGCCTGAAATTTCTTGAGCACCCTGTGTTATGGGTGGAGAACTCTGGCCGTAACTGTGAAGTTTCAACTTATCATCATTTAGTAAATTTAAGAACAGTTTGAAATTCGAAAAAAAAAATTCCGGAACCTTACACCAATATGAGCTATATCATATTTTTTATGTACAGTAGTCATATTATACCTACTCAAGAAATATACAGGTTCGCGCCGAAGTGGGTAAACCCTCGTATTCGAAGAAAGCGAAGAAAGATCGCCGCATATTCCTGTCTAATCGACTCGCCGATGAGCATCCATGTACATTACCTTAATCGTAATTAGAGTTTTTTTTTTATATTCCCCTGTTGTGCTGGACTAAATCAAAACCTGGATTATTTGACGCACGTTGAGGGGCATAACTGGCGACATCTGTACGAGAGAGAAACGAGTTATGTTTTAGTCTTGCTCTGTGAAGTCTGATGGCCCAAAAATTATCCACTCCACCAGTCTCGAAGCTATACGCTGCATAATAATCCGGAGATGCAAAAAGACATTTCATATCAGCAAGACTTGACTGATGGGATCGAGTAATGTTGATTTTGAATATAGTTGCGCCTCGCCTAACGACCACAATTCATTCCTGCACGGTGGTCATTGGTTGAAACAGTCGTAAGGCGGATCATGTTTTCCCTCAAGGATTAATGTTAAACCGTGCCATTCATTGGTTTGTGAGAAAAAAAATTCTGGCACAAATATGTAAAAATTTGCCTAAATTTACAATTAACAAAGCACAGATCCCTAAAATCACTGCTATAGTTCATTCAAATGCTTTTCCTTCTTAGATTGCCTTGCTTTCTTTCAGAAGTAAACAACAAAATTAATAGCAATTGTACTTCATGCATATGCAACATCTATGAGTGAAGCAGGAGTCAATCCTCATGCTTAACTTTGCATAGACATCACTTTTGCATGAGGTACATCAGGCAATTTAAGGCCTTTAGAATATCACCAATTACCATTTCCTTCCATTCTTCTCACTTTCCCTCTACAAAAATGCTTGAGAAACAACCATTTTTGTTGAGAGGAAGAAACAAAAGTGTGATTTTTTCCTTCTGAATTTATTAGTTTCAGGGAAGGCCAGAAATAATTCAGCCTAGCAACAAATGGTTGCTAGGCAGGTTAATGGTCGTTGGATTACAATGTCTCAAGATGTGGACTCTATTCCACCGTATCTGGAAGAGTAGGAAATTTAAATTTCTCTCAATTTTTATTTCTCTTGAACATATTGGGCTATTTCTATTCAAAAATTGAAAATATATATTTTTATGAAATGCCTATAATTCATAATAACAAATAAATAGGCGAATCTTGTGCTTCATTTTGAAGTTTTTTCTTCATCTTTGCAGAGTATGGCTAAACTTATTCTTCTTGTTTGTTTCTTGAGCTCCTTTTTTCCGGCCAGAAGCTCAGATTCTGAGTGATTCTCTTCTGCAAAACTATGTTTGGTATCTTCGAATCGATAAAAATTCAAATTTTTGGAAATTTAATTTTCGATGAACAGCTGTGATTTAACCGATGATGTATGATTTCCTCATTGAAGCCTTTGATAAAAAGTTATCCGACATGGGGACAAGATTCAAGCACCAATTACGTCCGCATCTCGGTTTCCCACTGTAACAGCATTTGCGTTTGGTTTTCAAGACGGCAGAATTTTCCGAATACTGTATTCGACATCCAAATTTAAACGCAAGCGTATTTTCAAAGCCCATCATCAAAATTTGTAATTTTCACCAAGTCCAGATTGAGCTTTTCAGCATCCCTATAGATTTATTTGCATCATTGAGGGAAAAGATTTTCCCTCGATACCTGATGAGGCGAGAAGCAATATGAAGCGATTTGCAGCGATTTTTCTTCGTTTTCTTCCGCTTGGCCTGAAAAATTTCGGGAGTTTTGATACGAGCCTGGGAAACATTCAAATGTCTTGAATTCATTTCATTTTTTTTTTTGGGTATCACGATTGCTTCGTTTGTTTCCCGTCAGTTCAACGGAAATAATTGTAAGAATATTGACACGTTTTGAAACAATATTCCGAAATCGCCATGTAGAGTAACGAGGTACAGTATTATATTTTATTTATTTTGCTAAATTGTCGATAATTTTTCTGGCCAGGCATCAAGTGAATTTTGGGACACTTGTATTTTTCCTGCGTTCTCCGTTGGTGTGTAGGCGTGAAGATGTGTTCCTAATTTTTTCGCGATGACGTATGTCTTTTCCCTCAAAAGCTTTCGGAAAAAACGCCGATTTTTTTTGTTTTAGTCGGCTGCACCAATTTTTGCGGGCTGTGTTTTTTTCCGCTTTGTTTTCATTTCTGTGCCAATTTATTTGCGTTGCTGTCATCGTGTTGCGCATCATGGATATGCCGAACGGTTGTACACTTTCGTCCTGCAGTTCCGCCGATGATTTTTTTTTTTGCTGCTTCACTCTCTCTCTGTTTTCAGCAAGAATGTGTGGATATATTTTTCATCACGTTTTTCACCATTTTTTGGTCGGAATCGAAATTTTTTTTTCGGAGAAAACGAAACGGTGGTTGCTGATGTCGTGTAGGTTAAATCCGAATGTTGGATTACTTCTTTTTGAGATTCAGTTTTTTTTTATTTATCTTTGTCCTTTTTTCGTGTACAAATTATGTCCGTGACGAATCCTGATAGATCGTCTGTCGAAAATTTACCCGGTTGTCGTCGCCTGATGTGAACCACATTTTTTATTTGGTTCCCGTGAACATTTGTGAAACGGTCCCCATTTGCCTGTTGCTTGAGAAAACCTCCTGTGCATGAGGGTTGTCCCGGTTGTATTCGACCGCTGATATTTTCCAAGTGTTGGTATGATGGTAAAAAAAAATTATATATAGGTATAATAATTAAACAGCGACGTAGCACAAAATGTCCTGTTTTTCGGATTTAAAAAAAGTATTTTTTAATTAACGGCATGATGATAAGTGAAAGCTCTCTTTAGTTACAGTCAAATTTATCCACTTGTCTCGTTTCTCAGAGTACTAAAAATTGTCCTGCTAGCTGAAATGAAATTTTCTATTTTTGTACCCATTATCTTTTATACATTTTAAATCATGGTCAAGACCAAAACAATTTTTTTTTAACGAGCCTGACAAATGTTTAGCACCCTGATACATGCTGGGTGGAGATCTCCGTCTGTTCCTGGAAAGTCTTCACATATCATCACGTAGTAAATTGAAAATCGATTTTTAAAATCCGAAAATATTCCCAGAACCTTGAAAAATCACGCGCTATCTCATGATTTTACTAAAAAGAATATCAGAGGTCGCGTCCAACCGGGACAGCCCTCGTATTTATGCATATTATCTACATTTAGCGTGAACGTCGTCGACTTTGCGATGGAAGGTATTCGTTTGAGCCTTCGATTGTCTTTTTATACGAATCATATCTCGCTGAACTTTGAGAAAAACTTACGTCCTGACTCCTAAGAAACATTAGCCATGGGATTTTCAAAAATTTTCGCAGTCAGACTTTTCAGGTACATTATAATAAGTTAGGCAGAATTGTGTCAATCTGATCTGTTCATTAAAAACCAAACTTCGTAATTATTGGAAAAATTGGGCTTACGTTTACTGAAGTGTGAGTTCAACTTATGATTTCAAAAAGAATGTATAGTGCTGAATTCTCACTGCGAAGTAAAATTTTTGAACACCCCAAGGATTATTGTATTCTATGCGAATTGAAGGAAGGCAAATTTGTTATTTTCTTAACGAGAGATGCAGGATTACTTTTACTTATATATGTTAAATTTAGGCTGTTTTCATGGGATGGTATAACTACAACATCATGTCCCGTGCTTGGTCCCCGCATAACGAAACTCATCCGTTTCAGGTTAAATCATTTTCGCAATGCGAAATGCGATTTTTCTTAAGGGTGCATTTTATTCGTCCCGAACACTCGAAAACAGCATAATGAATGATTGATAAACTGTGGTTTTCTCAGTTTTTTGCATGACATTTGGAATTTGAAATTCATGCGTGAAATTTGAGTAATATTGATGAATTTTTGCTCTTGCCTTTCTGAATTTCACGAATTTCAACTGCAAAGTGAGGCTGAAGTACTTTTTTCGTATTTTCATCCATTCAAAAAATCCGAAGTTTTAGTCGCAAATTGGTTGAAATTTGAGCCTTTCTAGTCCAAATGATATCTTCGTTATGTGGAACATTTTCGCCAGTAAAAATTTAGTTATAAACTGTTGAAACATTTATCATTTAAACTGTGTATTTTTCCTAGTTTTTTTAAAAACAATATTTAATATAAATTTTTGAGCGCGAAATTCAAATAACCCTAATGAACTTGTGCTCTGACTTTTCTTAATTTCGAAAATCTTAAAGGCAAATTCTGTCCTTTTTTCTTCGCCATTGTTTTTGAAAAAGACAAAATATTGAAAACTTATTGTAATTTCAGCATTTCTAGGCCAGATAAAAAGACGCTATGCGAGACTTTTTCGATCATTCAAAATGTTTAAGTTAGAAATTTGAGTAATCCCGATGAATGTATGCTATGGCCATTCTGCATTTCAGAATTGTGAAAAAATGACAGGATTGTAACTTTATTCTCATATTTTCCTCAACTTTTGAAAAATATCTGAAGATTTTGTTGGAAACTTGCTGAAATTTCCACATTTTCGGGTCAAAAATAACTTCGTTTCCTCGTTGTTGAGAAATTTCTGGCTTCGATTTCTTCGTTATGCGGGGACTCATCTTATACAGTATAATACTGTACTTGTAGATTCGGGGAATTTTTATTTTTCTCCTTCGCATATATATGTATATGTCGGGACTCATTTTTGTCGTCGTGAATTATTGTGAAATCATCAGGGTTACACGAGGCCGAAAGAATACGTAGTGACTGAATGGCCGGTGAAGGAGAACGTGGTGCCCGACTTCTGGTCCCTGGTTTACGACCACGACTGCCCGGCCATCGTGGTTCTTTGCACTCCGGAACGATCCCCGGTAATCTCACTCATCGAGCTCCGACTGAACGCTATATATATATTTTATCTTTATCTATACTGTATATATGCAGTACAGTATTCAAGTGCTGTACTGTATAATATAATACAGTATCTAAAGGGGGACCTTTTCTTCGAGTGGCTCTTTATTTTCTCTGCTTTTTCATTATTAATCTGGGTGCTTGTGCCGACGGTTTCGGGGGACTATTTCTCAAAAAGAGTCCATCTCAGAAAGAGAGAGAGAGATTTTAAGTAGAGTAGTACGGTAGTTCTTCGTAACGACGTACTTGACCAGCATCAGTCGGTCCAGGGCGATAAAATGCTCAGTGTTATGTTTCTTTTCTCCTTTTTTTCAAAGCTTTTGGTGGGATTTCTATTGAGACTTGAATGCTATACAATTTCAGCGCAAGCAATATCTAGTTGTGATATTTGATGTGGATGTTTTCGATTCTTTAAAGAACCTATTAATTTCGAGAACGAGAAATTGTTACAATTTTCTAAATACGCACTTGATTTATCGATCTCCAGTTGTGGTATTTTACGAGGATATTTTAGAAAATTGTTTCATTCTCTGAAGATCCTTGAAGAGTATAGGAACATTTTTTTTTAATGTTTAGACACACTTGGTATAGAGACAGTAGTACTGTATTACAATGAATATCAAATTTTGACATTTTGAGTGGATATTTTTGATAGTTCTTCAATTCTGTGGAGAAAGTCAATCGAGTATGAAAATGTTGTCTGTCGCATTTTTTGTGACGCGCACTTGAAAGTGTCACAATTTTTACATAAAATCGTGACATTTTACGTGAATTTTTTTTTAATTCTTCAACTCTACCAAGATTCTTCGATGAGGACGAAAATTGAATCTATTTTTTTTTCCGTATTTTTCCATTTTTCGAAAGACAAGCTCATGGTGTATGGCTTTGATAATAGTTTAAAATTAAAAATCATGATATTCAGTACAAGTATCTGTAAAATATTAGCTCTTTTATAATGAGAAAGTTCGTGCGAATTTTGAGAATGGTGATTCATGCGAGTTAACTTCAACTTCAAATGTTTTTTTTCATGATTAGCCGTAATTCTGAGTGATGAAGGGATGAAATGTGCTAAAGCTCGGTAAATTTCTTCGGAACGAGTGAAAAACTACTGCAACGAATTTGTTTCAAGATCATGTCCGAAACTCCTTGAATTTAATACTGAGCAAATATTTTTATACCGAAATTTCACTATGATTACTTATACAGTTAATCATATATTCTCTAAAAGAAACTACTGTACCGTTTTCATGAATTTTCTGCATTTCAGCTTTCCCAATACTTATTCGCGAACTTTTTTTTTCACTGGGAAACTGTGTTACTGAAATCCTCCTCAGAGAAATGTGTTATTCTGCTGGAAAGCGTTTTTTTTTTAATTTTTCAGGTACAGTTGGTTGATTTGTCCAGATTTAAGCTCGTGCATGAAGAAATTGATCCTTGATTTCATAAAATAATAAGAACAAAAATCTAGATGCACCAACATTTTGTAACAAATTTATTGCTGGGTTCTTTGAACAGACATTTCTTGTTTCTATGTTGGACTCATTCAAGAAACGCATCCCGCTTGATTCACAATATATTGCTCTGATGAAGACTCGGTAAATTAGTCAGGATTACAGTTTTGAAAGTTTTTATGGCTTAAAAGAAAGCTTATCCTTGGAGAAATTATTTTCGTAAATCCCACCGGAAGCATTGATGAATTCATTAATCTCACCCCTTTATGAAGACTATGCCTTATTTCTCTGATGGGCTCATCTGTTGGGAGTTGATTATTGGGAGGCACATGGGTTTTCTGATGGCTTCATTAGGTGCACCTCATAACAAACGGCCTGAATATAGAAAAGTTAGAAGAGAGAATGATGCAGGAACCGAGGTTGAACTTGAAACTTTTTGAGGGTTTGTTAATTTTGGCCTGTCTTTCATTTCGCATTTTCGAAAGAACAAACTAATGAATGAATACCATGATGGACATCCGTTCTCGTGATCCTACGTATGAAAATACGCATAAATATCTGAGACCGTTCTAATGACACTCTTTTACTTGCATCCGTTGATTTTTTTTTAGTAGTAGCTTGTAGTTAGCATCCCGTTGAATTTTTGCACATTAAATTCTAGCATTCCTAACATAGGAATGCGATAAGAGCAGTTTATTGAACCCTCGACGTAGTTTATATCCATTAAAGAGAACCGATTAAATTGAACAATCATTTTCCCTTATATTTTTTCTCCCGCTTGAACCTGAACTAGTTTTGCATTCTCTTTCAATTTTCAGTCGTACTACTGTACTTAATTTTCTGCGCAGGATATGCCGGAATTAATATTCAAGAATTCATCTATTATTGATGGTGCACAAAAAAACGGAGATTGGTTCTGTTTCTCTCAGGTACTTTTGAAAATATTTATCTTTAATCGCATAAATATTACGTAATTTGCACAGAAATAATGAAACACCACGGAAGACTGAATTCGAATAGTTGAAATCTGTTCAAAAATGGAGCTTGTCGAAACTCATTACTGGAGTATTGAATAACTTATTGTAATTTTCAGTTTTTTTCTGGGACATTTGGGCCAGTTATAATTGATTTTTTTGCAGACAATGTGCACTGAAAAAAAAAACAATCTATAGATTACCTCATTTCATTTGCATAACTTTGAATATCATTGGTAGCTTGCGAATCTGCTTGTTTATGAAAGTAAAATGTATATATATATAGAACAGAACAATAGAATCTCATTAGAATACAACAAAGCATTTGGAACCTTGAAGAAGCTTCGTTCTGAAAGAAAATTCTTTAAAAATAAATTAAAATAATATCGTTGCTTACTGAGAAACAAATTTATTGTGAGAATTGATTCGTTATAACGAGATTCTTCAGTACATTAAATTTGAAGGGAAATGCAAACTGTATAATAAGTAGGTTTTTTTCAATTTTTTAATAAAGATATATTTATCGCTTGATTTATTTGAAAGGACATGCGATTATTTTAAAATTTTCAGGACGAATCTTCGCACATTTTTGTTCAATTTTGAGTTGCTCTTTTTTCTTAGGTTTTCTGAAAACGTTGGGACTGAAATTTTCTTTGTATGCCTGTGTTGGCATGAAATCTTTCAATTTTTTTTTCAGAAAGCTGAAAAATAGTTTCCAATAGACTGGTTTTTATCCTCGATTTTGGAAGGCTGAGTTTTTATGGAAGATACTGTTTGCTATAATATCATCAATTGCCTTTGTCATGGGTCTTCGTGGTAAAAAATGCAGGATGAAAACTTCAACTACGGGGAAGATGATGATGTTGATGATGTCCCAGTTCAAGGATTGGCCTTTTTCCGAACGAATCGGATGGGAAAGCTTTTTTGGTGTCGACCTTATTCGGTTCGTTTCGTGATCTTCGTGTTTGGGCCCGAAGACTTATTCAGTATTTTCATTTTATTCTGTCACTGTTCAGAACGTCATTTGGTCAGCAGTCGAGTCTCGTTATGTGCTTCAGGCCTTATTTGAATCACTTTTGTATCAGATATCGCGTGAATATTCTCATTGGTGTAGGAGTGAGTTGTAGAATATGTTGGTGTCATCCCATATGTAGGCAATGTTGGAAACTTCACATTTCATATACAGGACTGTATAATTGTTAATTTTTCGTATTTTTGTTAACTGTGATTTAGAATATGTTAGTGGATCCCTCACTGAAATTCTTTGGATTTTTCGTGATGGATTTTATCGAACAACATTTGAGAGAATATGTGCGTACTATAGAATTTTTTCTCAACTTTTGTATTGATTGTGATCTTTCAATATTTTATGGAGTATTCAATCAATGCTTGGAAGTATAATTGTTAACTTTTTCGTCAATTTAAAAATGAAATTTAATTGCACAGTTTTTTTTTTGTTTCAGCGGCAATCGAGTTTTCCAATTCAAGGATTTTACTGCCATTTATTGGCTCAAACTTCAAAAACAAATTTGAGTACCTCCCAGATTCAGGAATTTATTTCCACTACTTACAGTGAGCATAAAGTCTACATGATAAACTGAAGTTGGACTCTTCCTTATCATTCTATAGTACTATAATTGCAACATTCTTCTTGAATTGCAGCAGTTTATATTCCTACCTCTGATATGAGGTTGGTCACATATGCTTCGAAAAGTACTGTACAGTATAGTGATTTGAAGAGTATAGTTCAAGGAGTTGACTGAGCGTTTCAATATTATTTTAGGCTTATTAATATGTACTATACAGTAAAGGAGTAAAACAGTACTATTCCTATTTTGAGCCCATACAGGACCTATGTTTTTTTTTGTGTGCATTGGATGATGCCAACACCATAGGATTTTTAGTGTAAATTAAGATGGACGCTTTGGTTTTCATTTTTTATGCCTTACTTCAGATGTTATAGTTTGTTTTCCGTTTCGCCGCTGTTTCGTGGCTTTATCAACTTCCAATTCGTCGTTTTGAGGTTTTTGTTTCCTTTTTTGCTTGAAGTTATATCCTATATATATATGTTTGAGTAGAGTGCTGCAATATTTGAGTATTGTCGATTTGCATTTTGCTGTTTTGTTTGCATGCATGCTTATTACTTTTTTCTTGCTGCATGACTCCCTTTATATTTGTTAATTTTTTGGCGCATCTTTATTTACTTCTGTACATCAAAATTAATTTGTATGTATTCTTTGTTGTTGTTTGTTGGGAAAACGCAAGACTTATCCACCGTTTTGGCCAGAGTCGTCCAGGTCCCGGAAATATGGCAACGTTTTCACCTTGGATATGATTAGCAAACAAGATTATCCCAATATTCGTTCTTGGATTTTTCGCATCAACAAAAAGGTTAGTTTTTTTCTATTCTTTTACAGCTTGAAGTATCATTGTGATTTAAGAGTGTTATAGAAAATTATTTTTATGATTGGAATGATTTTTTGTATCCGTTGTTGTTTCTTTTTCTTTCTTTTCCGCATGCGTTTGAATATGTGTGTGTGTGACTCGTGTATTTTGTGCATGATTGGACCATTCGTCGTCAAAAGGAATTCCTTCCATGTCGGAGCACGATTTCCATGAATGTGGCTGAAAATCAGGGAAAGAAGGTTGTGCCGATTTATTTGTTTTTCTTTTCCTCGTAGTTATTGATAAATGTTACTCTCAAATGTTTTTCAATTTGCACTTTTCTAGTGTTTTTGATGTTGTAGACCAGTATTCTTGAACCCGTGGTCCGTGGACTGACGACGGTCCGCAGAATTTTTTTTGCCGGTCCGCGGGAAATTTTCAGCTTGATAGTAAATTTATCAAAAGTAAGAATGAATCCTGTCATCGTTATCTGAAATTTCTGAATAACAATGACGATCAAAATTATCTGATGAAAAAATAAAAGTTGCCTTTCCTCTGAATAAAACTTCGGACAAATTTTCGCCTGGTGAAAAAAAATCTATAATCATTTATTTTGTGAAACCTTTCTTCAAGCCCACCTTTCAAATGTTTTGATTAAATTTAACTAAAGCTGTTTCTCTGGTTCTTAACTCAATTTAAAAAAGGAAATAATTTTCAAATACCTGCCACGAAGTCTTTCAACTTTCATGCGCAACTTTTTGAGTCTGAAGATCTTATAAAACATAGCCGGTCTCCAGAATTTCTTTTTTTTTTCTTTAATTGCTGGTCTGCAACAAATTTTATGGAAATTTTCCTGTCCGCGGGCCAAAGAAGGTTAAAGAACACTGGTTTTAGACTATTCAATATGATTGCTTTATTTGCTTTTTTTGATTGTTCACCTATTGTTTGCATTGAAAAAAACACCTTTCATGTCGTTGTGTAGAATATTGAATCTTTAGGATGTATTCATGTAGATAAAATTCGTATGAGTTGCAATGTTAGGAATATTTCAAAATAAAAATTATGTGCCCCACAAAATTCAAGGACTTCCAGTTTTTTTTTAGTCAGTAAGTTTCTTATCTGAAGGATTTTTTTGTCATTTGGCTTGAAAACAAACTTGGTGCTTCCTGGATGCAGAACTTCATAGTCCACTTGTGAAACAAGCTTACTTAATTAACATATTCCTGTCAAGATGCTGATGCATTGAATGCTACTCATATTTTTTTCTCTCTGGAAAAATGTTTGATTGATTGATTTCCCTGTGACATGTTTGGACAGATTGTGTCGCTGACAGAACTGATGGCTGGAGTGAAAGCAGAGCCCAAGACTTGTCAGCTTTTCCAGCTCACTTGCTGGCCCGAGGGTCACAAAGTTCCGCTGTCGACGAATTCCCTGGTGGAACTCATGAACATGGTGGAACGGTGGAGAGCCAAGACAGACTACGGACCAGTCGTTGTAGTTTCTCAGTGAGTTCTGTAAAGTCTTTTTTGAATGAACTTTTTGAGTTATTCATCTAGAAAATGCAGTACAGTACTGGGATCTTGATGGTTAACAACCATGATGGCTTACAAATTGTTTGGCTAATATAGACTATGGGATTGGGCCATCAGCTGCCTTGACTGACAGACACACCCTGACTTGGTTTGCAAATTTTGGGTTACTTCATATGTGAATAATGGGTCAACAATTTATTTGAGCAAAAGCCTGTGATTTCCTGCCCTACATAATTTTATCTTCTTCTCTCATTGATCAAAAGTGTTTCTCTGACATTCTACATTATAAACGTGCAAAAAGCTTTTTAATTTCAAACTTGTGATTGAAAATGTTCTGTGTGAGTCAGAAAATTACGTCATATAAAATATTTAAGTGAAAAGGTGCAGTTCCTTTTCAGTCTGTGATTGGAAGCCTCCCCACAAACAAACACACTGGGAAAATTCTGAAAATTTTCTTGATTTTCATGGGCACTTTTGATGTTTTGAAAACAATTAAAATGTACTTGAGAAAAACATGATTTGGTGAACAAACTGTTTGATTAATTAACTTTGGATTACATTTGTAATCCAAGACAGTGACAATTTTGAGAAAGGGCCATTTGGAGACCAGGAAAATTTGAGACAGGTTGATTTACAGATGGGGACAATTGGAGACATATACATTTAGAGACAGGGACCATTTGAGGCAATCCCAAATAAATTCAGTACATACAAATGTTTTTATTTTACACCTAATATTCTGCTTTTCCTCAGAGATATTTCAAAAATCCCAAAAAATATCTTCTGTTTATGCTCAAGGGATGTTCAATAATTCACACTATCTTTTGCCAAAAAAGGACAATCTTTGTTCCTTTTCACACCTTCAAAATTAGATATTGTATTAGGGAGAAACACAAGAAACTTATTTTTAAAATGCTTCTATACTGTCTCAAAATGTCTCAATTTCTCTCTGCTTCAAAATGTATCTGTCTCACATTGTCCCTTAATCCAAAAAATTATGTATTAAATTATCCCTGTCATCAAAAGTGTCTGTCCCAAATTGTCCTTGTCTGAAATTGTCCCTATCTGAAATTTTCCATTTCTCAAATTTTCCATTTCTCAAATTTTCCATTTCTGAAATTTTCCATTTCTCAAATTTTCCATTTCTCAAATTTTCCATTTCTCAAATTTTCCATTTCTCAAATTTTCCATTTCTCAAATTTTCCTTTTCTCAAATTTTCCATTTCTCAAATTTTCCATTTCTCAAATTTTCCATTTCTCAAATTTTCCATTTCTCAAATTTTCCATTTCTCAAATTTTCCATTTCTCAAATTTTCCATTTCTGAAATTTTCCATTTCTCAAATGCTGGGAATTAAATGCCGTGCAGAGAACTCTGCTGGTGCGCTTAAACTGAATTTTTTCTGTTCTCATATTTTTTCTTGTATTGTACTGATAACTTACTTATGGTTTATACTGTATCTTTCGCAATGTTCCATGAATTCTTCAGCGACGGATGTGCCAGGTGTGGAGTTTACTGTGCAGCCAATGCATGCATCGAGCAGGTGATTCAGCACGGGGAAGTGGACGTGTTTCAGGCGGTCAAGACTGTGAGACGTCACAGACCGCATCTGGTTCAAAATATGGTGGGCTCAATTCTATATTTTGAAATTTATTTTCGTTTGGTTTGATATGAAGTTATATGGTCAGCATATGGGGTGTAACCCTTTTCATTCGTGTGCATTTCAGACCGAGTACAAGTACTGCTATGACCTGGTTCTGCATTACGTGCTGCATTATTTGCACAGAACTTAGCCGATTTTGGAGGGATTTCCACAAAAAGAAAAAGAGCTGCTGATGAATGCGCAGAAAAGACGACGGGAAGGAGACTGCTTATATTCTCTGCTGGAGTTCCTCATTCCTCATCGCAATCATGATTTCGGGATGTCCCTTTATTCATGGTTCTGCTGGTTGTCGTTGTTGCTGAGTTATTTTTTCGTGGTGGAATTCAGCCTGGCGGGATTTTTTATGGTTTTGATTCGAATTTGCTTGAAACTTTGACTGACTCAACTGCTGTGATTATGACGAAGGCAGAAGTTTGGTCACAAAGATATTTTCTATTCCTTTGACGTATATTGGGCGGAAAAAAAGATTTGGAAGAGAATAATCTCTTGACGACGATGCATTGGTTACCCAGCAATTTTATAGGCATCAAAGTTCAACCCTAATGCTGGAACTATACACAAGGCGAAAGAAGTGAAATATCTCCTAGTCCTTCGGTTAGATTTGCGATTTCACCCTTGTTGTGAAATGGAAATTTATTGTCATTTTTCTGGAATTTTGGATGCTGCCGATGGTGTAAGATTTGAATGCAGTACCCTGGATTTTGTCAAATTATTGTAGCTCGCGAAGTGTCCTCTTCTTGAAATGGTGGGCTCTGAAACAAAATTACTGCAACTTCAAATAGTTGTTTTGTCAAATTTCCAAATTTTTCTCAAGTTTTTATACCTACGTGATTAGTTTCTTCCATATATAGTGTGTCATAAAATTACCAAAAATATGATGAATGCCCTTCTTGCTCTTTATAAGAATTACAACCCTGTCATTCATAACCAACGCATTGCTTATTTCGCAACTCAACGGGAAAATTGTAAATTCTTGACATTGGAAACATAATTTTTTATCCTGTAATATAACACAGTATTTAATACTGTAGTATACTTCCAGCTGTTAACCTTTTTTTATTGCTCATAATCCTCATGTGTATAGAAAATTTTAAATCAACAGTTGTCGTGTTAATTTTTAGAATTAATTATTCAGATGATCTGGCGCAGAAAAACATATGCTTGACGTGTATTATTATCAACACATTTCTGCTGGTTCAGCAATATAACTGTACAACTTAGTCTTGAAACAGGGTAATTTACACGCGTCTTCTATTCAATAAAATATTTCATCAATTATCTTAAATTTTTGATGTCTTATACTTATAGAGATTAATATCGTATTGTGAAAGAAGTGTGGTAAAATGGATAATTAATGGGAGTATAAAAGCCTCAAAATTAATAGGAATGCTTGGTACAGTATATTTTTGCCTCGCACATTTGAAGGAATTGGACGCTTCAGCATTCTACAGTTTTATTGTGTTCGAATATTGGAAAATTCTGAATTTCACTTGTATTTTAGCCAGCTTGGAATGAACGCATGACTTGGAAACGGAACCGTTTGCATTGCTTTATGATAATGTTTGAGATATGGGGGCTCGTTTCTGGGATATTTGTGACAGACATGATGAATTTGTGTTCATAGTCTGGCGGATTGAACAACTGGAGCAGGTGCTCTAACCTGTTGTAGAACTAACGTGTCACCTTGCACTTGGGTTTTTGATAACGTGCCGCCTAAAGTTCCTGGTAAAATCTTATCATTGGTCTCATCACCCATAACTCTGGGGTTCCCCTTCTGTGCTAAAGCAGCAGCTGCTCGAATTTCCTCTTGTTCCTCTAATGGTACCGCTGCTCGAGAGCCATCTTGAGCCACAAAATTGATGCTGGTCTTGGCAGGATGATGATGAGACGCAGGTCCGGAACGGAGGACATCTTCGGGAGCAATGTCATGCTCATGCATGACCAGCTTCGGCTCCAAGCCCATGATGGGTTCCGTTGCTGGTCGAGGAACTGGTTCACCCTGTATCTTGCCAACAGCGCACATTTTGTCGAAGTCACAGTTCGCTGCAATTGGTTGCAATGCACGGAGGAAACCACCATGTTTCTTGAATAGTGGAACCTCGATTTCCTCGCCATTGACGTACGTGAATGTCTCGATGGTGTCCCCGCACCTGCATGGAGCAAGAATGGTACAAAGCTCTTTGATTTTGCACTTGAGGTTCAAGAACACACATATGGTGCCCCAGTGGATCACTGAGCAGCAGTTCACGAAAATTCATAGCTATTTCCACAAGAAAGAGTTACGAACTAATTCATGTCTCTTGAGTGTCCAGTAGTGTCGCGATTCAGTTGACTGTCTGTATAGGTGAATTTTGTCTGGAGTCACTTCGATACTGAGGGGGCTACACTTCGTAACTGCCCCTCAACTTTCGCCGCGCAACGCTCGCTGGTGCCTGAAGTTGGGAAGCAGTATCGAAGTGTAGCCCATTGAAGGATTGATAATGCTAAGCAAAGTGTTGGTGATGCACCTACTTGAAGGTGGCGAAGATGATATTCGATGCAAATGGAAGAAATTTGCTGGTTTGCCATTTTCTTCGCCCAAGCTTGTGATAATCAGCACCCATAAGATGATGATCGTCTTTGAACAATCCCAATTTTGCCATGAGTTTCGCAAGTCCGCCGGAATGCAAAAAATATACGATGGATTTTGGAGACGATGAAGGACTCTCTAGCTTTTTTCTGTTGAAAATTGGGAGGGAAATGTATTTAATGACACAGAATGAGACGTGGACAGTGTATTTTGGTGGATTAATGCGGCGCGGGAAAATGTGTGTCTGTGGAATTTTGTTGAAGGAACGGTTACAAAGTTTCATGTTGAGCTTTGACTTTACGAGTAATCGTCTTCACTATGGGTTCAGCTGCCTTCCCTACTGCTTCTTCCACCACCGTGCGGTCAGCATGTTCTTCGAAGATATGCCAGATGAGAAATGTTATGATAGCTGCGACGATGAACAGAAATAATGAGTAGAGGACGAATCCGATGAATGTATCATCTTGGATTGGCTCCACTGTTTCTTGTTCAAAATTCAGGTTTTCGTCGCGAGGTGTGTAAAAGCTGGGACGCGACTTAGCAGAATCGAGCGTGGAAGTCTCCTTATCCTCCTGCAAGGTTTTCTCATTGATGAAGTATTCCAGTGATTTTGCGTAATGTTGGCTTAATCGGCTGAGAGCAATCGCAGCTTCTTTGTCCGTTGAAACAATCACGGGCATAGGAATATGAGTAATGTTCTGCACATCGAATTTCTTTTCGGGGCCGAATACATCATTCATGCATTCATCAGTCAAGTTGCAAAACCGCGTTTGAGCTCCGCGTTGACGTACACTAGAATGCCGATGCCTTGAGCAGTTATCACAGTCGGTTGAGTATCCCTTCGTGTTCATTTGATGACGAGATATAGAATCAGATGTTGACCGTCCTGATCCTGCTTCTCTAGCCAACGCAGCCCAGAGATTAGTTGCATTGTTGTCCAAGCAAGGATCGGAGACTGTTGGTCGCAGTATATTCCGTGCAGGTCCAGTTTCTTTCATCAGAAAAAGGTCAAACATTCAACACAAATTCATCCTCAAGTTTATCATACAACAATAACCGAGGAGTATTTTAGAAATGCATAGCTGATACGCCGCATGTGTTCCTGATTTTATGAAGCTCTGCTGGTCAAGGTGCTTTTACCTCGAAACTAGTACTGTGTTACTAATGTACTACATCTCAATGGTATAAGTTTTCAATTTAATCACTCAAACTTGCGATGTCTAATTTATCTCACCTGAAGCTTATGAAGCTTTTCTGTTTTCAACTTTTCATATGTTGTGCATGGTAAGGGACAAATACGGTGTATCAGAAATGTTCTGCCCATACCCGGTGTTCGCTGATTCTGAGTAGCGAAAAGTTCATACAGTAATTTTTGCAGTCGAAACTTTATGTCGACTTTCAAGGGATCAGAAAAAGTTAAAAAATATTCCAGTTGGGGGAACGAATATTTTTTGGAAGGTCAAAAGAATTACAGGTATTTCTTACTTGTGATATTCTGGGCCTTGAATTTCTTCCTAATTGCATTGGCGAAGTGCTGAACTTCAAGGCAAGGGATCATTTTCAGAATTAGTCTCACTTACTCCCATAACAATTGATAGATGCTTGTTATGACTTTTCTCTTTCTTGGGTCAATTAATTTTGGTACAATGCCTCAAGGAAGTTTGATTTATCGTGGTTCGAGGGGGAAAGCCATTGAGTTAAGCTTGATACCACCAAACAGGGTTTCTAATGAAGTTCAGACAGGAACTTAAAACAAAATTCAAAATGAGTACTGTTGTTATTTGACTAAGGTGTAGCTTTGCGAACATTTTGTATCCAAAAAAAAGTGGTGTGATCTACTAAATAAAATTCAATAAAATAAAACTGTTTGCAACTGAACTGATGACTTCGGTCATAAATATTTTTCATCATTTTTTTTTTTTTTAAATCTACCATGGTGAGCCCTCACGTTTGGTTAGGATTTTGAGCTTGTTAAAATTAATTCTATCACGTTGAGTAACAACGAAGTGTTCGACAATTCACAACTACTGTATACCTGTGCCAAGTAATTTTGTTCAGTTAATTGATTATGAAATTCGAATGAGAGGGCGGTGTGAGGAAGATTCACAGCTTCAATTGCCCTGACTTCTGACCTGAGTTCATTGAGGAACAAATCTGTCTTCAAAGCACAGTTCAGTACATACGTCGGCAATTAGATGATGGTAGGGTCCAAATAGAGCTACACCGCTTTCTACAAGGGGATAAGCTTCCTTGCGACGCTTTAAAAGTCTTCAGAGGCTCTGTATTGAGTTGCGTATTCCTTTCCGAAATACTTTCTGGTTGAGATATGATCGAAACTCTTTTCTCTATTTTTGGCTGTGATCTCAGAGTGCTTCCAGTGAAGTGATCCGCGACGCTTGTGAATCCAAATGCCGCTGATACACTGTCACTACGCTGAGGTTGTGCGGGGATTTTGAAGGACTCCGTATCCGTTCCAGTTTGGCAACAGATGTGTGAACCAGAGTGTGTTTCCAGTGTTTGGCAACAGAGGTGTGAACCAGATTTCACGCCACTGTCGCTGCAAGTTTCTGCTTCAGGCATCAGTGAAATTGTCGTTTCGTCTTTCACAGTAACTTGATCTTCAGCTGATGAGGGTATCTTCGTTTCTAGCGACGTTTGTGGCGACAGAGTTTCGTCGGGAGTGACATAATAGATAACTGAGGTACGTGATGTGTCTTTTGGTTTGGTTCTTGGCCATGGTACTGGTGTCATGGCTCTGGTTTGATGACGTTTTTGTCTTGTGCATTCGCAATACCTGGAATGGTATGTCTTTCAGTTATGATTCAGATTACTGTATCCTACTTGGCGAGTGTAGTCCCCTAACCAATGAAGTTTCAAGAACTGTTTTAGCATAACTTCAACTATCGGAAATGAGGAACGTGTCTTCAATTTCCAATTCGTTTCTCAAGTTGTGGTGATGAAAATTGAATTCGCATGATACCATTGCTTTAAAATCTGAGGAACATTTAAGAGAAATTCAGTAGTTGAATGCTTATTATTCACGCTCTCGAAAATTTTACGCGATTGAATGTGTACTCAGGTTTGAATAGTGGCCGTGTATTTGAATTTAGAATTACAGTATTTCAACGATCCCTTGTCTGGAGTATGTCTTATATTCGGAATTGCCTAATTCGTTTACTTCAAAGCTAATGGATTCAGCTTCGGTTTAATATTTTTTTTATCTACTGTTGATTCTTTTTGATTTTTGAAAAATAAATCCATCTTTAGACCATGCTGTACTTTAAACGTACCTGTCACAAAGTTCACGGATCAGGAACTTGCATCCATTCTCAATCGGAGGCTTCAGATGAAGACTGAGAAGCAAACGACGACTTGATACTTGCTGAATAGAACTTGAGGATTCTTGAGTTTGTCCAGCTAAAGATCTTGAAACTGGTCTGAAGTCCGACCTGGTAGACAAGCTCACGTAATTTTCTCCTGCTCCAGCGAGCAATCCTGTCTTCGCAGCCTGAATATTCATCGCGGACAAGGATGTTTCTACTGCCTTGGATATGGCCAGAAAATGCTCAGTTGAAGTTTGTGTTCCATCGGAAACGAGTTTGATTTCTTGAGAACTTTCGCATGGGATTCTAAAATTCTCCGTTTCATCATCTATGTCTAATTCGGCAATTTTGAGAGCCGAAAGGGTCCCTTGAGCTTCTTCGGCCTCCAAGAACGGCCGCCAGTTAATCCGCGTTCCAATTGAGATTTCATTGCGGAAGAAGTCATGAACTGATCGGAAATCGTAAACTCGTTTCTTATACAGCAATAAAAAACGCCCCAACGAGCACGCGTCCAAGTATTCCCCGGGATTCGTGATTGATTTTGCTTGCTGAAATTCGAACTTCTGCGTCGACCATGCGTCAGAATCTCCGCCAGAAGGTAATAATGGCTGCACATCGCAAATGACAGCGTCAATCTTGAATTCTCCTTCCAGTGTTGGTTCTACGACGATTCCAGTGATGAGGTTGGAGAGTGAATCTGGCGGCCAAGTGGCGGCTTGGCCATTGGAATCCACTGCGCGCGCTGTTTTCCCGTTACTGTGCACCCAAACTTCGCCGGAAGAAACGTGAAATATGACCCGCGCGTTCTCGGCCATTTTGAGTGATTTATACCGTGGAAACAATTCAGTGCAACTGGCTGTTTTCAGGTAAGCGAGAAAAAGTGTTCCTCCATTTTAATGACGCTAATGAAATATGACATGATTTTCTTCGCATTTATCTGCAATTCGATGGTTTGCTTTGGTCTCTAAGATTATGCGCAGTGTTAATTGCGATTATATTACTGTAATTTTCATTTCATTTAACTGCGTGAATGTTTTCAACATCTTGACTCCTAACAAGATTGATCATAATCGCTGTACAATTTTCGCAAAATAGTTGAAATGTTCACTAGTCTTCTACTATAATTGGAAAAGCTTCGACTTGAACTATGTTACGTCTTTTCAGCGATTTGGTCAAAACTTTTATTTCATGAGACCTCGTCCGGGATTTAATGGATTCGTGGCTGAAGTCCCTCCCTAAGCTCCGGAAATTCATTATATTTTAGCGTACCTTCGATTACTGTATTGTAACTACAGTATTTTTTGTGAATTAAGATTGAGTTGAGAAATTTTTTTTAGACGTTCAGCTTACGTGAATTGGTCCACGAGCTCCTTGATGAGAAGGCAAGACTGTTCGTAGTTCAAACTGTGTCCGTATCCGTCTTGCCAGTACTTTTTCAGGTCATCCCAGAATTCTAAAACCTGCGGAGAGTAATAGATTCAAGAATAATCTCATTTCAATCTCGCCGAAATTTTTTTGTCTACATATTCTCGAGTTTTGTCTGCTGAGCTTCCCATTTATCCAAATATGTCATTTCTCCTTGAATAAAGTGAATGTCGATATAGAAATACTTCGTGAGGTTAAATTTTGTTTGTTTATGTCTCGGAGAGAGGCGACGCGGATGAATTGAAAACCCTAGCTAGTACTGCTTCCGAATCTGAGAGGTAATTTTCTTAATAGACTTCCGCATTTGAGAAATGTGATCGATCAGAACTTGGAAGTGCGTGCAAAGGAAGTTGAGCTTATGCGTCGTACTTTTAAGTCGTCTTCGGAGAAAATCTTGCACCAGGGCGAAGGCATTGCACACGTACGACAAGTTTCCGAATCCAAATGGTGGAAGCCATTCATCTCGTCCAGCATGATCTGTTCAGACGCCGTCGACGGATAGAAACTTTTGCAGCATGGGCAGTGCGCTGTTTCCATCTGACATTCTCCGTAGATTATTTCGATGTCGACTGATGGAAAAGGAAATACTGTATCAGGTAAACGCGTGTCAGTTGCGCTAATCAGCGCCATTCGTTTTTGAGTTGTTTTCTTCTCAGCCTAGTAAACTAAAATTCTGCTGTAGAAGAGGCGTCAAAATTTGAATATTTTTCAAAATATTCACGTTTCTAATGCAATAAATCCTTGATACGAACTACATTAAGTGAATGCTTGCAACCAAATATATTTTCCAGTTTCATGGTAATATCCTAAACTTGTTTGAAATACTGTACAGTACTGTATTTACTACCGCTTAAAGAAAAATTCGAAAGTGTCTCGATTGTTTCGTGTAACAATTAAATTTGAAAATACAGTATTAGAAAGCATGGTCTCTTTTCCGTATGTTTTGAGATAAAATTTGAGTATTCCAACTTACATCAAGGTTCGAAAGGGAATCTAGGTAAACGTTACGTATCGAGATTGTTTAATTCAAAAGTTCATGATTCTTGGAAGAGTTTCACTTTTGGAGCAAATTTGTTTCTTTGCAGATTTTTGGCCCATCCCCGAAGCTAGCAATTAGCGGTTGAATATTTTTAATATGTTTCAAAAACAGATTGCTCTGGTTTTTAATTATTGTTTGAGTACAAAAACTAGTATTTTTGTAGGTTTTTATTCAAATCGGAGGGAAAAGTGCGCGAGGTTTTCACGCTAATATGAAAATATTTTCTCACGTGGGGAAAGTCGCCTGTCGAGTCCAAGCTTTGCAGTGACTCTGTCCAGCATGTCCTGGAAAGGACACGATTTCTCGAAGTTCCGCGCCTCGAACAACGAGGTTTCTGGATTCTCGTCTATCTCCTCCTTCCACCTTTGGCAGTATTTATAAAACTGAAAGATGAATCGAAAATAATGCTTCCCATGAATTACCTTACTGAAACGCTTTCAGAACATTAACCCCATGCTCCCATATTTGTTAACTTTAACTGATTAAACAAACAAAAACAGATGAAGGTGGGGGATTAAGAAGAAATGCGTTGGTAATGCTTTTGTTACGTGAAATTTGTGCCTGAGGAAATTCAACTTTGGATGGGTTTTCTCTGAAGTTTTGCTTGTCTTAAGTATATTGTAGCACACTTAGCATGTGAGTAGAGATTTGAAACTAGAATTAGGTTCTCAACTTTTTCTGTGCGTCTTCGCGTATGTACAAAAATATATCAATAAACGTTTCATGCTTTCTGTTACCCAAAGCTAATTTTTCTGTAGTCTTGATTCGATCGCGAAAATAGATGGGAGCCATTATTTGAAGTAACGATGTTCCGTTTTATGCTTTAGGGGGTTGAGAAGCAAGATAAAACACAAGCAGAGGCAATACTGTATCTGCGAAAGGAAGATGACTTTAATTCTCGCATCTAAGTCTCTTTTTTTTGACGCTGTAAAAAAATTACGAATGAGGTAAATTGCCAGAAAATAGTTTCAGTAGATGTCGCGGTTGTTTGCGGTTCATCTTAAAATGCACTATCGCAAATTGTGAAACTAAACAGTACATGTACTTACCCGCAATATCTTCGTTTTGTCTTCAATGGAAATGACGTGGCCATTGTCACCGAATAGTCCATCTGCAAATGCCTCTGCACTGGCGATTGTTCTGTTCTTGTACGATGAAATGAACTATAATTGGAATGAAATAGTTCGTGGATGATATGAGTGTGATTTGAGGATTTAAATCATTCTGATGCTTCGTCTGAGACTAGTGTTCACCTTGATATCCGTGTTTTCCAAGTTTTTGTTGAGAAATGAGGAGAACCGTGTTCGGTAGGTTTCTGCAAGGATGTGCCATTCTTCGATGCCAATTGGGTGAATTTGGTCGTCGGCGCCCATCGGGAACGGAAGGCGCCATTGGCGGAAATCTCGCAACACATCCGGTGTCAGCGTACCTGAAATTTACAGTAGAATACCTCGAACTAACATTGTTCCCTTTCACAGTGGACCCATGGTTAATGAACTTGATTGTTTCCAGACAAACTTTTGTTGAGCAAATTTGATTTTTCCATAGACTTCAATGGAGAACCAATAATCCATTTCTGGCACCCAAAATAGTGAAATTAAAATTGAAAATTTAATGAAAAAAAATCCAGGACAAATATTGATCAGAGTGAGTCACTGTAGCATGCTGTGTATGTTCACAATGTTTTGTGGGGTTGGGTGGAAGTACAAATAATGAAAACAACGCTCAAGAAGCTTCACATCCAAAAAAACATTCACATATGATGAAATAAATAACCAGTGCCAGAAAAAGAAATTTTTATTTTAAAATGCTGTAACTAATAAACTAATTCAGCTGGTGAACAGTGGAAATAGCTAGAAAAATCTGTTTATACCATTGTTCACAGCTTCTTACAGTTGGATATGATTTGTTCAACTGATTCTGCTCGCTCAAATCATGGAATATTCATGGAACACCCACCTTTACTCACTCAATGTTGAACAAACTCTAAAAATGTTGCGTATGCCCTTGGTCTGTCAGAAAAAAATTTGCTTGATTTGCCCAATGGAACTGCAATTACAGTGAGACTTCAACGTATGGATGAAGTGACTTAGGGCCACTTGCCCCAACATCTGGACAATGTCTCATCACACAGTCACTTTCAAAATTTCTATAAAGAGATACATTTTTTTAATGTGGATGTCTCTTGAAGAAATTGAGTCAGTTACATTCCTCAAAAGAAAAAATGAATTTCATTAGAAATTTACTCACATTATTCATTATCAAAAACTGGTTACTTCGTGCTTTTTTTGGAATATTTGTCATCATCTGTGCACAGTATAGCAAGATTTGTACGTTTTCTTTACTTTTTAGGGTTTTTTTGATGCCAGATCAGATTTGGTGCAGTTTTCTTCTGCATAGTTATATTCTGCATCTTGAAGTGGAGAAACACATTTAATTTAAGTTTTGGGGATTTGTTTCTAATGCTTGATGAACTGGGGAACCAATTGAACAAATTCCCCTCGTATTATTTTGGAAATGTGATCCAACACGTGGACATGATCCAAGCACCAATTACATCAGCATCTCAGGGACCCTACAGTCGAGTGTCATAACCAAATTTGGAATTTTTAAGTCGGAATAGAAGTTTGCTAACCAAGGGTCCACTGTATAGTTATTCAAGCTTGGACGAACTTTTTAGCTTCAGGGTATATGGTTCAATACTCCGCGTGAAGTATTGTACTGTAAATAGGGAATGTATACTAATTGCACTTTTTCTCTTCAATTAGGCAGGCATATGTGATGGGAACGAATGTTTTACCGGAAATGAAAGAGTGGATTAGTTGACGTGAAAGAATGTGAACGTACCTCGGTTGGACTTTTCGTGAGCCGTGAGAGTCGCGTTTATGAGTACTGGCAGTAGTTTGGTGGCGACGAGAACGTCTTCGTTGCTCGGGTACCGGGTTCCATGCCTGCCGAGCATCATGAACGTCAAAGGAGTGCACCCTGTCAACGTCAGCCAGCACCTCGGCGTCAACAATATTTCTGTTTCTACTTTTTCGAATATTTTATATCCCTGTGTCACCAGGTCTTGTTTCCCTCTTATGTTTATATTCTTATATGTAAATATTGGGTTATGAGATTTGCCAGTCGTTTACGATCATTCAATCACACCATCTCATTGAGATACCGCCGAAAGGAAATTTGTCTTCATGAAGGAATGCTCATTCGTCGCGGAATAAAATAAAGAGAACACGATGAGTAGAAAGTGGAATTTTAGGGTTGTGTCAAGTGCTAAACAATATACGGTATTAAAGGCAGATAGTTTTGAACTGCATATTCTTTTCTCGGTGATTCGAAAGATACTTCGAATTCTCAGATGATGTGAGAAAAATTCCGCGAAGCACGACTGTAATTGAATGAAGTCCTTGGTAAGGTTACTTTTTGAAAAATCTTTTGTCAATTTGGATTTCTTTGACAAAAACACGTTGACCCGAGGACTTCCTGACGAAGCCCACTTTTTGGCATTGTTTGATGTAATATCTGGGCATTTTCAAGAGGAAAAATTTCAAAAGTTGATGTTTATGGGAAGAACAGATTAGATGCATTGAGTTGATTGGTGATATTGAATTAAAAGCTCTTTTTCATGAATTTCAGGAAGCATCGTAGCATTATTTTAGGAACCAATCCATGCACTGCTAAATTGTATTTTAATTTGAATTTCTTGTGCTTCTTTGTTAGTTTCCCTGACTGTAGTATCTTTTCAACTGTCGAAAGTTTTGTAATTTACTTAAGTTGACTTTTATTCGGTTTCTTTTCTTCTTTTTTTTTTTTGATGATGAACACCTGATCATTATAGTTGGCAGTGAGGAAGCAGCAAAATAATCGAAATCTTTCTTTGTTCGAGATTTTCTTCTTCAAGGTTTTTTTTTTTGTTTCAGCCAAGGTGATGTGGGAAAAATATTTGTTTTCTCGTGAAATATGAAATTGACGTGAAACTGTGTTTTGCCTTTGATTTTTCTGTGTGCCAATTTCGTCAATATTCCTATCCCCTTGTAAGATTACTTTTCTGAACAAAGTGTGTACTGTAGTTCTTGGTATCGATGTTTACTCTGTTATTTTCATGATGCGGAAAGATTTTTTTTGTTGGCTATCGTTTCTTTCGAACAACTAAAACATGATTATGGTTCACCTTCCCAAACGTTGCTGGTGCCTTTTCAGCGAATTCGAGTAGAAAAAAATTGAGAAAACTCACCGGGCGGGTCTGCTTTGACCTTGTTTTGGTCTGTGGTCATAAGAAATGCGTACGGTGTCTTCGTGGACATTCCAGTGTAGTCCAAAATGCCGCCGTTGCGGAGTCCAAAGCACTTTTTGGCATCCACGCCGAGCACCATAAGATACACCACCGCCAGAATCACAGCGGGAAGTTTTTCGCCACCCATTATGGTCTTCACTGTGTTGGAAAAAGTTTTAAGCGGAATTATTTCTTTGGAGATGATTTTTCTCCAAATATTTCGAGTTACTGTGTTTCCTTCAATAAGGGAAGGTATCGAATAATTTCTTGCGCTAAGAAATGTATTGGGGGTTTATTGTTGGTTGCGGGATCATTTTCTCGGATATTTATGACTCGATATAAATTTTTCTTGTGTCATTTTAAAATTGTATTTTCAGAAGTTGCTGGAATTCCACCGGATTCTCAGTTTGAAGATTACGTATTGTATCGGAAAAGTCACTCAGCCGTGAGAAATTTGTGACCTGTGTGATTTTTAGAATTTGTCTGACAATTTTACATATTTGTGTGTGGGTAGGTGTCAAAATTGTATTTTGGTTTCACTTATGTTTTTGTTGACAAAATTGTCCACGATTATATATATATGGGAACGTCATTACAAAGAAGCCATTGCAACGAAGGAAAGAGCATTATTGTTACAAACATTCTTATAAATCCAAATAATATCATGGCGGTTCTATATACAGTACAATAGTGTGGATTTGAGGATGCTCGCAGCAGCGTGGCGGCACCGAATGGGTGCCGAGTGAGATTTTAAAAAATTATGTATATTTTTTGTGTGGGGGAATTTTGAGCAGTTCTTCTAGGATCTTTTCAAAATGTTTAAAACAGGTCAAGGTGTGATTCTGAATGATTTTCACCCTCAATACGACAAAAAAATGTGTTGAAGGAATTTTTTGAACCCTTTCTACTGAAAATTGCATTTTTTGACAATCTTTAATTCACGAAGGAACGAGTCAAATTTTGAATTTTTCAAGCTCATTGAGGGAATTCGGAAAAAAATTTGTTTTCCTTTTTTTGATTCCAGTTCTACGCGTTTAGTTGTAGAGGCACGGGAATGAACAAGGCACTGATTTGTTTTAATCCAGGAAGGAAATGCAAACGAACGGCGCCGGCTTTCGGAAAAAGGAGCCGATTTCCAGAGGTGACCACCGTTTGTGTTGCCGCGTGCCGACGAGAGACTGAGTCGACATCGTCGTCAACTCACAAATTTCCTCACTGGCTTGTTATCGGGCATCTCTTTTTTCTTTCTTTTTTTCGATTTCCCAATCCATGTATATCGTTCTCTCCAGCCGGGTGCTGGATTCATTTCCTTGTTGACATATCGCCACTGGAAATTCTCCGAGATGTACGATGTGGTTTAATTTGTATTCGTATCGTTTCTCGGTGATCGACAGATTTCGGAAATATTCTTCTATGTGGTAGTGTATTTACTTGAGTATCAGTTGCTCTGATTTCTTATTCTGCCGCGTGAAAAGAATCAGATTTTCGAAATGTCTGTATACTTTTCCAGATTATCATAAATTCCAGTGTAGGTGGGTTGATCTAGAAATGTGCAACCATTCGAAGTATAAGAACGAACCCATTGAACGTCTTGGTGCTATTTATGAGAAACTGCGAACAACGTGATCGGCCTTAGTGGAAGAATGTTGTGGTTTGTGACTGACTATTGAAATTTTCCCAAATTGGATATCTAACATCGAGTATGAGGTTAAAGTTTCATCTTGACTGGAAAAAAAAAACATTAAAAATGGGAAATCCAGGATGCTTTTAGCAACTTTTTCTTCGGTTTTTTTAAATTTGTCATGATAGTTATTGATGCATACGTAGTCATTTAATTTGTAAAATGTTGCCGACTTTATTTCATGCCTTGGGTTTACAAGATATATTGTTGGATCACTTTTTTGAAAAATCTTTCGATGAGGAGTTTTTGAAAGATGAGAAGTTTGATTGAACGGCAAGGAACTTGTAGAATTCAAGGCTTGCCAAGCAAGTTTTCTCATCGAGTACATCTAGAAATTTATGTTGATTCGAACCCATTTTATCAATGGCATTCCAGGGGAAATTTTGGTGACGATTTGTCTTCTGGTGTAGTGATGGGAGCCAGAAGCGAGAGAGAGGGCGTTACATTTTTTTTTCTCCTTGTCCATCTTCCCGCGCTCTTTCGAAAGAAGTCATTTGTGGTGGCCCGGTTTGATTCAGAAACCAGTTTTCCCTCGTTTTGATCAGGTGTTGAGTGTGCCTCATGTTCTGTTGCTTCCTACTCGTGCGCGTTGGAGGCTTTGGGTTCCGATGATTGCCCAAACCGGAAGAGCTGTGCGATGGACAAATACGTCGGCAAGTGGAAGGTCAGTTTCATATCGTTTATATTTTCTGAGATGGACTTGGACTCTAGATAGTTCGAGAAGTAAAAGTTGCCGAGACATGGTAATTTCTAATATTTGATTAAAAACTTCTCAAATTGAGGTGCTTTTTTTTTAAAGATTCAGTCCAGGAAAAGTAGTTCTGGTGTTGAGTATTTCTAATTTGGTTATATGGATGATTGATCCTGAGAAAGAAGATTCGTCCAAACATGTTTACGTGAAGGGAAAGATTTTCTGTCTGATTTTTGTAGTGTGTGTGATCCAGAAATGGATCTTGTAGGAAAAAATGATAATTTTGTAGTTTATTTAGTTCAGGAAAATTAATTATCGTGTTGAGAGTGTTTCTAATTTGGGTATGATGAGTGATCCTCTGAAAAAGGATTTGAATAAAGCTTTTTTCATGTAAAGAGAAGGATTTTACTCGTGGGATGTGTTTTTGGTTCGCGTGATCCTGAAATGGATCCTTCGAGGAAAAAAAATTTCAATCTTTATTCAGAGAGCTACGTCTGGTCAAAATAATTTTCCTCGGTAGGAACTATGATCTCAAGACACCAATTTTACGTTTTTTCCTCATTTATCCTTCTTGCCTGAGTCTTGGGTTTCGAATCCGCTTTGTAGATCTCACCAAAAATGTGTCGCAAGTCGATGGAATTCATTTGAATGGTCAAATCGATAGAAATAATTCGAATCTTAATCGATTCAATTTATTTTTGTCCAATTTTTGAATATTGACGTTTGGTTGGGTCATTTTCTATGAGGATAGTGAGGGTTTTGAGATGCGGGTGACATCTATGCTGAAAAAAGTGTGGGTGGTCCCGGAAACGAGAAGTCGGACGCGAAACGCATAATCGTGATAGTGAAGAATGTTGTCAATGGTTCGAAATAGGTCGGGAAAGGCTGACAATCTTGTGTATTTCTAGATCACGAGATGCATTCCGTTGACCCTGTGCGAGTCGGTATCGGATGATTTGGAACGGGTTGAATTCGAGCTGACGGAGAACGGCGACGTGGAATGGAAAGGACCGCCTTGTGTGAAGGACCTGCCACTATTTCATTGCTACAAATACGAGCTCATTCATGGCAGTTCTTCGTGGGATTCGCCGGTGTTGCAATTTGGATTCTACGACTCGCACGTTATTGAGGTCAAGGCCTCGTGCTGCTCCACCCCGGGGGCCAGCAAACATCAGGTTGACTTGCTTTGTCCTTGTGTTTGTCCCCTGAAGTAGATTATGCCATGTTCCCCAACCCGTGGTCCGCGGACCTGCGCCGGTCCGCACAAATTTTTTGCAGCATAATAAATTAATCAAAAGTAGCAGTGAAGGATGTCACATTTTCTTCATCTGAAATTTTGGAAAGATAATGGCAGTTGAAAGTATCTCATGGAAAATAAATTTTGGCTTTTTCTCTTAGGAACACATCAAACAACTGTTCATCTGATAGTTATTTTTATGTGTCATCCTGCGAAACCTTTCTGGAAGCCCACCTTCCAAATCTTTTGAAGGCATTCCAGTACAGCTCCTTCAACCGTTCTCAACTTGATTTTTTTAAGCATAACTTTTTAAATAGCTGCCGTAAAGTCTTCTGAGCGAAACTTTTATGAAACTTTGCTGGTCCGTTGGCCCAAAAAGGTTGGGGGTTACTGAATTAATGACTTTCAAGATGCTGGGTTCATTGAATTATGAGAGGTACTCGTCTTAAGGATGGTGTTTTTCTTTATCGGTTCAAACAGTTGCAGATATTGGAGGCATTTTCGATTTGCAAAACTTATATTTTCAGCATTTCCCAATCTACACGAGCGTAAATTTGTTTTTCATTCTGTCGATCACAATAAATGCTCTACTGCCTTCCTGTGCGATTTAGACTTTTAGAACACCTTTAGAGCCATTTTTTAAAGAAAATTATTGTAACACATCTCAAGTATACGTCAATAATTCTTGAATTCCAAAATGGAAACTTCTCCGTCAAAAATTCAAAAAAGTAAATAGTTCTTCGTTACTTGCGGTAGTTTGGAATCTTCGATGTTGGAGATGTTTGAAAGCATCTTCTGCGTATAGAAGGCAAGTGATCTTGAAAGGCTATGGAGGCCGTGGAAAAGAAAATATCGAACGAATAAAACATCAAAATTTGTTTTCTTCTTCTCCGATCTGTATTGCATCCCGAAGGGGTAAAACAATTCTGTGATTTCAATAGGATGAGAGATCTTTCGAAAACATGTGTATGACTAAACTGCCTATGACGACAGGTTCCGCCGTCAATTCTTCGAATAATGAGTTTAATATGGTTATGAAGTTCTGTGATTGGTAATTTTTCCAGTTGTCTTGAAAAAGCAGCTCTTAGTTGCAATTCCTTCGATGATTGAACTAGACTCGCGGTTACTGTACGTACATTGTATCCGTGCTTGCTTAAATGTTGACGCTCTTTTTTGTTTCAGATTGATCAGTCCGTTAGGCGGAACTTGTTGATGCTGACTTATGAAAGCTTATGCATTTTGCAATGTGAGCGACGGATTCCGACCGAAAATGATATCTTGGCTAAAACCACATGTTTTTCGCTTGTTCCGGCCTTGGAAAAAGGGTACTTTTCTGACCTTTGTCTCGTCAATGCGACCGGCGACAGAAAGGTGCGTTGGAGGGTATTCTCATTCGATATCGCTATTCCTCAATATGCGAATACCTGTACAATAATATATTTTATCTGTGCTGATCAGGTTAAAATTTATTTTACGAGCTATTCAAAGGTTCGCTTTAAAGTTTTCCCAATTTCTTGTCATTTTCTCGGCATCTCCAATCGTTTTGAAAAACTGTTCACCCGGCCATCAAATTTGCTTACCTCTTTCCCTTCGCTTTAGGAGTTTAGGCAAAACAAGATAATTTTTTTTTTAATTATATCGACTCAAATTTAACGAATTTACTCGAGTATCACGTGCCTTTGAGTAAAACATGAATCCCAATTTTTAACACTAAAATTTTTATTAAATCCTATCCCCCAGTAAGACTCGCACCACCTTTTCAGTGATTGAAAAACTACAATATTTCAAAAATAAGAGACCACCAGAATTCAAATTTAAACGTGAATTGAACTTGATATCAAGTAATTTTCTAAATGATCTCATTTTTTTTAGACGTTCCTGTCAAAGATATCGCGTTATGTTCAAGTGTGACACTCACCTATGAACTTTTAACATATTTTTGAAAATTGTATCCACGCCTATGACTCCCACCCCTTTTTTCCCCTTTCAATTTTGAGAGCAAAAAGTGTGCATGGCACTTGAGCAAACAGGGTATTTATTAAAATATGAATGAAAAATTAATAAAATACTTCAAATCTCACCAAATTTTCTTCTTTCTTTTCAGTTTGATGTGCACCGATGCATTTTGGAGTCTGCATTACCGGGTACTAGTTGGGAAGACGTTGCGAGTTTGCTGAGCAGTTTTCCTGCGGAAGTTTTGTCCACTGCTTTGCACTATGTTTATTCGGATTGTTTGCCAATTAATTTGACTGAAACCACTGCACAGCAGTGCTTGAAATTTACCGAACCTTCTCCAACTGCAGCGTCACCCTTGGAAGGTCTCCATACTTTGTGTGGATCTTATTTGAGGAACTTGTCTGTGCAGTCGAGTGAGTTTCACGTTAGATAATTTTTTACGTTGTAATCGTGTATAGTAATTCGGTTTTTGCAGAATTGGAAAGAATTTGTGATGTTGTGGAAGCAAGTTCGGGAAAAGTGGCCGCTTGTTTTGGTCCTGAGTTCAACAGTCTCGGAGCTCAGAGTGGATCCGAAGTTTTGGCGACTTTTCCAGCGAAATTTGTGGATGGTGTGAAAACGGTGCTGAAAGAGACTGCAATAAGTAAGCTATTGCGATTATCGTTGCATATGATTAATCCGTTTGTAGCTTGTTAAAAAAAAAATGTGATCGTGATTATTTTACTGAAACATTCAGGACCTCCTATTTAAAAGGTGGCCCCTGAATAGTTGATAGTAGTTCCAATGAAAATGTTTCTCAGACATAATTTTCTAATTTCTCGAACCGCAACATTTTTATCAGTTAGCCTAAACTGAAATGATCCAAAATTCATAAGAATTACCCAATTTAAGCATGCAATTGAATTTCATAATACAGTATCTAAAGAAGGTTTTATTGCAGTCGGTCCAAATTTTTGTGAATCAACGTGTACATGTTTGATATCGTTCTACTAGTGTGTACCAAACTTATGATCCTCTGAGGCATTGCAAGTACTGTATCTTGATGTTTTCTATACTATACGGACTTCAGTGTGAAGTAAAATTTTAAAACTGTGAATAGTGCCACTGATACAATTGAATGTTAATGTCCCAACAACATTAGCATCTCACCTCGGTAATTAGCTTTCATGCACATCTGTGAGCGGTACCTTTTTTGATGACTGATTGATACAACTTTCAAATTTTTCCGAAGTTCGACACGAAAAATTTTTTTTTTTTTACTTTTTGAGACGAAGCAGAAATGCTGATTTAACCATCGCGCTGTAATTTTTTTATGACTTCATCCTTTTAAGCAAGGGATCTTTTCTCACTTATCCGTTGTTTCTATTCGTTGCTTCTTTCAGCCGTAATTCATATGTTCTACTTCTGCGACTTGTTGTGCCGAGAGAAGCAAAATCTGGGATTTGAGGAGCTTGGTAAAGGAGTTAGATATGCGCAGAAATTGTTACCGACCGTGCTTAGCAATTACCGAAGTTGCTGCAGAAATCTCTCATCAGCATTGTCTCCTTTGTCCTCGCGGAAGAAACTTGACATTGCTGCTGTTATTGTTCAGGAGGTAAGTTCCTGGTTGTCAGATTATACGAGGGGTCTAACAAAAGTTGTCGGGATAGAATTTTAAATGTCATATGATCCAGCTGAAAAACAGTTATTGTTCAGAAAAAAAAAACATCTTATAGTCAAGAAAAAAATCAGCCCTGTTTGACATGTTTTTCAAAATAATTTTGCGAAAGTCACTCCGGCAGCTTTCTGCTCCTCACTCGAAAGATAAAGCGCCCATCTCGCAGATTTTTTGGCGTAGCCTAACTTTTCTGTCATAATTCTTGAAATCGACATGGCATGAATTCCTTGGGATTCCTCCAGGTCTTCCGAGGCAATTCCGTCATTTTCATGAACCGCCGCCACGTTCTCATCCCAAGTGGCGGCTGTGAAGGCGCCTGCGAATGAAAGTGTCGGAATTGTTATCTATTTGTGGCGGCAACCCTTGGCATTAATGTCTTGTCAATTTCAATGATTCTGAAGGGAAAGCTGGGGTACACCAAAAAATGTTCGAGATAAGCGCCTCCATCCTTTGAATAAAAAGCTAAAAGCCGCCAGGGCGACTTTCTGCAAAAAAATTTCTTTGTATTTCGTAACAGGGATGAATCTTAATTCTTGTCCTAAAGCATTTTGTTTAACGTTGATTTTTTTTCGCCTGCATCATAGCCGTTTCAAGTTATATCCCGAGAACATTTGTTAAAACCTTCGGCGTATTTGGAGACTGTTGGATGGTATAACGGATTCATTGAGCCTTTTTATCGTTTCAATTGAAAGGGAACGGCACATTTCCGTGTCGGAATTGTAAGACTGGTCTTATTTTTGTCTCGTTTTAATTTTGATCGCGTTTTCTTGTTTCAGTTCGAATTTTTGGCCTTCGACTCGTTAGCGTCGGTTTTGGAAGAAATCCATGCGATCCTGCAAAGAGTCAGTTCAGCATGGGAGAATCGGCTTGGGAGTGATCATGTTGATTTGAGCGCTGGTTCGGTATCTGGCTCCCAGGGAACTTCTTTTCAATCTTTCTTGGGTAGTGCTATTCATAAGGTGAGCTGTGAAACTTTTGTGCAGTTTTCTGGTGAAGAATTCTTTCATTGAAGACGAGGGCTGGTTTCTAAGATCTGACCGAGTCTGCTTTTATTGAACCTCGAGTTTTCTCGAAGATGATGAATTTGAACCTTCGGTGTGCTGTACTTTCTGTACCCAAGCTGAACTTCCCAACAAATTTCAGTTATCACTTTTTATTAATGTAAGATGGTTGTCCATGTTGGACGCGGCCTCTGATATTTCGAGAATAAGTGATATTTAAAAAAAATCGTGATATAGTCTATGATGTCCTTAGGTTCTGGGATTTTAAAAAATCATGAATTTCCTGCAGGGTGAGTGAAAACTTTCTAGTCACAGCCGGAGTTCTCGACCCATATCGCAGGGTGGTGAAGATTTGTCGGGCCTGCAAGAAAATTTAAACCATGATTTGAAATGTAGAAAATGTAATAGTTCGAACAACAAAAAATTTTCAATTTTTTAGCTGGCCTGACAAATTTTTCGTCACCCTGTGATATGGGTCGAGATTTGGGTGCAACTGGAAAGTTTTCACTTATGCAGTAAATTGAAAAACTTTTCAGAAATCCGAAAAAAATTCCGGAGCCTTAGAACATCGTGGGACATACAACGGATTTTTTTCTTCGATCACACCTTCTCGGAGGCACTGTCCAACTAGGACAACACTCGTATTTATTGATCTTGAAATTAAGTTTGTCGCTTGGAAAATTATAGAAGAGCACTGAAGGAAAGTTAACTGATGAATTCATGAAAAAAAATTTGCATTCAAGGAGCACTGTTGGATTACAGTATTTCAATCAAATGACAACATCATTAACCAGGCCTCGTACGATTTTTTAAAATATTACTTTGAGCTTTCGTTCGTCTGCAGACTCTGATAATGCAAGAGCTGATGCGGATTAGAGATGCTTGCGACAAAATCACGTGCATGTCGTTGTACTTCATTGCCAAGAAGTAGGTATCATGTTTCAACATCTTCATAAGCTTAGTGATCTGCTGTCTTCCAGCGTTTCAACGATTAGTGATCAATTTTAATCTTACGTGTGTAATGAGAAAATAACTTGATTGTTATCTGCATTCCTCTTGATCGGAATATTTTAGGGAAATTAAAGAAGAATTAGCCGTGCGATGGTGTACCTGAAGGAATAATTGTATTCATTTTCGTTTTCAGAGATCATTATTTAAGGCTCTGCGTTGCGGATAAGGTCAAGTGTGTGGCATTGGGTTTGGAAGAATTGCTCATGGAGTTGCCGTGGTTCAGTGTCAGACTTGGTGACTTGGTCCAAGTTTCGAAGGCGGAGTACGACGCCGTTTGTTTCAATTTTTGCTTCCAGTTGGCTGTTGAAAAATTTGTGAGCATTATTTTTTTCGTCGACATTCTGTCAACAGGGTTTTTTGAAAATGCAATGCACTCAGCTACTTGTGATACGAGGTAGAGCTGTCTCACTTGGGCGAGACCTTCGCTATTTCTAGAGTAGGTATGACCTAGAAAAAAAATGAAGTCATGGGAGCCTCCTACCGGAAATTGGAGTTGATCTCGTTACTGAAAATTATGGGTTGAATTTATATTCCAAAGGCCTTTATGCTGTCCAATTTACGAGATCACAAGGCGAGCATTCAGGCTCTGATGTCCCAGTTGGCCTCGTTGGTGCAGCGGGAAGAATTTTACACGGCGTTGGTTGAGTTGGAGTTGTTAGATTCTCGATTGTCTGTTGGAAGCGACGCCGGCCAAGACGCAGGGAGACCGAGTAGCAGTGGAGCATCCGTACCGAGGAACTCACCACCGGTATTTGCCCAGAAGAAGCTTGTTTTTGTATGCGACAAAATTTGAGAAATTAAATTTTTAATAAGCCCTGATATATGCTGGGGTTGAAAAGAAATGTGGTTCCTGGATTTTTAAAAGCGATTGAATTTTGAAGCCACCCGCCTTAATAGAAACTTGTTATCCTAGATCAGCTCAGAACTGACTTTATTTAGAATTTTTATGCAGTAATTGAATTTCTACAAACCTTGAAAAATGGTACGGTATTCTTTGACAGGACTTGGCAGACAGTAGCTTTTTTTACTCTGCATTTGTGTTTGCGTGGGTTTTTTCAAGATCATGCAGTGATTCACGATTTTAAAGTTAATATCTTTCGGAATTTCATCGGCCAATTATCAGTTATGAAAAATTAACCCTGATACTCTCGTTGTGAACCCCAGTTTGTCGTAATTATGTCGTCGCCCTAATTTATGAAACATTCGTGCGTATCATGGATATTCTCTTTTCTTATTGTTTCCTTGTTCAATGTCGGATGAAAACAATAGTGGGCTTAGTTGACTGAGAAACTTGTGTGTTTGCATGTATTCCAGTTGGACCTGGTGGCGAGTTTATGTCGTCCGCCTGCATCAAGTGACTCAGCAACGAGGCTGTTGAAGCTGTTGGAATCAGGAGCTCATGCCGACATGGAGTTTCATATTGTGTGTGGCAGTGGAGATTACCTTTGTTTCCCTGGTCTGATGGAAGTTTGCGCTTCGAATCACGAGGAGGAGCAGAAAGTAATCAAAATTAGGGCACATCGCGTTATTGTTGCTTCAAGGTGGGTATTTGTCTTGTAATTCAGACTAGAGTTGTAAAGGAACAATTTATTTTTTCGTTCTCGTATCGATTTGCATGGAAGCGAAGAAATTTTTGATAAACTTCTTATGTATTCTTGTCAAAAGCTTGGATCAGAGACGGAAGGAAAGGAAAAACCCTTCCTAGGAAAGTTCCACCTCAATGAAATTTGATACTCTTAAAGGCCATGTATTTGTGACTTTTAATTTTACATCATACCGATGGGTTTGGTTATTTGGGTTATCGTGAAAATCACTTGAAAAAGCGTTTGGAATGCTTGCGATTTCGGGGAGCAATTTTGTGATATCCCTTGGTTCAGTCGATTTTTTGAAAAAGGTAACAGAAGGGCGCTTTTCAAGTTCTCTGCTCTGTTTAACTTCGGTTTTCTTCGTCCCGGTGACGTGTCTCTTGAATCATTTTCATGATATGCTTGATGGATGTTGCGAATCTTTTGTTTTTTGTGGTTCGATGACTTATGATGCAAAGTTAAAAGAAGACGGCTGAATATGTTTTCTTCACACAGTTGAATCTCGATAACTCGAACATTACTGCAGTATATGGAAAACCTCACTTCGTCAATTTTTTTCAAGTCCCTGTTTAAATTCTCTTACGAAGGGTTTTTTAAAGTATAGATTCCAACTCAAAGGCTTTACCCTTGAAATCTACCCAGTAGAATTTTCTAGAGGCCTTGGGTATTTTTTTATTGACACTGAAAAGAGAAAAACAATGAAAATTTGACTTGATGAGTTTTGGAAGGAAGTGAAGGATTAATTCTGAAAATAAACCCTTGACTTAAACTTCAGCATAAATTTCCTGTAATTCTTCTTTATTTTCCCCAATCGAAAATACTCGTGTCCTGAACTCAAAACCTTCCTAACTCGAATGTTTTTGCTGCTCCCCTGAACTTCAACTTGAAGCGGGTAGACTGTAGTTTTCTCGGGAGATCTTCGTTATTTCCCAGCGTTCTCAGGTTAATTTAACGCTTAGGAATGTTTATGTTTTTGCTCTTCGCAGTACAAAAACGCTATCCTTCCTCTTGCGTGATTTTTTCTTCTTGTCTCCACCTTAATAATGGTTCTGGCATTTTGTCATTGTCTAATCGATAATACCTGTGTAATTTATATTAATTTTTCGTTGCGCAGATGTGATTGGTTCCGAAGAGCATTGACTTCGGGCATGCAGGAAGACATCTTGCGTCGAATTGTGATCCACGACACTTCACCTGGCGTTTTCCGAGCTTTCCTCGAGTATCTGTATTCTGGACGATTGAATCAGACGGAAGCAGCGGACGAAGGTTCAGCCCCATGGAGTTGTGATCAGTGGGCCGAATTGTTGTTGCTTAGTGACCGCTACGAATTGCCAGGATTGACCGTCGCCTGCGAGACCATCTTGATTCGTTTCATCAACCCGGAAACTGCTCTCTTCTTGCTTTCCATTGCCGACCAGTGCAATGCGTACAGTTTGAAGGTTCGTGTAAATATTGCTGGAACTATTTGTGCGGGATGGCACATCGACCAAGGTGTTTTTGTTTTTTTCGCAGACTCATTGTTTGAGTCAAGTGACGAGCGAACCCAGTTTGAGAGACTCAGAAGATTTTGAAAAGTTGAGGCCGGAGTTGCAAGCTGAAGTTGACGAAGCCATATCAATTTGGTTGGGTGCCGGGTGAGTTCTTCCTGCGGGACTTTCAGTCAGACAGCTGAAGTTGAAATCATTCTAGAAGCGTGTGATGCCCTATTTACACTAGTACCACGCGAGCCTTTTTTTTTTTTTTTTACAGAAATGAGGCGGAAAAATGTGATGCGCGTGGTACTTGGAAATGAATTTGTGAAGAATAAATTCCCTAAAACATGGAAGTACTTTACATCTTGGAAAGAAAATGAAAAGGAAAATTGTAGTGACAAGTCTCCTTACCCGTAGGAAATAATGGTTCAAACAATAAGAAGTTATGTATTTACTGTAGCCGTGGAGTAAGATGCGCACCAGGTTTTTCAGTCTAAAATTCTTATAAAATCTTATCCCCGAGTATGAAGTGCCCCACACTTTTAGCGACTGATACTGCTATACAATATGTCAAAAATAGGAACACCCAATTTTGAATTTATGCATGAATTGAACCTGAAGTCAACCATTTTTGAATTGCTTTTCTTAGAATAAGGTTTGCTGTTGAAATTGATCCAAAATTTCCTATTAGAATTGAATATAATGCACACCAAAACTTCTGAAAAATCTATACAGTACACACTATGGGAGATGCAACAGGAAGTGAAGGAAGGGGAAAATATTCCATCTAATTGACGAAGCTTTCACATATTGCAAGCCTATTTTAACTGCTCCTTCACGCTGTAAAAACAGGAAAGACGAAATATCAAGAGAAAAAAATAGACCCACACACGAAAAAGATTTCGCAATTGAAGAAAGACTCTTGAAGACTTTTCCTCTTAGGAAGGATTGCTCTGCTCTTAGATTTCCCTCCTCTTTTCGTTCCATTGCGAAACGCTGTGCCTTGAACCCATGTTCTGTTGCATTTCATTTGAAGATGCGGTTCATCTGGAATTTACTATCGGAGCAAACGGATTGGAAACATGCATGGAGCCAGTTTGGAGTCGCGTATGCAATCAATGACTATTTCCAGTTCCAGTGCTGCTCGGAAAGCGCGTAGAGCTGCGAAACGTGCTGCGAGGCGCGATTATGTGAGTATAGCTGCGATTCCATTCAAGTTCGCAAAGGCGAACATGAAAATTTGGGTGGTTGGCACGTCAGGAATTCTAAAATACTGTATAGCCTCTATTTGTTATTCAAAGTGTTCGTTTCCTTTAGATCGGTAATAAATCCATGCAAACGCTCGTTTGCGTTGAACATTTTTTAGCGTTTTGGGGGGGGGGGGGTGGGATATGTTTTGGAAGTTAGAAGCTTGACGACTTTTCGCATGATGCGTATTTAAAACATGGAATTTTGAAATTAAATATGAAAAGCAAAGATCGATTATTTTCTCTTCTGTATCGATTTTCGAATAACGTGCAAGCTTTTACTCAAACCTTGCTTTTATTACGTGAGAAAATTCTTACGCGAGTTTTTTCTCCACTTGAGAAATTTCGAAGCGTGAAATTCGTTTTACGGATCTTTCGGAAAGCAGGACCCACCGGCTCAAGTATCCAATAGAAGTAGCTGAAAATGGATCAACTATCGAAGTGTGGACCTTTATACTTTAAAGTTGGAGAAACAAGCAGGAAAATTAGAGTTGGCGGGAAACCGTCACTATCCCCGCGCGACGAAAGCCCGGGACACGAAAGCCCCGCCATACCCGCGCACAGCTGTAACGAAAGCCCCGCCCAAACTTTTTTTCAGGACTGGTAGTCTTTGGTAGTCGCCGCTGGTTAAACTTCATTACTTTGCTACTGATTGAGGGAAGTATACCAGCTCTTGAAGAAAAGCAATGATTTTTTTCAACAAAAAAATAAATTGAAACAGAACAAATAACAAACGATTACAAAAAAATTCAAAAAAAAGAAAAAAACGGGAAAAGTTTTTATTTACAAGAAATCAAGAGTCTTTGAAATATTTTCCAAGAAATCTGAACGTTCAATAAGTTGGCTTTGATAATCTTTGCACAATTGACGCAGTTTTTTCTGGTGACCTCTCTCAAAAGTTGACACTTGCTTATGTGGAATGACACCATCTTTGTCAAATTTCTTCAGCGTTGTAGCAACTGATGCAGCGTCTTGTTTCAGGCAGCAAATGAGTAACCAAATGGTGGGATTTTTCTTTCCAACCAGGCCATTGAAATAGCAATTCCAAGCTTCACTGAAATTGTTAGTTGCGCCAAGATCATTGAGCACAGCCTGATGAATGTTCCACTTCTGTGGCGGAAATGTTGGGGGTCGTCTGGTGAAAACAACTGGGGCAATTTTTCTGGGCACTTGACTTGATGGTCCCAAAAATGGAAAAATCCCACCATTTGGTTACTAATTCGCTGCCTGAAACAAGACGCTGCATCAGTTGCTACAACGCTGAAGAAATTTGACAAAGATGGTGTCATTCCACATAAGCAAGTGTCGACTTTTGAGAGAGATCGCCAGAAAAACTGCGTCAATTGTGCAAAGATTATCAAAGCCAACTTATTGAATGTTCAGATTTCTTGGAAAATATTTCAAAGACTCTTGATTTTTTGTAAATAAAACTTTTTCCCTTCTTTTTTTTATTCTTTTGTAATCGTTTGTTATTTGTTTTGTTTCATTTTTTTTAAATCAATGTTTTTCTTCAAGTGCTCGTGTACTTCTCTCAATCAGTAGCAAAGTAATGAAGTTTAACCAGCGGCGACTACCAAACTGACTACCGAAGACAACCAGTCCTGAAAAAAAGTTCGGGCGGGGCTTTCGTTACAGCTGTGCCCGGGTATGGCGGGGATTTCGTGTCAGGGCTATTGCCCCGCGGGGCTTTCGTGTCCCGGGCTTTCGTCGCGCGGGGATAGTGACGGTTTCCCCTGAAAATTCAAGCTAAGGATGTTTGAGAGCAAAAGTTTTCGCCAAGGTTTTTAATGCCTTGTTTCTTAGGGAATCCACACGGGGACTTGAAGAAAATTCGACTAATGGACGTTTGAGCTATCGAGGTTCAACTGTATCAACAACGTCCTCGAAACGGCATAAGCAATGTGGACAAGATACAATATTCGTAGATTGGTCTATAAGTCAGGGAAACTATAATCAATCCCCCGGTGAATAGACAGCATAACAATATCAAGCAGCTAACATTTTCAAACGATCAACAGACCGTGCCTTGGATAATAGACTCCCGAAACAATCGATAATCTATGAGAAAAATTCAAGTTTCTGTGGCTAATTCCGAAAACCCAAATTTTTATTACAAAAATGTACCTGTATTTTCAATTCAAAAAGCCCTCCTGAATCACTTCTAGATACGGACGAAACTCACGCGGATTAGATTGTAAGGGAGGATTCGGTAAGATTACTATAAGTTCATCTCTGGTCAAGGTTGAGTTATTCTGGCAACGCCTCCACGAAACTTTAAAAAGTAAAATCGGATTTTAAAAGGAAGAAAATGTTTACATCCCATGGATGCAGAAATGGTTGAAGTATATACTGATCTCTCGATCATCTATAGCTTTGTTGAGCAAGAAAAACGAATGATACCAACTTGTACTTGGCCGTGTAGAAAGGCACAGACTCCACCAAACTACCCTTCTTGACAGCCATACGCCACGCATCTTGAACTCCCCGAATAATCCACAAATGACCACTGCATTCCAATGCCAATTTGGAAGCGGTGTTTCGGTATTCCTTACTCAGGGCCCACAATATTTCGCCTTAATGGAAGCACCAGATAAGCAATAATGCGTCAGAAATAGGATGGAAAACAACAACAAAAACATACCATTATCCTTCGTTCTATGCACGAGTTTATCTACGATCTGAACCAAATGATCGCTTCGACCTGCTGCTGCCTTCGCTTCTTTCACAGCATCCTGCGCGAGTGTTTGAACCTCTGAAAACTTTTTCGCGTATTCTTCCAAGGTAGCACTCATTTTCTTGTTGACGCTCGCTTGAAATCTGAGCATATCTTCATTCAAGCTGACCTGAACCTAATAAAAATAGAAAGCGAAGATGAAGGCCGCGTAGTTGAACTGCTAAAACGCTCACTCGAAAATATGACCAATGTTAGAATTATGCCGCACCCCTTTTTTTTCAAGCAATTCCAGGCATCGTTAAAAAATAAAACCCGCTCGAAAAGTTTCGGTCAAGATTACCAACATTTATTCAAAAGTATTGATCGACGGCATTACGTATTGCCCGAAGGTGGACAAAAATCTAGAAAGCATGTGTATAATCAATTCTTCATCTAGTGAAAGTTAATGTAGACTAAATTTGTTCGATAATAACGACGTTTCAGAAAACATAACGCGTTCGAGTAAATGCAGAGTTTTATTCAATTATAAAATCTAAGAAATCTCAAACAGTATTATTCCCGATTTCAGTCACCTAAAAACTTCACAGGAAATTTTCAAGAAAATATCGTGATGGTAAAATGCAGGCCCTGCTACATTTCTCAGGAAAGTGTTTAGACTTCTTAGCATACGAATCAAGCGCAAAAATTTGCTTTTTGTGGGACACAAACCGGGGAAAAATCATGCATGAAAAGCTGTTCAACCCAAAATATAGATATTTTCTGCAGCTAACTTTCAAAATGTCATCCTTGTTCGTCTTTCTGGTGGATTCAAGTTTTTCTTCCAGACCAGCGACTTTCTCCAGGGCTTGTTTGAGCAGCTGGTACTCAATCCCGAGTTCTCCGTTCTTTTCTATAGGACTCGCTTCTTTGCTACAATTAGGATAATTACATTTGAGGTGGAAATGATGAATCAATTTAAGTCTCATTTACGTACCTTTTTGTCGGCAAAGAAGCGTCTCCCTGAGTGGCCATTTCAAAATTTTCTCTTATTTCCGCGTGAGCAATTTTTTCGGTTTTCTGTTCTACGATCTTCTGTGCGGCGTGTCGGCGAATTTCCTTGGCTTTCGAATTGGTTGGATTAACACCACTTCCCACTTTTTCGGATAATGCTTTTTTTTCCGGCCGGGCAGATTGATTAGCAATTAAATTTCCAACTTCATCGCCTGTTGCGATATTTTCAAGGCCAGAATCTGAGGTTACAGAATTTAAATCACCTGCACCATTCGTCGCTTCCACTCTTTTATTAGATACAATGGTCTTGGCACGCATCATCACGCTACTTGGCGACTGGAACTCAGAACTGAGATTATTGTTGGACTTGCCAACGCCTCCATTACGCGCATTTTGCAGGAATGATCCTTCCTGCGGCAAAATATTTTTTTCAGTCACAAATCAACTCGATAATTTCGCGAATTTCAGATAAGGCCGAAATCAGGAGACACCGGACATCAGAAATGAATCCTGGACTTATTACTGATACCAGGAAGCGGGTGAAATCTAAAAATGCTATGCTTCAGTTATGTGCAAAACTACTATACGAAGATTCTGATGCGCTAACTTAATCCTCACATCACGTTCCGCTAATCGAATATCCTATTGTAACTACTGTATTCCTATTGCTCAAAGACTCAACCTAGCCCAACGACCGAATGGAAAGAACATTGATGCGTCATCAGCATCCAGGTAATTCCGACAATTACGGATAATAATACAATAAAAGCGTGACAATCACTGCTGAGTATCTTATTTGTATTATTCAAGTCATACAAGAAAATACTTGGTAAAATGACATCACCCCAAAACGAAAAAAATTGGGAGAGAATGATGGTCGCTACTTATTCGCCAAATAGATTTGTTTCGGTAAGGTTGATTAAAACACACTAGATAAGACGATTATTTGGAGACATGAGGATAATTGGACATTACGTCAAGTAAGGATTCACTCAATGCCCTATGTTTTGATAATTTGCATGTTAATAGATTGCTTATGCTTGTCAGGAGACTCAGTTCAATGAAATGCAAGGTAGGAGTAATAATGTGTCCATTTATCGTAGGTAGGGTGCAACATAGTGAAGCAGAAATAATAAAAATAGAGCGAGTCTGTTTAGAATCTGTTCTTTCTTTCATTTAATACTACAGTAATTCAAATACAGATGGACATCCTTCTACGTAATTATTCAGAGAGCAGATGATTTTATTCTACTCACATTTTCAGTAGAAGATATTCCCGGCGGCTTACTTGACCGAGATTTTGGCTTTGGGGCACTGCAAGCATCTTTCGTGCTCGTCTCGTAACCGAGATTGAGTTGTCCTCCAGTCCCGGAAATCCCTCGAATTGCATCCAGAATGCGCGCCATTTCAGCTCTTCGGTCCTCTTCCAGGGGACTGACCTCTTTCGATTTCAGGTTGACACCCGCAACCGCCATTATAGACACCTCTACACGAAAAAAAAAAATCGGACACAAAAATCAAATTCTTACTCTTACAATCTAGTTAGATTCTGAAATATAACGGAGGCTCAACGATGAATCTTCCCGGGCCTTTTATTATCCCATCACTGGAGACAAGCAACATATGCTCGAAGACAGAAACATTTCAAGAACAGAGGCTACACTCGAGAGTTCCAGCAGAAGGTTATATTCTTCTCGAGGAACCGAATACGCAGCAGAGAAGAATAGCCCTCGAACATCGAATCATATGAAATCGTCGTAGTCCTCGTATCCACCACCACCGCGGTAAAATGCAGTGTCGTCATCCTGAACGTTCCTTGAGCCGGGATTCAAAACTGCGCGACCTTTCTTCTTTTTGGCTTTCCCACCGGCTTTTGCGGTGTTCACCTTTTCGTTGTGGACAGCGTTGACCGTAGCGCTCAGCTTTTTAACATCATCCATATCGAGCGATATGCAAACGTCTCGCACGAGGTCTTCAAGAAATGCGACATACACGGAAGGAGGAGTGGTATGTTTCTCCAATTTCGCGACTAACTTCTTGCGGAATTCCTGGAGGTCAGATTCGGTTCGCAACGGAACGTTCCAAGCATCCTGAAAATTGGCAAGTGGGTTAAATATTTCGAATGGGGGTTTCTCGCGGAAGCTCCTATGCTTGAATTTTGTCGAATCAACAATGGAACTTGATTTTTTTCTAGCAAGAGATCATAAGGCTGAGTTGATACACAAAGACGCAGACATGATTCCAACTAGAAACAAAGAAACGTACCTCATCTTTTTCAATTCCAAAAGTTTCCCGAGCAATTTCTAAATCCCGCTCTTCTTCCAAAGCTATGCGCTGAGCTTCTGTCAACGGTTTCTCGTCCACTTCTTCGGATTCCTCTTCTTTCTTCTTCAGATCACTTATCTGTTTCTTTTCTCTATCGGCAATGGTTGAAGCGAGTTTTTTCTTCTTCTTTTTTTCGACTGCTGCTTTATCCGGTGGATTATCCCCACTCGGCTCCTGCTATGTAAGACTTGAAATTACAGCAACACAACTTGCAATAAAACATAAAAGTTTTCAAATAGTACCTTTTCAGCGCTTTCGCCGAAATCCTCCCAACTATCTTTCACTTCCTCTTCATCTTCTCCCTCCCATTTATCAGTTATTTTCGGGGCAGGAAGGGAAGGCTGGAAATCTTCATCATCCCAGCTGGCCATGACGAAACGATGTTGCAATATTCTCAATTGCCCAACAGATGTGTCAGCTGCACGGTAATACGCAGGCAAGGTGAGGCATAGCTACTGGATAAAAAAGAACCGGAAATTGTATATTTGTGTACCACTCATGTATCCCCAGTTTCAGGCAGCAAAACAGTACTGAACTGTATCACGACTACGCGACGATGTCCCGAAATGTAAACCATATTAGTAGAGAAACGCATCCAATAACGCGGCGTGCACTCAAGCCCAACGAATCCCAAAATCGAACGCATATCTTGAGAAGATCAAGCAAAATGCCCTCAACTGGTCGAATGAGTCAACCCATACTGAAGTTTAACACGGTCGACGGGTTCGTCTTTCGTTCTTACAATTTTTTTTTCCGGAATCCCGTTAACAGGATATATTCTGCTCAAATAGCCCTCGACAATCACAAGAAGTATTTTCACGTAACCTCGCATCATACATAAGGATGAACCAGGCCACAGGCAATTCCTGCACAGATACGGCTGTATGAGCACGCTTCCGTCAACCCATACGGATTTCTTCGAATAGGAAGATTGCCGCGGTACTCGCAACTCTACCTTTTCCGGGCTTGACGGTAACGTATATTTCTAAAAGTGGAACCTACGCTACCTGGCGGATATCTTCGGAATGAAGCATTATAAACACTATCCATGCTTCCATGCTACATTGGATAAGTCCGTCCACCGGTATATAGTATATGGACTGCAAAGCATAAAACTTAGCATGAAAACCCCTATATATTCAGAAGAGCCCAAAAGATTGACTTTAAAAAATGTATCCAAGTCTATTTATTGTATGGTCAAATACAGCCATGTATAGGCAGGGAAAAAAACGTTTATTTCCCGTCTTAGATTATATCAGAGCATTATATAAGTACAGTATAAGAGCTGCCCTACCAGAAATACCTCCTCGTCAAGTGCCTCAATTGATCCGCGTCATGTTAACAGTTCTCTCGCCATTAGATAAACCCTAATAAAAATACGATTTGTAATTTGATTCCTTTCCAGCACTTTGTAGCGGGTCTTCCCTTTGAAACGGAAATGGCAGCCCACCCAAAAGCTGGAATTTACCTGTTGACGCAGTGGATGTCCAGATCTGGAAGAGGAAGTGGTTTCGGAAGTGGTTAGTGAGGGAATATCCGCGTTTCTTGCCTTGCCAGTCTAAAATGGTATTGATGCATTAGTTCCATTTCTTGATTTAATTGCTTCCACCGCTCGGGAACAGGCTTTGTCTAATCCAGTTGAACAAGATTGTTCATGGGAAGCAGTTTAATTTTGCGCCCATTGTAACGAAACCGGCTGGTCTGAATCGGATTTGATCGGACAGGTTAAGTAGATTGACGCGGGAATTTCCGCTTGCTCTGCAGAGTCAGATTTTTCATGTATTGAGTGCAGTTTGAATTATTTATGATCTGAGCATGTTATGAAAGAGTGTCTCAATGTTCCTGTGATGTCTTTGATGGAATAGAGACGTTCAAGGTTGTTTTTTTCTGAGGTCGTACTTATGTACTGTAATTTTTTACTTGCGATCATCCGGAATCTCTTTTCTCAATTTTGATTATCCGAAGCTTGATCGATTAGGATGCGTCAAATTGATCTTCAAGTTATAAAATGCGTGGAATGTACTCGCCGATTACTGCTCACTTATGCCGAGATGACGTATCGTGCGCATATTTCCGAAGTTAAGCATTATCAACACATTTTCCCTTATTGATGCATGAATAGCGCCATACTGTCCCCAAGTAATTTCTCAAGCGCTGCAGAACCGAATGTCAGAATGACTATTGAACGATAATTCTGAAATACCATTTGTTAATTATATGCTCTCATCATGTTGAAGGATGCTCTCCGTGTAAATGATTCTCTCTCGCACTCGCGAGAAAGTCAGAAGTTCCAGCGTGAGTGCCAGTACGCTGCGATACATTGTGGCGGTGCCTTGTTTTTCACCTGTTCGCTGTAGCAACAGGTAATGACAACGTTTTGGTTTCAGATATTTCTCCTGCTGAAGAAACCGCTTTTACCCTTGTCATTTCATTTAATTGTGTCAAATGTTGTTCTTTCTGCTAGAAATCAGTGAGCTGTAAATAACCAAACCTTGGAATTCTCACATTGAATCTCTCATGAATAGTTGAAGCCAGACGAGGTAATCTCGAAAGATCCCTTGTGACATCCGTACTTTTTTCTGTTCCATTGTCTCGAAGAACCCTGCAAATGCGTTGTCGTATTTAGGGAATTTATATTGCCGAATGAAGGCACATTTTCTCGGTTAGAGTCAGCTAATGGAGTGTACAGTACCTTGGTTTACGTAGTAAACTTGATTTCCCCTCGATTGAGCCATTGCGGGATCCAAACACGGGAAACGAATCTGGAATAACATATACAAGCGGCATTCGCCTCCAATCGTATTGACACAAGTTTGCAAGTTTATTATTCAAAACAACTTCCTCGGATGATCCCGTAATACAATACAGTACTATACCGTTTTCAAGATCATAACCATCATCATGCAGTAAGAGCCACCCTTTTCCAATCTGGATCAGACTTCGCGATGTCTGGATTGAGACCAGACGCGTCAGCCCGTAGCATGAATCACAGGCGTCATGGTCCTGATCGCATACGATTACCTCATTGCATTTTAATGAGTCGCAATTTTTCTCGAAAATTTTTTTCAAAAATTGTACAGTACTTTTTGTATTTGATGACGTGTGGTAGCTGATACTCATAATTTTCATTTTAAGCGATCATTTCTGAGTTCTAATTAATTTCAACTTCCAGGTTAAAATGTAAAATTTAAATTGGATCTTTCTAAGACTTTTCACAATATTTAGTTACTTCATGAGGACGAAATATGCTGAACATTTTGCGGCAACAATGCCATCGAGCGTAGACAGATTAGCCGAAGATACTGAAAGAGATTGGCCAGACAAAAAGCAATGCTTCTTCTTCATTCTCCTTGGAGAGTTGAAAATTAAATATCCGGCGAAAATAAAATTATTGATGATACATAGGCAGATTAGCAATGAACAATGCCTTTCCTACGTAGGTTGCCAGGAGGTACCAGCGTTACCAACGAACCACCTGCAAGATGATGTTCACAGGGGGTACCACCTACGGCTCTTCTAGTAAAGGCAAGCGTGGTACTGGTAACAATAAGAAACAGCGATCGACGCCGCACAGCGGAGGACTCTCAGCGCGCCAGCACTTACAGCACCATGCATCCTCGGGGGCAATGGCTATGGCCAATAGCAATGAAAGCAATAGTAACAGTGGTTATCCGGGCGGTGCCTGTTCGACGTCAGGTGTGAGTTCAGCCTTGGCAAACAGCAGCTCTCCTCCTCGAGTGCCACCGGATGGAGCAACTGCCTCTGGCTTCCTCCTCCAGTCTAGTTCCCTTTCGGCGCATCCGCGCCAACACTATTACCATCGTCCGGGCTCGCTAGCTCAACAATTACCGCCTCCACCGGCCTCGACTTCGGTAAGAAATCCTAACATTCATGTTCTGAAGCACTCCACTTCGGTAGAACGCACACATCTTCCAAAAGTACAGTAGAATTTCGTTAAAACAAATTATAAATTGCAACGCTGTTGTTTTCAGGTCTCTGATCAATAGCAGTAAATATGTTATTCAACTCGCTTTCTTACGAATAACTGGTCTAACGAAGTTTTTGCCTGTCTCAACAGCTTGGGTGGAACGAGGTTTTACTGTATGTGAAGGATTATTAATTTTCGATACAGGCTTTGACTGGTGATGAGCTCATCATTCAGCTACTCGCTTGAGGATCTTCTCGTGCTAGATACACATCTATTAGGACAAAAGACGTCCTCGCCCGTTTTTAATTATTTCAATCTCATCGTTCCAACGGAGGTGACATGAGCAAATATTTTGTTCTTCATCATAATAACCCCTCGCAATACTGACTTATTGATTCAATACCCAAAATCCATTTAAATTCCCATTTCGTCTGCGGGTTACCAAAACGCGCTGCTTATAATTTGTCTAGCTGTAAATGTCTAAGCCTTGTCCCTTCACTCTACAGATGCTTTAAAGATTTATGATGAACGTTATGGAAAATATTTTCAACCGAAAAAATGTTAAAGAGCGCAGATTTTTTTTTTTCAAGCTCAAGATGCGTTCTTCGGGGAAAATCAATGTTCAGGTGCGAGCACTTCGGATGGACGAAGGTGAGAATCGTCTCGACACAGAAAAATGTAAGAATATTCCTCCATTGCTGTTCATTGCCTTTTTGCAGGTCCGTACCTGGACGACGATGATTTCAAGGCCGTTGGTGGGATTACTCGACGACGCGGTGCTATCAAACATCAGAAGGTGCACGAGGTTCGCGGACATCGATTCGTGGCCAAATTCTTCCGACAGCCCACATTCTGCGCGTTCTGTCGTGATTTTCTCTGGGGCTTCGGGAAACAGGGCTATCAGTGTCAGCGTGAGTGTTCCAAACCATTCAAATCTTGCGAAAGCAATGGCAACTTGAAGTTACTGTTCGTTTGCAGAATGTCAGTGCGCCGTGCACAAGAAATGTCACGAGAAAATTCTGGGCAAATGTCCGGGATCCGGGAAGGAGTCACAAAGCACAATAGTGAGTCTCAATACAATATTTACATCGGATGCAATATTATACTCAGAGCGCAGAACCGTATGCAAATAGTTCACAAAAGTTGACCGATTTTGAGAGTAAAATATCTCGATTTGTCAGAGGTACTACAGTACCGAACAGTTTACGACTGAAGCATCCCCAGTTTTATGAGATGATTTTTTTTCGATGATTCTCACGAATGCGTAATTTTCTTTTCAGTATCTGCGGGAAAGATTCAAAATTGATGTTCCTCATCGCTTTAAAATGCACACCTACATGTCGCCAACATTTTGTGACCACTGTGGGTCAATGCTGTACGGACTTTTCCGACAGGGCTTCAAATGTGAAGGTAAATTATACCCGTTCATTTTCACGTTTGATTAGTACTGTGTGACCCAAACGTGTGAACTTCATTGGTTCTATGTCAGAGTGCTTGTGCCAAAAAGTCTTGAAAGATAAGCACGAGTTTCCGGTAACGATGAAGCCTATTTTAGTTCTCGCGAGAAAAATGGGAAATTTGCTTTCTGTTTTCTAATGCTGACAAATGAAACGGTACTCTGTGAATTTCAAAGCGGAACCTTTTTTTTCTCTTGTTTATGAATACTGTTGCTGCAAGTGTTACGGTAATGCTCCACTAATTTCGTATTCGCGTGTTTAAATACGAGCGATCTGTGTAAACTTTTTTCTTATAAAAGTGGCGACATCTGATGATCTTGCCTCTGACAGCTGTAATGTCAATTATTTTCCTAGAAAGACGCTGGGAATTATTTCAGTCATGTTTGGATGTAGGTACAGTATTTTAATCCGATCTGACGTCGCAGAATTGTGAAAACTGAAAAATGAATGAAAGCTGAAATTTAAATAAAAGCACTGATTTTTTTTTTTTTTTCGTATTCGAAAAGAACTTATGGATCAAATCTCTCGTGTGCTGAATTAAACTCCCATCAGTGAGCGAATGCGATATTTACTAGGCGTTATTCATTTTGGTTTCCCTAGTGTGCAATGTGAACTGCCACAAAAAGTGCGAGAAACACATGCCAAACTTGTGTGGCGTGAACCAAAAGTTGCTAGCCGAAGCCATTGCCACAATTAAACGAGGTGATGTTTCTTTTCGTTCATGAGATATATTTTCTTGAAAAATAAATGCCACTTCTTTGCTTTAAGGGGGTGCATCCGGTATGAGTAGCAGTAGAATAAATTCTACGACTGCGTTTTCGCCGTCTGGCCAGCAACAGCAGAACGCCATTCCTAGATCTAGCAGCAGTAGCAGTTTCTTGTTGGACCCGTCATCAGCAGTCGCAGCTGACCAGCAAATGCCGTCTGTTGGATTGATGAGGCTACCTTCTACCAGTGTGTATTTTGACCAGTCATTCTGCTTTCCACTGATCTGCTGCGAAGGGTATCGAATTTTTCCTGAAAATACAATAAATTAATGAGGAGAAAACGGCATCAGTTAGTTACGTTTTATGAATTCACTGTCAATAATTATACACTTTTTTAAAATAATACATCTAAAAATAGTCCCAAGAGCCACGGACAACGCCATAGCTGAATCGAAGTCTCGATTAAGATCTGATTTAGTAAAATATACTGTTCTTGCTAACCATTGATGATCTTGGGGATTGTTGGAGAAGATTTCAGCGATCATTTGAGACCTTTGATTGCTCTGAATCCCAGCAAGTAATTTGAAATCACGTTACTGTTTTAGGGAAATTATTGTTGGAGGAATCTCGTGATAGGTGATCAAATGGTGGTATTTTTTTATATTCCAGTATCAATTCTATCACGGTAATTAATTTGAGTGGGAGAATAATCTTGAAAGGTGTGGAAAACAGGGAGGAACTCAGACAATCCTTCAAAATTATCGTACTGAGTTATTTTTTTTTAATCTGAAGAATTTAAATATAATACCGGTTGATTCATTAATATTTTCAGTTGGAAAACCTGGTCGGGAAGTTGATTGGTTAACGAAATATTGAAAATATGTGCTGCATACCGAACATAGTGGTTCTTGCTGAAGAATACGGCCACGATTTTTGCATTATTACCAATATTCATCGTCTTGGTTTTCTATACAGCATCCAATGACAGTAGCAGTTCGACATATTCAGCAGAAGACGAGAACGAAAGCGAAACAGAGAAGGAAATGAACGACGGAGTAGTTATTACTGAAAAGGGAAAAGAAGCTAACGATGACAACGGTAACGACGATGCAGACGACGATCCCGAACGGGGTGCTTGTAGAAAAAGCCCAAAACCGCGTTCCTGGAGCACTGAGGAAATGAAGCCCAAGAAAAACAAGAAAAAGAAGAAGAAAAAGCCCGCGCGAAAAACGCTGGCTGTGTTGGGTTCTTCAGCGTCGACGAGAAACGTTAAAACCTCTGCCGAGTCACCGAGAGCCTCTGCAAGACGAGACAGTGATGGTAAGACGTACAATCGCAAGTACGGGATCGAAGATTTCGTCTTCCTCAAAGTACTGGGCAAAGGAAGTTTCGGCAAGGTTTTGCTCGCCGAGTTTCGCGGCGACGCGTCTGCGAATACCGAAAACGCGTACGTCGCTGTCAAATGCTTGAAGAAAGACGTGGTGCTTGAAGATGATGACGTGGAATGCGCCATGGTGGAGCGTCGCGTGCTGACGCTTGGTGCTCGGCACCCGTTTCTTTGTCAGCTTTTGTGCACGTTTCAGACCCCGTCACACTTGTTCTTCGCCATGGAATATCTCAACGGCGGTGACCTCATGTTCCACATTCAGGCCTCGGGTCGGTTCGACCAGGACCGAACGCGTTTCTACGGCGCCGAGATCATTTGCGGACTTCGCCTCTTGCACAGCAAAGGAATAGTTTATCGGTAAGGTTGATTTTCCACCTCAGAACCCTTATAAATCCCGTTTGAATCGTTTATTACATTTTTTGCTGTTGCGCGGGTAAGAATACTCAAGTCTCGTATTTTTTGTCTCCGTTACTTTGGACAGAAAGTCGATGAGAAACGATTTTTCAATGATTGGAAATCGGCTTAATTCCGTGCATTGCAGCATACCGTATTTACGCACTAGAGTTGGCATCCTGATTTTTGACAGCCATTTCAGGAAAAAAGTAGAATTGTACTGGATTACAGGTAATCTGGATTTTGAATAACCTAAACGTATTGATCGAGAAAGGGATAAACGCAATTTGAAGATGTTCAGTTTGGGATCGCTTTCAGCAGTAATTTAGTTGCGAAGACGAAGTATTTCTTCACTGTGTGGTACGAAGATATTATTTCGTAAAAAAAAATCTGAAGTTCTTGGCCCTTCTTGCATTTTATTTGAAAAGACGATCATTATTAAATATTCGCGGTAAATCTATTAGCTCATGCGCAAGTGATTCATTAAAAGGTGAAGAAGACAATCATTTTTTCAATGATTGGAATTCGGCTCAATTCCGTGCATTGCAGCACACAGTATTTACGCACTTATGGTCCACATCCTGATTTTGTGCATTCATATCAGAAAAATAAGATAGATCTGAATTACAGGTAATCTGGATTTTGAATAGCTCAAACTTAATGGTCGAGAAAGGGGAAGACTCAATGTGAAGAATTTCAGTTAGGTATCGTTTTCAGCAATAATTTTACGTGCCACGAGAAAATTCTTGTCTGTGGCTCGAATAGATTCCGGTATTTCGTATAAAGAAAAAAAGTTCTTGGCATTTTTTGCATTGTATTGGAAAGGGCAATCATTATTGAAGCATCCACGGTAAATCTATGTGATCATGCTCAAGTGAGTTTTTAAACCATTAAGAGGACATTTTGACTGATGATCAATGGTGGTGGTAATAACCAGTGACCTAAAGTTGGACAACATCATCCTGGACCATCGGGGTCACGTACGGATCGCAGACTTCGGCATGTGCAAGCTACAAGTGCATCCAGGCCGTACGGCGGACACTTTTTGCGGCACACCCGACTACATGGCCCCGGAAGTGAGAGAAGCTCGCATCATGTAGTCCCGCCTGACGTCGCTTGAACTAACATTTTTCACATGGCTTTATTGTGCTGCTGTCGTAGTGACGTCTTGCGAAGCATCCGGGATGATAACTCAGAAACGGAGTGGGATTCACTTCCTCCAAAGTTTAAGAATGAAATAATGACTATTTGGAGCTATGAAAATCTATGTCGTGACGGCTGACCGCCTCCCTAAATCTTTCTGTATAAGTGGATGAAAACAGTGCACGTTAAAAACTCATAATAGCGGTAACTAAGAATACTGTATCGTGATTAAGCATTCCATTTGTGGTCATGTCTTGACATCTTTGCATACTGAACTTGAAAATGAATTTAGGAAGATTTCGAGCATGAGTCTTGATTGCGTGTCACAACAAGATGGTGAAACAGTTTTGGAAAACGCAGAACCGCGACGAGGGTTTATTCTGCAGAAATTTGCGTTGCAACTGAGCGAAGTGCTGTTGTGTTTCCCCTGTGATTAACTCCCTTCCATCGTATCGCATGGTGGAGAAGCCAAAACCTGTTTTTCTAGAGTGGATTCGTCGACACTTCGATAAGTGTTCTTTCTGAGCACTGTATCGCCGTTTTATAATCCAGAGCTAGTTCAACTTGAGCATGCAATTTGCAGAAGAATAATTTTGATGAAATGCCATTTGATCGCAGATAATCAAAGGACTGCACTATAACCAAAGTGTTGACTGGTGGTCTTTTGGCGTGCTGTGCTACGAAATGCTGATCGGACAGTCGCCGTTCAATGGCTCGGACGAGGACGAGTTGTTCTGGTCAATCTGCAACGAACAGCCGTACTACCCACGCTTCCTGTCCAAAGAAGCCAAATCGTTGCTCATGCTGGTACAGTATGTCATTCTCGACGGATGCCGCATGCTAAACAATCAAATTTTTTCCCAATGCGTTTTTTTTTCTTTTTTACTGTTCGCTATAAATAAGGTGGTAACATAATGAGGGATTTGACTGAATACTGGAGCTTTATGGAGTGCAGTGCAGTAGCATGCAGTCTATTAGTGACATCATCCGTAACAAACAATGGTGAAGCGTTTGTTTTCGAGGAGAAATTTTTTTCATTCAAATTAATTGTGGAAAATTGATAGATTCCGTAAAAATATTAATATGGTAAATATTTCAAGGGAAAACATGAAGCAACTCGTCAGTCACGATATTATGTCAGTGAGTCAGCGGTCAATCAACACCACGTCTTCCAGCAAATCCCTCCATTAATCGCTGCTGAAAAGTCCAGAGTAAAAAAGCTGCACAAAGTACAGTAAAGGCTTCCGAGCCAACGCAAACTTTTAACACCAATTATTTCCGAGAAGAGTTGCTTTGTGCTTTCTTACGAGAGTTGAAGGGGTTGGCAAATTTTCTGCGAGATACAACATACTTGAAGTCTCTTGCTAATACAAGTGGACTCTTCAAACGAAATTCAAGGAACCAAAAAACAAATCGTTATGGAGATATTTAGTTGTAGAGAAACCCCGTAACATGAAAAGAGAACCATATGGGATCAAACATATTCGTGCTGCAGAGAAAATCGCTGTAGCCAAGATACTTTTGGAGAGAGCTGTAGTTTACCTGTATTCTGTCACACAAATCTTTGTGATTGTTCAACTTCAGAATTTAGAGTAATGTTTTTGGATTGCTTGGAAATTTTCCTGGCCTCTTCAATGCAAAAATACAATCTCAGAATACTACATCCGTATATTATGTAATTTTATGCTAATTTCGTTCTTTGCAGCTCCTGGAAAAAGAACCTGAACGTCGTCTCGGCTCTTCGTCGTCCAGCGGTGCAGAAATCTCTCACCAGCCATTTTTCCGCCCTATCGACTGGGATAGACTTGAGCGAATGGAGCTCGAACCACCATTCCAGCCTAAGCTGGTAAGGTCATCGTTAGTCCATCATTATACAGTATTTGTGCTACGTCTTGATGTGACAACGTCTTGTGCTCGTGTGTGTGTGTGTGTCAGTTTATGTAACAAAGCAGAACAGCGACCAAATGTTGTGTGCACTGCGTAGAAATCGGGCGCAGATGTGACCTATTTTGACGCGGAGTTCACGATGGAGCGGCCGCATTTGACAGTCGTGGACAAGGATATCCTTGCCAGTATGGACCAGGCGCCGTTCCGAGGCTTTTCCTACACTAATCCGGACATACTTACGTACAGGACCGGCAATGATTCACCACATTCGTGAACGCCGACACACTATCATCAATGCACGTGTTGCTGTGTATGAATCGTAGATATTTTTTTGTATTTTATGCTTCTATGACTCGTAGTTATTATTTTTAAATATTTTATGCACCTGCTGGTTCGACCCGTAGCAATTTTTTTCATATTTTATGCTCCCATGGTTCGTTTCTACTTTTTCACCTCTCCAAATATTTTACGTTCTTATTTTCAAGACTTCTTTGGGATGAGAGGATGGACATTTTTATACACCGTGATTCAGAAACATCCAAGTGCTGTACGATTCTATTCCTGAAAACTTTTTGCCTATTCAATAGTATCGTATTTTCAATTTTAATGACGTATTCATTATCCAACCCGATTGCACGCCAGCTCTAGCAGCATGGATTTTAGAACTAGACTATATATAGTGCATACTTGAAGCACTTGAATTTTCTTTAAGATGGGAGGGGTAATACAATGGCGAAGTTTATGCTTGATTGTTATAGATTAAGAGAACGTGTGAGCAAAACAGCAGTTGTGCCAGAGTCTTGATAATTAGGTGTACTTCTTAGCTTGGTATTTATTTTTGTAGTTCGGATGTTACGATAGTGATGACTGAGAAAACTGTAATTTGTGTTTGAAATGATGGATTGAGTGCTCCAGAAAACGGAAAAATAATCCCAGAAAACCGCACACCGAGAACACCAATTTCTCAACATTATGATAGAATTTTATGAACCTCAATTATCCGTGCTTTGGCTTACCCTGCATTTATTCAGCCAGCCTTTCCAACAATTCCAGTATGACAGAGAAAGCATAGCGGCAATAACAGTTTCAGTTTCAACTATTGTACTTCATATCCTTCAAATTAACGTACTTTTTAATTTTAAGTTTCCCTATAACTGAGATCAACGATGCAAAAATTAGAGAGCTGACAACATTCAGATATTGATCAAGTTGTACAATATCTCATTACAACCGATTTTTGTTCACAACGATTTCGTTATGGAGTTCGCTGTCCAATAACCCCTCTGTCATATTCAAACTGCGTTATCTAACGAATTTCTCGTATTTACAAAGCTTTTTCCAAGGTTGTAATTGCTTTGTTGTAGCTAGATTCTACTGGGACCAGGGAATACCTGCGTAAAAACTAGCTTCTGGACTTAATATTGACAAGTTCATGAGAGAAAATTGGAACGTCTATTCTCTTAGCGATTTGCGAGAATTATGGCAATGTCGCATCAAGTTGTTGCTGGATTTTCATGAAGTACAGTACTGTATGTTTTGTTGATTGATCAGGCGAAGGCCCCCATAGTCATAGCCTATGATTGACGCTCTGTTTTGGTTTTGTTGTTTTTTCTTGAATCTCGGAGGTTTTGTTCTAATCGTGGCGAAGCAAGACGAGTCAGTTTATATATGGGTCGGAAAAATTAATTGAAGTTGGTTTAAATTATCATTTATTGATTTTTGGAGAGAGTATGGGAAATTTTAATCAAAATCGAAAGCATGGGTTAATGAGATATTAATTTGCTTGTTTTTTCATGGGACTCCAGCTTATAAAAAGAAAAATGCCCTCATTAAGTGCTGTACTGTATACGTGATCTAGACTGAAAAGCGACCGCTACTCTTTCCTAAACCAAGAACCTGGAAATGAATGCGTGTCTTGTCTGTCCACTTTGACAGTTGCATCCATTGGATACGTCTTATTTCGACCGGGGGTTCACTGCGCAGAAAGCACGTTTAACCCTCGTTGACCCCGAGATACTGGCCAGTATGGATCAGAGCCAGTTTCGTAGCTTTTCTTACACGAATCCCGCCTGCGGCGTTTTAGGATCGCCGTTGACTCCTGATGATGCGAGAAAATTTGAAGATGGAAATTACTACAACGAAGGTTGATCAAGCTGCTGCGAAGAAACGCGAGCGAACTGTTGGTTATTGGTTGGACTATTCTTTGTTGTTGGATTTTGTGGGATACTCTTTCGTTCTTAATCGTCAGATGCGTTGGTTGTTCGTTTCCTGCTTTTTGTTTAATAAATTTGAAGAGAGTGTCCAGGAAGTTGCTGTGCGATTCCGTGTGATTAATTGACTGAGCATTGAAGAAAGTTGTCTAGCTTTTGATTAACGAGTCGATATCGTCTCATGTATGTTGCGCTCGGGCTTTTTCAAGAGCTATCAGAGTTAGCATTTAATTTTCCACGAATATTATAAGGGTCTACCATCTTCTCAGCGAAATTTTTGGTTTTTCTCGCTGCAGCATTGAAAATAATTTTTAAATTTCACGCAGACTTTTTTGACCTATGTGATATGTTTCTATTGCGAACCATCCAGTGGCGATATTTTTCAGGAGCGTGAATAAATTTCAATGACATTAGGATTAGCTCTATAGAATTTATCGCAAATGCCATGAAGTGTTGAATGCAGGGTTTCTATGAACCATCTTTGGGTTTGCGCGAGTGCAGTATCCAATTCTGCAAAAAATTAAGTTTTTTTCATTTTTTATTTTTCATACTTTCATTTTGAAACCTTCTTGACATGTACAAGGGTTCTAACAAAAGTTCTCGGAATGAAAATGAAGATGGCGTCTAATCGAGCTGGAAAAAAATTATTCTTTAGACAAAGTTGATTTCAAGAATTCTGAGGGGGAAACTGGGCCACAAAAAAAAAAAAAAGCTGCAGGAAGGGTGCCTCATCTGTTGGGTGTATAGCAAAACTCTGCCAGGGTAAATTTTGCAAAAAATTGTCAAACTGGGCTGATTCTTTTTTCGTGCCAAAGAATATGGTTGCCCTAAAGAATAATTTTTTTCCAGCTCGATTAGACGCCATCTTGATTTTCCTTCCGAGAACTTTTGTTAGAACCCTCGTATACAACCATCGTTAAAACCATTCTGAATTAGCTCCCGATTTTGAAATGCGGAGGTATTCACTGCACAGGAACTACTTGGACACCCGATATTTATTCTTATTTTGATGGAAAGGACGAGCTCCTTACTAATTGAGGCGATCTGTGAAGAATGGGGGTACTTATTACGTGATTTATTTTTATCGATTACCGTATTAGGCGTATTATTTTGAATTGCTTCTGCTTAATTATTTTGCTTGTGCTATTCGAAAAAAATGAACGAGTATAGAATCGATTGCGATTTTGTGGCGGCGACCAATTTAGAAAGGTCGTCTCGCGTCACGATCTCCAAATAGCCACCCAAGCTAACTCATCCGAAGCAGATACGATATGCGGCGATATTTTTGCTATGCACTCACGTGTTGCGTAGAATGTTTCGCGTAGAATTTTTTTTTAGTTGAATACTGTTTCGTCGCGTTTGCTTATTGTTTAACCGGCTAAGTGCATTCTACGTTGTTGGTGTCGCGTTTGGGCTCGAATTTTTAAACGAAAAATTCGGTTGGACTTTTTTCGAGAATTTATTGTATGCGCTCTGTTACAAAGGCGCATAATTTTTATCCGATCAAACACTTGCAAAAGTTGATGATCTATGGCGTGAGGAATAAAAATTTGAGTGGTTGTTGTGTATAGTGTTGAAATTCCGTATATATTGATATAGATGCTTGTTTTATCATCTCCTAAAAGCTAGTGTACAGCATTACCCTTTTTCCAAATACAGTATTAGCTGGCGATGATTTCAAGAAGGCCGCACATACGCATGATGGCGTAGGCTGAGTGCATGATGTTCAATTTTGGTGTGGGCAGATTATTGAAAGTTTTCTTCGCGGCATTTCATTTGTCAAATACTGTACAGTGTACTTCTGCGCCACTGCTGGGGTCGGCTGGAAATATTTTCAAGTATCCTCTCTTCATTGAAGATTCTCATGACGGGCAGTAAAGAAAATCTAAGAATTATACCTCGAATTCTAACATTTTTTGCCGGTTTTCTCCCGAGTTCACTCTAGAGAAACAAGATTCCTCAGGATAGAAGTTGAATGCTTGCTCGAGTTCAACACAGTTTGATGGGAGTTTAATGGGTCCTCATATTTTCCAATGTTATTGAGAGAAACCAATGGAAAGGATTCAAGCATGTTACGACGAAAATGCAGTTCAGGGGATATTCTGGAGCACAAATTTGGCATATCCAGAACGAGAAGTAACGTGTGCCCTGAATTGGCAGCTGTTCATCTTGCTGTAAGATTCGGGATATGAGAGGACCTGCATGGAAATTGAAGAAATATACTGTGCAATAATGTAAATAAGGCAGAAGTTTGCACTATGTATTCCGGATTCAGAAGTAAAAAAGGAAATTATATATCTTATATAAAAGATAATTTACTGTGAGGCTTTTGATCTACTACATCCTGGGAAATTTTTGAGTCATTTATCTTACATTCTATGATCGGCATTTTCTGTGCCGTTTTTTTAAAAATTAAGATCTTGATCTTATTATTATTGATCTTGGTGGATTTACAATGTTGTACAATTGTTTATTAAGTACAGTTTTCATTCACTCGTTTTTTTCATGAGGAATATGCATCGAATAATTGTGAAAATCTCCGTGGAGAATATATAGCTATAGTGCAGAGGTTTTAATACGAGCTAGAATAAAAACGCTTCCTGGAAATACTCTGCACCCATTCTTCACGAAACTTATTGTAAGTTGCAACATTATATGTTTTACTGTACACGCGGTTTTCATGAGAGTGAATTAGAGCAGTGTTCCGACCCAACCCATGGTCCGTGGACCGGCGCCGGTCCGCATAAGTTTTTCGCCGGTTCGCGGGAAATTTCCCCAGGATAATAAATTTGGTGGACCCCTTTCTCACCAGAGCAGAACTCGCTGGCAGAACTCTTCGCCAAAACACTGAGTTAGAGCAGCGTTCCCCAACCTTTTTGTTTTGCAGACTGCTGGCAAATTTGCATAATATCATTCTTGAATTGGAACATTTTTCAAAATTTTTCTGTGGACTGGCAAAATATCATAAAATTCTCGCATACTCAATGAAGTTTCCCTGCAATGGGAAGACTTTGTGGCAGTTTCTGCTTTATATTGCAAATACTATAAGAATCAGTGAAGCATCAGCTATTGTACAATAGTTTCAAAAAAAAATAGAATGGTGGGCTTGAAGAAAGGTTTCTTGGAATGAAAAAGTAAAATAAATTATTTCAGCAGGTGAAATTTTGTCTGAAGTGTTCTTAGGAGAAAAACCAACTTTTATTTTTCCATAAAATAATTTCAACTGCTAATGTCTCCTCGAAATTCTAGGAAAAGATAACAGGCTTCATTGCTATTTTTGATACATTTATTATGCTGTGGAAAATCTGCTGCGGACCGGCAAAAAAATTACCAAGATCAGGGATTGGGAACATTGAGTTAGAGCAAACGACACCTGTAGAGGTTGGTTCACAAGTGACATCTACAAAATTTTATAAAAAAACGTGGCGAGGAGGGAAGGAAGTGAGGTACAGTATCCATATCCATTTGTCTTAGTACCGTAAAATACAAACACATAATTAAAACCAAAATCAGTTTGAATCTTTTGTGTTGTACCTGTTCATTCGTTTTTCTGGTTAGCTGTGAGTTTAATATGCATTGTTTTTTCAGAAAGTTCCGTGACCTTGATTTATATTCAATAGTCGTGTTCTGGAGGGAAATTCATTTTACCGGTTCCTTCGGTCGGAGTACTCCGTGCCCGCCCTCGTCGTGATTGTAACTTCAGTCTTGGGACCGACTACAGTCTTACATTCAACGGCTTTATGAACGAAGTTATCTGTGCCCGACTCGCAGCTGTGTTTAATTGGTGATGAAAAATTTAATATAGTGTTCTTGTGCGACCATTCTTTAAATTGATACTGGGAATTTGGCGTACGTGGGTTGCCGGGATCTCCGAACCCGAACAAGAATTTCTGCTTTTTAGAAACTCCTGATGCAAATGTGTATTTTTTTATATACTCGGAAGTGCCGGTGAGCGATTTGTTGGGGCAGTTTCGCAGATTCCCCGCACGTGAAGATAAGGGTCAAATCAGTCAATGATAATGGCCAGCCTGTCGGAGGTCAGTTCAAACTCATCTCAGTTTCTATGCATTTTTGTTCGTGTCATGGTCTGGAAGACGTTCTTAGATGGAGAAGGACATTGCCGAGCTAAAACTTTTATTGGATGGAGCATCTCGTATGCGGATCAAGAATATTTTACAGTCCGAACTCACGAAGGCGCGGGCTGAACTTGAGTCATTGCAACGAGCCGCAACTCGAGATGCTTCATCGAAAGAAGCTTCATCTCTGAAAGCGTTGTGCACGGTGAAGCTTACCAATTATGGTAAGTGACACTGCAGGATTGTTTTTGGTCGATTTCATTGCATATTGTTCTGCAATCCAGCTTGGGATCAAACGGATAAATCCGTCAAAATTTATCTGACAAACCTTCCGGGTATTGGTGATCTCCCTGCGGACAGCGTTTCATGTGGTTTTGAAGACCGGTGAGCTATTCAACGTGACTTCATTGAGGAAGAAGATCACCTGATCCTTTTGTTTTTCAGGTCTGTGAATGTCTTGATCAAAGGTTTGAATGACAAGAATTATTCCTTCAGCTTACTGAAGCTGTTGGAAGAAATAAAACCATCGCAATCAAGTTTCAAGGTCAAGGAAAGTAGCGTCATTTTAACAATGCCGAAGAAGATTTCTTCACGATGGGCTCATTTATTATTTTCGGAAAAGAAAGCGGAGGACAAGCGTTTCGATATGCCAGATGCTGATGAAGACCCCTCTGCATCTTTAATGAAACTTATGAAGAAAATGTATGATGAAGGTGACGATGAGATGAAAAGAACACTCACGAAGTCGTGGTACGAGTCGCAAAATAAACAGGATCGTCCTTTCGGTGTCTGATTTTTCAATGTGTTTGATGGGCATCTCTTGAACTTCCGCACTGTTGATTTCCTTTCACCAATTTATGGTGCGAAGTGCGTTTTCATTTTTGTCTGATCAGCTCTTTGGTGTGCGGTAATCCAGTTGAACTGCTTTGCCAGAAATACATTTTTCGAGTTGTACTGATGTTCACAGATTATAACGTGTACATTTGTTTCCTGTGTGTTGCAAAATATTCCTTAGTGAAACTGAATTTTCAGAAATGCGATAATCGTGAGCATGGCGGAAATTCGCGTGATTACGTTCGACGAGGAAACTCCGGGGGTCGTGGTTAAGTGGAAAATCAAGCCGAACTATAACGTGTATAACGGGATGCAAGTGCTGTTTTTTCGGGACGCTCAAGCTCCGGAGAATAGTGATTTGAAGAAGCTCAAGATAAAAGTTGTGGGAACCGTGAAGGAACTACTAGTTTCTCCTGGAGATGTGATGAAACCTGGTGCAAGTATTCTGACGCTGGAGCCTTGCAGACATCCCACCGTCATGAAAGAAATGTGTGCAGAATGTGGAGCCGATCTACAGTCGACTGGCGAAACGAAGACCATGACTGCCGCCATTCCCATTGTGCACAATATTCCAGAACTCATGGTTGGCATCTGAATTTATTTAATGGCCCCTTTTTTTTGTCCTAGGAAGAAACTTCAATGATTTTGGTCTGCACATCGCATATATTCTAAGGAAGTTTTCAGAAATTCGGTCTTGTTTTGCACTCGGAGACCTGCGAATATAATTCGTTAATATCAGATCGACAGAAAATGCTAATAGATAGTTGAATCGGTGTTCAAACTCAAGTGCATTATTTCGGTGAATATGAATTTGACAAAAATATGTTTGTTACGATAAAGTTATACTGTACTGTGTTTGTGTTGCTTCTCAAGATATTACGTACAGTACATACCGGAAATTCCATGCCCCCCCTTCACTCCTATAATTTACATAGAATGCTTCAGGTTATGTTATAATTGGAACGTTATTTATAATTGGATCGGTTTACTGCCAACTTCATTTCATTGATATTCTGGATCTTGAGATAAAGGGATTCAACTCAGTGAATTTACTCCTACGCATTGTTTAATTCAGGTCTTGCTTTCTCGAAGGTGAGCCCGGAAGAAGCCCATACATTGGGACAAGAGGAAGAACAAAGGCTATTACGTGAAAGAAAACTTGTTCTGTTGGTTGATCTCGATCAAACGCTTATCCATACTACAAATGATGTTATTCCGCCTAATGTGAAGGATGTTTTTCATTACAAACTTGGAGGAAATCCCGTTTGGTTAGTAGGTCCAATGCTTCGCATGCCATAAACCGTCAGTATTTTCTTTTGAAATGATATGTTTTGTCATATTTCGATTGAAAATTTGTGACGTAGATCTTGCGTTCAAATTCCAGTCTTTGACCCAATTTTGAGATTGAGTCAACATCTGTATTGAGTTGGCTATTTTTATTCATGAATCGACAATTTTTATATTTTATCAGGTATCACACACGTTTGAGGCCACATGCACGCGAGTTCTTGGCCAATGTTGCTTCGCTGTTCGAACTGCACATTTGTACGTTTGGGGCCCGGACGTACGCTCATCAGATTGCCTATCTCCTGGATAAAGAAGGGAAATACTTCTCCACGCGTATTCTCTCACGCGACGAATGTTTTGATCCGTATTTGAAGACGGCCAATATGAAAGCCTTATTCCCGTGTGGAGATCACTTGGTCTGCATTATCGACGACCGGGAAGACGTGTGGAATTGGGTGCCGAACTTGGTTCGCGTCAAACCGTATCATTTCTTCCAACATACTGGTGATATAAATGCACCTCCGGGAATGGCGAAGGCTGATGATGATCTTCGGTTGACTGGTGTAAAGTTAGAAGATCCCGACGATACTGCGAAGAAGGATGCCCCAGGCTCTTCGACCAGTCGCAGGTGACTGATTTTAATTTTAGCTAGGTTACGATTATTCTTGTACAAATGGGTTTTCAAAAATCGAATCGTGGAGTACTTTATTTTGGGGAGTTTTAGGCACAGTAGAGGTGGAATCTATTCACTAGGCACAGTAGAGGTGGAATCTATTCACAACAAAATTGAAGGTGCCAGAAAAAATCGTTGCATGAAGAATTTTGTTGTAGAAAAATTAGAATTATTTGCTTTTCATTTTACGAACTTTTCCACGAGAAAGTAATTTTCACAAAAAAATTCTGGTGGCCAGATAGAAATCGTTGCATGAAGAATTTTGTTCGTAAAATGAAAAGGAAATTATTCTTATTGCATTCTTAAGGCTTGCTAGTAACTGAAGGTTTGCGTTTCGTTGTTGTCTTAGAGTTGCTTATTGTGCCTTATTAGAAAGTCTGGTTGAAACGAGAACATTTCATTTGAAAGAAAACAATTTAACTACAGTTTTGGTCAATTAGATTTTGCGTATATCCGTCGCCAATTTTTTCTTTTTAATTTCGAGATTCTTCGCAGAAAACCTGTTACATATTTAAAAAAAATTTTGACGCAATGCTTGTCTCCAGAATAAAAAACAGCCCTATGAAGAACAAATCTAGGAAACGTTCTGGCGAAGAAGTTCCAAGCGAAAACTTGCCGACTAAAATGGAAGAAAATGGAAGTGATGGAGACTCCAGTGATGACGAAAATTCTTCTTCCGATTCACAAAATAAATCAACTGAGAAATTGAAAGCAAGTGATACAATTGAGGATTGTGATTTGATCGACAAGAAGCCTATTGGAAAGGGTGAGGCGTTGTTCATGTTTTCGCCATATCATTCGTTTGACTCGTTTCCATTTTCTACTCATTTTTTTTAGCTCTTCTGGATTCAAGCATTGACAATAAGGCAGAAAAAGGTGAGTCTTTTCCCTGGAAGTTTTGTTCAGTCGAAAATACGTCATAAAATTAGCATAACTGTACGATCTGGGAACAGAATTTCGAAAAGCTTGTTGTTTTTATTATTTTGATAATTATTTTCTGTAAATATTCGACCTTCCTATTTCAGATGCGGCGAATGAAAAACCGGAAGGAATAGCGGAACCAAATTCGGAAGGCAAAGGAAAAATACTTGACCCAGAAGATTCGGACGATTACCTTCTTTACCTGGAAACCATTCTTCGTCGTGTTCACGAATCGTTTTTCTCTGCCTATGACGCCTGGTTATCAAATAATTTGGAGAATGGCAGCAAAGGACCCCTGCCAGATCTGAAATCTATCGTGCCTGAAGTTAAGGGTCGTGTGCTCTCTGGGCTGAATCTCGTTTTCAGTGGGGTTATCCCTACACGTAAGCCTTTGAAAGAATCGGCAGCGTATCTGGTTTCCACTGCTTTGGGGGCTAACGTGACAGAGAATATCGTTGATGACGGACCGTCGCGAACAACGCACTTGGTGGCGAGTCGCTACGGAACTGCAAAAGTTCATCAGGTACTTTTATTTTTCATTTGACGAGTAAGATAATTAAAATCGTTTTCTTCGTGCCTTTTAAAACATTCCATTGAGAAGACAGTAAATTCCGTAGATCTTCTCATTTTATGAATTGATAATCGTTCTCAGTCCGCCTTAAAATTTTTGACTTTCAACCGTATATCAGTGACTGTATTCACTTCGGTATACAGTACTTTACTTGATTCGAGAGTTTAATTTTTTCGTCGATGGATCTTTTTTGTGAACTCGTGATTCTTCTTTCCCTGAATTACGCCTAACCTAATTTAACATGTGTCTTAAATTGCGGAGATGTACATGAAACCTCCTCAATAAGAGATGAAATTCTGGACATGTAAGAGTTGTGAAGAATAGTATTTTTGTCTCTGAATATTTCACGAATAGTCTCCCTATTCTTTTTTATGTGTTATATTTGTGAAATAATCCGTGAAAAAAAACACTGGCTAGATAGCGAGGAATGGTCGGTCTCCTGAGCTCTGTGTTTCTTGACGTATCCTGAACTTGACATGAACGTTTAGAAATGCTGCCTCTGTTTACGGGGTGACGATCTGATAGAGGCTTGCTTCTGAGGTTTTTTCCTTATGTGCCCTCCGAAGGTCAAGAAGAAACCAACCATTTCCATTGTAACCCCAGGATGGTTGTGGTGTTGCGCAGAGAGATGGGAACACGTAGATGAACGATTATTCCGTCTGACAAAGGACAATCCCTCGGCAGACGCGGGTCCGCCGGTCGACTTCAAATTATTCCGTAATCATAAGCCACGTCGAACGGATGACGATAATTCTTCGGATTCAGCGGGCTCAGCGGTTTTCGATGAAGGCAAAAACGCCTTCCAAGACTCGCTGAAGAACCCGTACATAATGTTTTCCAAAGAAGAACTGGACGACATGGACAAGGAAGTCGATGAAATGTGTTCCTCGGCGAGTAGTTCTTCAGAGGACGAAGATGGCGAGTCGCAGGATGTGACGGTTGTTGCCGAGCGACAGAAGCAGCGTCGAAAGAGGTTATCGAGGAGTTTGGATGTGGACGAAGATGAAGATATTGCCAGAATCATGGACGAGGAAGGTACCTGTTCCGAAGAAGATGATGACGATTGCAACATGGGAAGGCGAAAGCGAACTAAGGTATTTTTTTTTAGACTAAAACAATGGTTTAGAAGTCGAAGTTCTTCTTTTCGGTTTTTTTTTTTGCCGCGATTTTAGGTGAAAATAGTCAGCGAGCCCCAATGCCCAAACAGTTTTTCCGGCAAAATTAATCGACCCCCAGTTCTGAATCCATTTTGTTATGTTCCTGCACCGAATTGACTTTCTTGTCCTCGATGGCGATTTTCCACAGAATTTTGGCCAGATAGCACATAGATTGAAGTATTGAACTGGTACGACGTGGAAACTTCGATGTCCCCCGTTTACCCACGGAAGTGATGTAGGGTTTTCGTTATTGACATTGAAAAATGAGATTCCTTCTTGTTAAAGCTGCCCCAGAGTTATTCTGACTCATGTAACCATCCGTCAATCCTCAACTAAGATGAAAAAGGTAGGTTGTGTTTCTTGGGACAGATGGTATGGTGTGGATTGGGTTTCTTATGACTTATGAGCTAGCAAATTTTAATTCGATCTTATAGGCTATTTTTTGATCTTATGATCAATCTAGTTTTCTTTTCTGTGGGAAGCTTGTTGTTAATTGGGTGTACGTTTTGCGGTTAAATTAGATTATTTCAGTGTTGAGGCTCTTGGATTATGTCATTCATTTGGTACATTACGTTGTTTCTGTGTTAGTTTATGCGAGTTTTGTGTTGGATTAAGCCAACTCTGTGTTGCAGTAGGTTAGTCAGTGTTGTATTGCATTAGTTAGAATTTGATTGGGTTTCTCCAGTGTTGAATTATTATCGTTCAAGGCTAGTTTTGGTTGGGTGCCATTGTTGCTTCGACGACGCGTTGAGGGATACCTGAAGCTCATTTGTCGAAATGTCAGCTCTTTGATTTTTAAATTAGATTTTGCACTGAACGGCATGCCCAGTTATCTGTTCTAAATTTTTATTGTTAGTAGGCTTCTATTGATGAAATATTCTTACCTTTTTTGCAGGTAAATTTGGGAACTACGACGGATGATAGTGATGTCAACGCGAAATTGTATCCAAAGGAGAGGCTAATGGACGGGTCGTCTAGTGAAGAAGACCTCGATGATGATGATACGAACGATGCCTTGGACTGTCTGGCTCACAAACTCGAAGAAGAAATGGATCATTCATATTAGAAGTCTTTTGTATCTGTTTCCTAAACCTGGCCTGGGGTTTGGGCTGAAGTTGCATTTTCCTCGTCGAAAGCCAGATGAATCAGCGAAGTTATTCGGTTCGATGATTCTTGCGTTCGGCTGACAGCTGACATTGTTGGCAAGGATCTCGCGGTTTTTTTCGGCGACGTTCCCGCTTGTTGGGCGTATTTTTACTTGGTCCGAGAAAGCCGAATACAATTGCGAGGTTGTTAACTGCGCCCAAATCCCAAAATGCTTTCATTTGAGTTTTTCATGCCTTAATTTCCCTGAAATAGATTTTTTGACTTTTTTTCTCAACTCCTTCAGATATAAAAATTTGGCGTTGAATCTCGGCACTGTCACTTGCCTCACAATATGCTGAGGTGTCGTAAATTTCATTTCTGTGGGTGCATCGAAAACCAACTTTAATTTTAAATCGGAATATTCCCTTCAATTTGGGTGTTGGATGATTTTTTATATTTATTCTGCGAACTGTCCGTTTTCTGCATCTAATTCATGACAAAGGATTTAACGTACAAGTTTTGAGTATCACCAAGTTGATGAAAAAATCATTTGATGGACTGAACATCTGAATCCTGATAACTTAGCACTTCGCTTCCAATTCTCAGACATTGATTCCAGTCTTTTGCCTCTTTCGTTCATTAATTCAAATACGATTGAATTCTAGTTAATTTTTATTTACGAATGTTCGTGTGCTCGATACATTCAAGCATATTGTTTGGCAAATCATAAGCGAAATTCACCTGTCCACAATCTGGTGCCTTTTTCAGATTACTCTTCGGTAAAGCCGTCTTGATCATAAATAAATATTCGTGGTTCGGACTATTCGGAGGCTTAGTGGAATTTTCCATGCGTGCAAAGATAATGTATGCGAGCTATGTATGTCTAAGGCGAATTGCGAGACTTCAAGTGTCGGCACGTCAGTGTGCCACTTTCACTGACTTCTTTCCCGACTCCATTGGAGGATCGAAGGACTGCGCAGAAAATATTGCAGATATTCTGCAAATGGACCTTGCCAAAACGGAGTCTATCTTGGAGTCGCATCCTTTTCTGTGGTATGAATTCATGAATCTGAAAGCTTGATAATTTGATTTTCGCTGTTGGTTTTCGATTGTTGTGAACTTCTTCTACGATTGATGACGCGATTTCTGCGGATGAAAGCTGAAGTTCTTCCAGATTTTCTGTTTATCTTGAAAATCAAATAATTTAGCGTCTATGACTGAAACTTGTAGAGTAATTTTTTGTGCATGTGGTTCATCGGATTAAATCGGGAAGAAAATAGTGAAAAAATGTGTCCAACCAAAATCGGAGGTAAAACCCGTTATCGATCGAATGAAAGTACTGTACAGTATTCACTAACCACTTCCCTGAATGTTTTTGAGAATTGATTTGAAGATTTTGTGGGATGTTCAAAAGCATGCTTACCATCTACGCAGTATTTAACAATTTTTTTTATCCCCACTTATTTATTTTTCAAAACCATGCTAAAATAAAATTTTCAGCGTTTTTTTTAAATTCCAAATTTTTCCTTAGAGTCGGGCAACTATATCGTGCTATTTTGTGATTTGTAATGGTATATTCGAGATGTGCGTCATTATTCCCTTCGTTTGCAGTTTATTTAGCATCAGTTTTTTTATGCTCCGCGATTGCCCTCGTATTTTCTGTGACTTGTGATTTTTTAACCACTTGTATCATAGATCAAACCGCATTTCTGGAATCTTGGCTGCTTTTATTTTTAACCTTTTTGTATGAGGCTCGTAAAATTATCTTCTTTTTTTTTTAAATACGAGTTGCTAAATACTTGCATAACTTTAATTTTAATTTTTTTATTTTTTATTTCTTTCAAGGATGAAAGATTTGGATGAGCTTCAAAATAACGTGGAATTCTTGGAGAAACGCGGTTTACGAAGGGGCACTGTAGCCCAGACTCCAGGTATCCTGAACTTCTCCACAAGATCTTTAATTGAAAGAACCCATCTGGTCGAAGAAGCATCGGACTATCAATTATCTGAAGCTTTCCCTTTGTTAAGTTGCACTACAAAAACTCAATTCCAAATTTTTCCTTAGAGTCGGGCAACTATATCGTGCTATTTTGTGATTTGTAATGGTATATTCGAGATGTGCGTCATTATTCCCTTCGTTTGCAGTTTATTTAGCATCAGTTTTTTTATGCTCCGCGATTGCCCTCGTATTTTCTGTGACTTGTGATTTTTTAACCACTTGTATCATAGATCAAACCGCATTTCTGGAATTTTGGCTGCTTTTAATTTTAAGCTTTTTGTATGAGGCTCGTAAAATTATCTTCCTTTTTTTTTTTAAATACGAGTTGCTAAATACTTGCATAACTTTAATTTTAAATTTTTTTTTATTTCTTTCAAGGATGAAAGATTTGGATGAGCTTCAAAATAACGTGGAATTCTTGGAGAAACGCGGTTTACGAAGGGGCACTGTCGCCCAGACTCCAGGTATCCTGAACTTCTCCACAAGATCTTTAATTGAAAGAACCCATCTGGTCGAAGAAGCATCGGACTATCAATTATCTGAAGCTTTCCCTTTGTTAAGTTGCACTACGAAAACTCAGCCCAGACTCCAGGTATCCTGAACTTCTCCACAAGATCTTTAATTGAAAGAACCCATCTGGTCGAAGAAGCATCGGACTATCAATTATCTGAAGCTTTCCCTTTGTTAAGTTGCACTACAAAAACTCTGAGTGAAATGGATGTTCGTCGTTCCACCGATTCCGTCGTGTTGGGTCACAGAAGCCGACCCAAGTACTTCGCTGCCAAGCTCGACCTCGAGCCGAGTTCAGCTTGCAGTTTATTCGTCAAATTTCCCTTCTTGCATCTCGTTCTCCCGATCAAATTGTCGGAAGTTATTGAGCTGCTTCTATCGAATGGCATCGCGAAGCAGGATTTGACTGAAGATCTATGGATTCTGCGTCACAACAAAAGTGTCATGGCAAAAAGGTTGAAAATTGCACGGAAATACGAAGTGACAGTGAAACCATGGCATCTTCGGTGTCCTGAGAAACGCTTCAATGCGTCCATGGAAGTGAACCAAGCTAATCATGTTGCCCGCGGGGATTGCGCTAACAATGTTCAATTTTTGGCCACAGCGTTGTCGTGTTCGGAGGAGGACATACGCGATTATTTTCGCAGGTTCAATCCGTTGAAGACAGTGTCCACGATTAAATTGAAAACCGGCTTGGATGTTTTGTTGAAAGCTGGATTTTCTAAAGCACAAATTTTGAACGGACTGCGAGTTCTAGCGTATGATCCTCAGCGGATTGCATTGAGGCTCACAACATTGAAGAAGAAGAATTTAGAGTATATTCCCGTGGCTAGTTTGGCGTGGCCCGAAAAATTGTTCGCAAAACATTATGGTCTCTGGCGGAAATGATGTGTTAGGTGTCATTTCTCTAGAGATCGGGTCTGCATTACATTTTTCGTGATCCTGCTTCCCAATTGTTGCTTCACTCCCATGAGATCTATTGATTGTGAAGTTGTCACTTCTGGAACGAATTTATGAAAGATCGTCGCTTCAGCGAGAGCTGCGTGTAAGGTTACTTTCTTTCTATTTCCGGAAGGTTGTCCGCGGAACGAACGTTCATTTTTGAATAAAAACGGTTGGAGTTCAAATTTATGGTTCATTACGGTGATCAGTCTTTTTGAATGATTTTTCGAAATAAAGATGTACGTCGAAGGATCAAGTTTCTTTTAATGCAGTCTTCTGTTTTCAAGAAAATTTGCCTTTTCAATGCTTCCAAGACTATGTTATGAACAAAATTCATGAAGGCATATATTGTACTATACATGTGGCCTTGCCCTTTCCAGTTGAAATTTCCTTGAATATCTTCTGGAAAGAATTCCATTGAGTTGTGCCACTGGCTCTATGAGCTAAGGCAATTCTCTGATTTTAGGAGGTCAATCTACAGTGTATGGAGTTTGGCATGTGTGCATATCCAACGTGGAAATGATCCCTGTCTTGGAGATTTCAAATATTGAAAAAAATTTTTGAGCCGAAGCGTCGGATATTATACTGGATATATCTTGCATAAAAATCCTTACACCAAGAAGAGGGAAATTAAGTCAAGAAAATTAGTATTTTTCACTGCTTTATGATGTGCACCCCCTTTTTGAGCCAAAATTCCATGTGCACACAATAAAATGGCTAATTTTGACATTTGAATATCAAGAACTGCACAGGATCGAACAAATTTAATGCAGGAATTCTGATCATGCATTATTCCGAGTTATGAGTAGCTGCAACATATCAGTACAGTACACTCGGTTAGCAAAACAAATATTCTTGCCTTCTCTGTAGGAATGGTAATGAGAGGCAAACATTTAATTTTTGCAATTCTTCATATATTGAGACCAGGAGCCCGACACATCAACTTCCAATTTTGTGTGCAAAAATTCCACCAGCACATAGTTGATCAAGATCTTTGCCAACATTAAAAATAAATCTGTTTTGCACATGGCAGCGTCTCAAACTTTGCTTGAAGAAATGGGTCAAGGTGCAGAATTCTTCTGCCACCAAAATCCTCCACCTCAATGGCAAAATCACTTCAGACCCCGCTGAGGTCAATCAATTGTAATGACTACTCGTCTCACCCATATTCCAGTGTTCATGGGATGAAAAGTCTCAGTAAGCAATCATCATTATGCACTAATGAATATTTTCATTTTTAGCTCTGGATTCAGAGTGGGGAATTGGTGGCAGAACTCCATTTCCAAAAATGACCTCTGCAATTTCCTGCGCGAACGGAGTCCTTTTCAACTCTTGCTGACAACCTCGGGGATTTCCAGCGCTCATGTTTAAAAAAAAGTGGTCCAACAAACGTATCATTGCCAAGCCCTAGTCACATGTTTCATTCATACGGAATAATCCTATCACCCAGTAAGACACCTTCGCAGACTCGCTGAGTTCTTGTCTGTCAATCCAAACCAACCCCTCACGAAGCTGGAATTACGAAAAATTGTCAAGTTTGTTTCTAGAAAAGGAAGATTCGCCACTCACCAAGTCATCAAAAGCCTTCTCTACTCGCTCTAAACTCCAGTTGAGGTTACTGCGCACGTCGGAGAAGAAAATACGTCCGTTTTGATCCACTTTCTCAGCAAGCTGCAACACCTAATAAGATACATTAAAATGCATGCTGTGAGAATCAATAACACGAACTATCTTATACAAACCTGGGTGTGATCCAATGTGAGTTCTCTGGGCACTGACTGGATTAAAAAAGATTTTCCCGATGGAATCACAGTAAAACCGTTGCCCAGAACTTTCAGCTTGGCAATCGCCCGCAACAGATCATCGCTAGTTCGCAAATCAAAATAATTTTGCAATCTTACTTCAATAATTAACAATTCAGGGGGACGCACGAGGTGATATTCTGTGCTTCTCGGCCACCGCGGGACTTGATAACCCGCGTTCTTAGGTCTTCCAAGGGCATCAATCCACCAGTGCGATACGCCAGTGCCATGCACACTTCGACAATCTGCACTGACAACTCGTAGTAAAATTCACCAACTCCAAGCTTTTCAGCCCAAAAACCTGCATCATGAATTGTTCTCGTAGCATTCCTTCCAATTACTGAATATGCAACAAAAGCTAACCTTTCGAAGATGCTAGGGGATCAACTCCAATATCCGCGCACATGTTTTGAAACTGTTGACGGAAAACAGGGTCCTTGCGAATTTCATTGCGATGGTCCGCGGCGAATTTCTCAAGTTTCTCTCGGAAAGAATCCAAGTTTCTGTTCAGCTACTCAGCAGATAATGGACAAATTGGTGTAACAGTAAACAAGTTGCATCACAAGGATGAACATACCTGAGCAAGCTCGGATTCTTGGAGAACAGTTTGTTTATCGCGAAACCGCTCTTGAGCGGCTTGTCGTCCCTTTATTGCACCAATTCCCGATTTCTTCATAACTGTAGGTCAAATTCACAAGGATATCCCATACATAAATTCGTCAGGACACACTTCGAACGTAAATTGTCCAATTCTGGCGCGAGGATTAAGGAAGGAGACCTGAGAGGCCGAGGATTTCTCCGCACCGCCATGACACCTCACTCGCGGAATCCACAAGCAAAAAAGGCGAGCAGCGCTCGATTCCCATTTCGGACTCTCTTTTAAGTGGTAAATGGGAATCGAAAATCTGTAAAGATTGATACATCCAAACTACAATATATTTAAATGCTGTAATCCGATATCGGACAAGTTCATGGGTGAGCGCTCTTATTTCAGCATATATTTTTTGGTGATTGGCTGGTGCTCATGGTTACCATCCAACAGGAACAAAGGCTGTTGGAACCAGAAAGAGGGCCGATCGAGCGTACACTCTCAAACGGGCATGGCGCGTATAAGTGTTGTGAAGCTGCGCTTCCACCCGTCAGTTCAGTTTCGGCTGCGCGTTCCCGAGGAAGGTCATTTTCGTGGTGAAACGCACGTCTCGCGCAAGATTAGATGCCTGGAATTTTTCACTTGGAGGTGTATACGAAGGGTATTTCTTCTCTATGGAGAGGAAGGTATTCTGCGTATGACAAGCAGTGCATTCCCGCGAAAACGCTTTTATAGTTACTTCAAATTCCTTTGACTTTGTATTCTATTTTCTGATGTACAGTAAGATATTTGATGGAAATCTCGTGTGGACGCGTTTCTAATTATTTGTTGTCTGCTTATCGTTTTCAGTTAGAGAAAGAGAGCAATCATGAAATGTTGATATATTTGTCGAAGTTTGAAGCTCTGAAGTTCCGCATTGCGGCGACATGTTCATCCAGTGTCCGGATGATGCGGTTCTCATGAGATTGAAGCTGCGTAGGGCCGTTCAGGCCATTGGACTTTGTGCCTTTGCTGCACTACTAGCCCTTACGATTCTCGTGAACCTCGTTCCTGGTGCGAACGTTGATCGTGGGCCTTTGTTGCTAACCGGTAGCAATAATGACCATCGACCTAAACACCCCAAATTCACTTCGCGACAAGAAAGGGCTCCTCGTTCCATTTCAAACGAAATAGTTGAGGAGTCTTCAGTCAAAGCAGTTCCCGAAACTGATCTTTCGCTGCCTGCAACTGGCATTGCTGGTTTGGACGACGTTTTCATCAGCGTTAAGACCACGAAAAGTTACCATGAATCGCGATTGGACGTGATCATCAAAACTTGGTTCACGTTGGCTCGCAAGCAGGTGAGACCGAAAAGCCCTTGGATATTTTTTCTTCTTGGGTACATGGTCTAATTCGTATTTGAATATTTCGAGCTCCCATATCAGTAAGACGCAAGCAGAATCAAATCCTACCCTTGTTGGCAACTAATTTATTTTGATAACTGTATGCTGCAAATTCTAACACACAACGAAGTAGTAAATAGTTGCTGTGAGCATCATTATCACTGATAGCGGATTTTTTAAACCGTCGTGCATCCAATGAGAAATTCCGAATACTGCTTCAAGGTTTAGATTTGAATATTTTCAACGCAGTATGTTTTTTGTCTTGGCAAACAATGTTGTTGCCCCTTGCACATTTGTAAGTAGTGCACTGTGCTGTATTAATGCAATAAGAGTCTCTTTCGGCTCTAAAGTTAGCATTTCGGTAAATTGCGGAAAATGTATCATACTACAGTACTGTAATTGAATTGTCTTGTATCTTTCCGATTTCGAATTTTTCAATGAAGCTGATGAAGATTTGGCTAAGATTTTTATAAATTAACATGTTGGAGTTATAATTTAAATTCAACGGATTCCGAAGGCAGCGTTGTTCGAGCATCTGCGAATATTTTTCTGTCGCATGAAATTCATTGTTTTACCATAATGCATGCATTGATACTGTATCTCGAAATACTTGAACCATTGCTATGTAAAGTTGAAGAAAATCTTTTGATGTATTTACTCTATTTTATTTTCCGAAAGATGCGAAGTTTGTGCTTCTCATATTCTGGATTTTTTTCGCAAACTGTGTCAATTATCTAAACATGTATGGTTGTTTTTTGCCTTTTGGATTCTCTTCCCTGTCATAAGAGTACGGTAGATTGTGTTTGGGTTTATTCTGTGCGGTCATTATCTGTGTTTTATGGTTGAAACATATATCGAAGTTTTGGAGGACTTTTTTCTTTGTTTGCCAAGCATGAGAAGTGAAAATTTTGGATAATCAAACTTTTGGTATCGCGATAATGATGCATGGAATAACTCACCTTGTCCAACACATGGACACATGCCGAGAAGTGATGACATCTGCGTGGCACCACTGTGTTAAACAGTATTCCATTATGTAACGAAAAACATTTCAAGACTCATACTTAATGAGTTGCAGTCCGCAAGGATTTCGGAATTGACTTGGTTTATTTCTAAAATTGAAAATACCCATTGAGATTTTATAAATTAGCATAATGGAGTCATAAATTAAAATTCAACGGATTCCGAAAACAGCGTTGTTCGAGCATCTGCGAATATTTTTCTGTCGCATGAAATACAGTACTGTACAATATTTTACCATAATGTATGGTAAAATATCCTGAATTTTTCAACTGGGTAACTCACGGGGTTGGTTCCGAATGCTCAAGAAATGAAAATCGATTGGGGAAAATGTAGGAAAGAACAATTTCCCAACAGTGCGTCGCCACTAAGAACGTTGAGAAAACTAAGGTTTGCTGACTGTTTTTTGTTTCTTTTTCGCAGACATGGTTCTTCACGGACGCCGAGGACCCTGTGTATCAGGAAAAAACTGGTGAGTGATGAAGTTTTATTTTTGCGGCATGACAGGCTCGATTGATGATAGCATGGGTATGGGTCGTGGGAGAGGTGCGGGGATTCGGGAGCGAAATTACTGGAGAACAGGTGTTGGTTGTTACCGGGCGGGCGAGCTACACGCGAAACGAGCGCCAGCTGGCGCTTATAGGGAGCACCATATAGAGGGAGAGAGAAAAATACGTGCTAAGGGTGGATGTGGTGCACTGAAAACTACTCGGATGCGGTGTAGCATGGGTAATTTTATTCCCCGTAAGTCCGGCGATGACTTGAAATCGTCTCTTAACGCGGGAAAAGTACGAGAAAAAATTGGATGTGACGATAAATATGTAATATTGCGGTACAGATTTTTAAAAAACATTTTCTAGTAATAAATGTAAATTTTAGCTGCAATTTTTTCTATTCCTAGCAAGAAGGTTCCATGGCTTGCCCAACGTTATGAATTTTGCGAGAAAAATATGGTTTTCAAATTTTATAGCGTATTTCGTGCCTAATTCAATTTATCAATGCAGTTTTTTATTTGCTAAAAGTCAAGTGAAAATCAATTTTTTCTCATCGTTTAACATTATGCATTTTGAGAGAAAATATGGTTTCAAACTCCTCATCGCATATTTTCGCGCGCAATTTTAATTTTTTAGTGATGTTCTTCTATATTTTCTAAAAAAAATGAAATTAATTAACTCATTCGCGCCGTAATTTCTATCCGCAAAAAGTTTCAATGATCAATAATATGTACCGCTTTTTTAGTTTGGTCATTGAGAATTATTGAAATATTTTGGCTAACCCCGAAAAAGGTTGCCAAAGTTTTATAGTTGAGTGACAACGGTAATTGTAGAAAATTAAATTTTCATACAAACTTAATTTCCACCCGTCGCAATTTTTTGAGTTAGACTAGTTCCCCTTGATGATTTCATTCGTAACGAAGTCTGGTTATTGTTAATCTTTGAAATACAGTATTCATGTTGAACCTTAAAATGCAAGCTACAGTTTCAGCGACAGAAACGTGGTACAGTAATTTTGACAAATTACCCAGTTTATTGACCAAACCATCGCTAATTTGTCGGGTTAATATTGCATTCATGACATACATGCGACAAAAAAATTTGGTCATTATGATTTGTTGAAATATGCTGGTAAAATTAGACGATGGTGGCTAATTTTTCAGGGTAGAAATGCGGTAATTTTGACAGATTTGACGAATTTATTGCCCAAGCCATCGCCGTTCTGCCGGGTCAATAATATTTTCCCTCCGCCACCGCCATCAACAACCAATGAGTCTTGCGTGCGCCACGAATTTTGACGCGGTCTGCGCTGAGTAATCGTCTATCTGGCACAAATTTTCTCTTTGATATAATTCTTGAGGTCTCCCATCGGGTGTCTTGTGTTGTTCTGCAGCTGCGTTGGACACTTGGGAGTCGGTTCAAGGTTTGCGTGTGCTGGTGCAGTAGTTGAACACAAAAGCTTTTGATCGAGATTTCGATAATGTAAATCGGTAACGAGCGTGCAGACGAAGCGAAGCTTCATGGATAACGTTCCGGAGAAGAAAATAAAAAGGTCATTGTTGATGGCTAGGGCTGATTTTGTAACGCTGCAATGTACCGCTTTTGTTTCTACATTATTGATTTTTACTGAGACAAATTAAGTACGGTACTGTACGCACATGAATGCCGGCTTCGAATTTAACTTTCTCACGCCGCGTTTCAATTCTAAAATTTCCCTATCATTTTGGCAGCTACAAGGGCCAAAAATTGTATTGAAGCATTGGAAGGACGGATTTTAATTCCTTCCACGCCATGAAGAGTCAGCTTGAAAAAATAAATCTAACAGGATCTACTCAGACACTTATGAAATCAGAGCGCAGTCAAAACGTATTCCGAGCTTACTTTGGTTGCGTCTGAAGAAAACCTGAATAAATCAGATTGAAGCGTTTTTATTCAAAATGAGAAAGTTTTGAGAAAGAAATGCTGGCCGAAGATCTGATCAATGACGAAATGTGCGCCTTAGAGCAGAATGAAAATGATTCAATGGGACGTTATGTATGAACAAATAACGATATTCGACCTCAGCTGTCGTAAATTAATCCTGTATAAGTGAAATTTTTCTTTGCAAAAAATGGGCTTTTCATTCAGAAAATTCCCCATTATTCATGAAGCTTATTTTCTCATGTCGGCATGGTAATCTTGATAAAATCAATGCATCTCTCAATTCAGAAAAAAATTTGTATTGCGAAAACGAATTAAAGAATTCGTGAAACGTTTATGTGACATGAGATACTATACCTGTCAGAAATTAGTTCGAAGTCTACGCGACGCATGTTCCAAGGTTAGTTGATGAACGGAAGGATCCCTACTTGAACTATTATTGCGAAAGTTGAATGACATCTGGACCATGATTCACTTCTTAGCATGATTAAAAAAATTTTCCTTTACCCTTTGAAAGCCATTTAGATGTGATCGTCTCACTCAGAACAACTGTCTCACCCCTTTTCAGCGTAAAGGGACTGATCAAGAAAATATCAAGTCTGCGAAACAAATCTCCAAAATTTAAGAAGAGTCCATACTTTAAAAATTAATCGAATGTGTGAAATAAATCTGGTCAAATTTTTTCTTCGTCGCATGACTTTAATTTTGTGAAAAAATTACTGTTGGAACTTGGAAGCCATTCAAACGGAGTTAGCCAAAATATTTCAACATTTCTCAATAACCAAACTTCCCATTGAATGTAGTTCTCACAATTCATAACATTGGACAAGCCGAATAAAACATTGGTGTTCACATATTATTCATCATTGACAATTTTTGCGGATAGAAACTACGGCGCGAATGAGTTGATGAATTTCATTTTTTTAGAAGATGTAAAAGAACTTGCACTAAAAAATTAAAATTGCGCGCGAAAATATGCGATGAGGAGTTTGAAACCATATTTTCTCTCAAAATGCATAATGTTAAACGATGAGAAAAAATTGATTTTCACACCCCCCCCCCCCCCCCCCCCCCCCCCCATTCTGCCGAAAATGGGCTCATCAGGATAAATTAAAAGTTGAAGAAGACACAGGAGCCGGCGTTGAATCGTACGTACGTACCCACGGCCCCTCGTGTGAACACGTCGCGTGGGAAAGGGCCGGACAAGAGGTTGATTTTCTTGACCCCGGTGTGGCTCGCCTTGACCTTTTCGCCCTGCTGAGACAACGGCCTGTCCCGCCGTATGATTTTGCGGTGTGGGTATGTCTGTGTAGAGAGCATTTTGACCGATGCCCGAGGTAAAAATAAAACTTTGCGAGAGAGCGAGAAGCAAACGGCGTCAAAAATACATGCTTGTTGGTCTTAATCCCGTCCATGCGGGTTGTTCCTAGCTATTCCCACGAACTTTGCTCTCAGCACTTGGTCCTGACTTGAAATGACGCGTGATATTGAGAGATGGGAATTATTTAAAATTTGAATAATCTGTGTACAGTATATGTGTATAATGGAATTTCTGAGCTACAAGTGGCTGTCTTGGTGTGTGGGGAATTTATTTTTCGAATTAAATAACACCCCAGCGATGGTTTCTGTGCGCGATGATTTATTGAACGCGTGCTTGGAAAATTCTCCGTCTCCATTATTGTTTCCTTCGGTAATGTTAATTTGAAGAGCAGAAGAATCAGCTTTCAGTGTCTTCAACTTTCCGAAAATGTGGGGAACAACTCGAGTGTGATCAACGCCTGTTCAGAAAATTCTGTTGATGTACAGGAAAATATTGTGATCACCCTTTTTTATATTGTACCTCTCCTGAGAAAATAACTACCTTACGTGTATTCTGAGATCAAATTAATCGCATATTTTTCTTTATCAGTTTCGATTATTTTTATTTTAGAGCGTTGCGTGTAAAAATAAAAATGGCTGGGGCGTTTTTTTTTCAGGTAAATTTTCTTCTTCTCATGAAATAATTTGATTTAAATAAGTTGTGATTTTTGCTTACGTTGATTTCAGAGAATTTCGGGAGCAAGTCTAGAAAAGGTGATTTCTATTCCTCAAGTTTTGTGAACACCGCTGATGTGCAGAAAAATAATTTTCAGCTCTATGATTTCCTTCAAGGATCTCTTGACAACTCGATCCCCCTGAAAACCCGACATCGCCTCAAATTTCGGTCAATTTAGGCCGGCTTTAATTTCCAGAAAATTGTCAAGAGCTACCCGAGAATAACTTCTATCCCGCAAGCTTTCTGATTTAAGAATGCCGCTCAGGTATTAAAGCATTTTTATATTCGACTTTTATCATTTCTCAAGGATCTCTGGACAACTCGGGTTTTTAAAAAAAGCCCTCGCTGGGGGGAATAAAATTCCGTGTTACACAAGTCACTCCAGTCTCATTACGATCATAAGCTCTGGTTGCCAAGGACGATGCGCAAGCAAGATTCGGTCGCCAAGTTAATGCATTTCCAGTGTCGCCTAGGTGGTCATTAGGACTGGGATGTTGTTGTTTGTCCTAATTGGCGTTTCCAACTGTCTCCCGGGATTAATTTATTTCCTTTCCCCGCATCATCGTCTGTCAACAGGTGGGCACATGATCAACACCAAGTGCCAGCCGTCGCACAACCGGAAGGCGCTGTGTTGCAAAATGTCCGTCGAGTTTGACACTTTCCTCGACAGCGGCAAAAAGTGAGTCTTGCTTTCTTGAAATCAATCTGGTGCTGTTGTACAGTACCGCGTTTTCTTGTGATTGAGGCAGAAGTTGGGAACATATTACGCTTTCATCATGAGTCAGAGCCCCAAAATTGAACTTTTTGATCGGTCAAAAAAAAAAAAAGAGAATAAAGCATGCAACGTAATTGCAAGTACTTTTCGGGAGCAGGATAACCTTCGAGAACAGGGCACGATCAGTTGGATAACCCGGAGAAATTACTTCAAATATTTTTTCTCCTCAGCATTTGGGCCTAAATGTAGTCTTCTCATGAAGATTGGTCATATATTAGCGTTGAAAAATAAACAGAAAATTAATCAGCCAGGATTAAAATGTACTGTAATGTGTGTGAAACATTTTGAAGTTGGAGATTTTTTTTTTTTTCGAGTATTGCTCGTGTAGGTTCACTGGGGGATAATGACGAAATAGAGGACAATTTTATGAAAACGAGAAATTCGGTTTGAAAAATGTTTTTGCTCCAGATTGAAAGAACAATTGAATCGTTTCTCATTACTTTGTACAATTTTGACCTTTTTTTCTTGAGAAAATGGGCCACTGATTCTCATGATTGTAGGTCTTGCGTTCAGACCGAGAAATAAAAAATAAATAAAATTAATTAACTAGGATTGGAATGTATGAGAACGTTTTGAAGGTGGGAAGTTTTGTCGTGTGGAATGTTCACGGAGAATCAGTGGTTAAGAATCTAGTCAAGAGACGATTATTTAAACGAAGGAATCCGATCTGATGAATACAGTATTCTTTCTCTAGGGAGAGAACAGGATTTTTTTTTTCGTCATCACGCATTTTAGTCTGTACAGTCGCCTTTTTTCTATCTCTAACTCAAGTTTTATGAGGGTCGTTCTTACATTCTGCAGAGAAATCATTGATGAGGATTGGAATGTGTATTTACGCTTTTCAAAGTGGAAAACTTGTTCTTTGGGATGTTCATGGAGGATCAGTCGTGAAATAATTTCAAGGAAATATTCTGTCACGGTCGTGGTTTCCAGTACCTGTACTGAAGTATTAATGTGTTTATATAGTGGGCGAAATATATTGTCTTGAGAGAATGAAAGCAGATAACAAATCCAACTTCAGTTCACCGCAAACTGCCATTATTTCTCTGCAGAAAAATGCCAAATTTTTTTTTTAGTTCAGTACTAAAACTTTTAACGTCTCATCAAACGTTAATAGAGTATATTTTACAGCATTCTTGGTATGTTGTGAACGACTCAAAGTAAGATCTTACTTAGTTTGAAACTGTTCTTTTGTGAGCTTCGGCGCACCCGAAAAAAAAAAAAAAAGATTCTGCCAGGGAAGGCCAAGCTTCAACGTATTACAGTTTAATCTTCCTGCGTCGATTTTTTTTTCTAGTTCCTGTCTGAATTCCCTTTTTTGTTGGCTAAAATATATATTTTCGAATCAACTGTCAAATTTTCACCAGCAGTGGAAGAACCTTAATGTAAATGCTTGCTTCTATCCATGACGAATCATGGCAGTGAACTGATTTGTAGTGCACTAAATATTGTGAAATTCTTATGGCTATTGTGCGTGGATCCACTTTTCAAAACAAAATATTTTGTCTCTCCTGCTTTTTATTGTCTACTGGAGACGTTGAAATGTGCTTGCATTTGGTGGCAGCTTCCTCGTAGTAGATATATTTTTTTCTACATTCTTTACCTCCTATTGCATCTCAGATACAGTACAATTATTTGAGAAAAGATTGTTGCTGATCTAAAGTAATATTCCTGAAATCTTTAATGCTTCAATCATTATTTAAACCATTATTATTCAACCATTATTTAAAATAATGTTCGCGGGTACTCGAGTAATAACGTTAGTTACTGGAAAATCACGCATTCCTCGCATTTTGCGAGGTGTAATTATGCATCGTTAAATCTAAAGTCGGTAGTCATGCGGCGTTTGGTCGGTCACGAAACAATACAGCACCGATTTGTTTCCCGTCTCAGTTTGGTTTCCAGTACCGATCATGTTTAGTATGTATTTTTGTCGCGCTTTATTGTCCTTGACGGGGTAGAGTTCAAGTGTGGAGGGAAGAAAAAAAATAACGTCGGAGCCGTGAGAACGTAAACTCAACCAGTTCGGTCTTCCTTTTTTCGTTGCTGGTGCGAAAACGTTTCCGCCGTGGCCGAGTGTTGATACTCGGCGGGGGTCGTGATGAAATTGCTCTGCAAAGATTTGCTCCAGGGTTCGGCGAAACCACGAGTCAAAGCGGGGGTTCGTACACAAGTTGGGTTAATTTTTTTTATATCATTTTCCTTGTGTACTCGATTTCGGTGCAAATTTCTTTCCACCTCACTTGATCTTACTGCGCCTTATTTCTTCTGAAATGGTTGTGTTGGAAATTTTTCTTGGCAAAGATTTTCTGTGGAGTTGGACGAACTCAAAAGTAGAAACAGGGTGAAAGTTTAGTTGATTTTATGATTTCTTTCGGTGCCTGTCTCTGTACAAGTTGTTTACAGAATATTTTATTCGGACAAAGAGCTCGCTTTTCTCCTGAAAAAAAAGAGATCAATTACTGTATTAAGCAACGATATGCTGTGCCTAAAGGTTCCTCGAATGTCAGTGGAATTAGGGTTATACTCAAGTTGCGTCACTCTTTCTATACGAATCTCGGTGAAATTTTTTTCATCTTATCTGATTCCGATATGAAACGCGCTTTTCTTTTGAAATTCTCGCTTTGAAATCGATCTGCGAAAATTGTATTTCTAGATTCCATAGTAGAAGTTGTTTTCATGATATTTTTCTCTGAAATAAATCGCAATGTTCCCCGGAACTGCTCGCGATAGATTTTTCTGCGACGAATTTATATGTCCAAGGGTTTATAGAAACTCATAATGGAAGTAGGATTCTTATGCGAGACTTTTTTTTCAATTTTATATTTCATCAAATTTTTGTACTCGTACCGGTGCGAATAATTCTACCAGTTTTGCGCTTGACTTGTGCCTTAATAGCGACACGGGTATAGGAAGTAAAATTTCGTGAAGCGAAGTCAGCAATTCCCATTGAGATGGTGTTTGTCGAAAAACATACCTGAAAAATGCAGTAATTCAAATCTTATCCTTCCTTTGCGAACTATCAGAGAACATAGATGTTTCTTGAACAAAATGGCATGTCAATTGCATTTTTGGACTGTCCTGGTTCTGACATCTTTCGAATCCCATAACTTCACAAAACATGAGTCGAGCTCAAAACACGCCTGGACGAAGGAGGAAATTATTATTTTTTTGAAACCCAAGATTTTGTTCAGCTTTTCTCCTATTTAACGTGAGGTTCCCACGTTTATGTTTCCCACCGACATAATTAAACCATCTCGAGACTGTCAGCTAAAAGGGGTTTAATGAAAATGATGCGCAGTTGCTCAAGAATAAATGTAACCGTGTCAATTGTGGTGTCCATCAGAAAAATACGAATTTACCCCATCTGCATCATCGGTTTTAGCATTCTGATTTCTCGATGCAATGCCTGTATTTTATCCTCGGAGGAAAAAATGTCGAAATGAAGGAGAAAAACAAATTACTGTACTATTTAGTATTACAAGTCGATGGTCGTTTTTCTCGTGGCTTTTGAAGGTCTTTTTCCTTCACGCGATGCATTTCTGAAAATTTTTCCGGCGTTTTCCTCCATTTCCCGATCGCAATATTTCATCCCCGGCGGAACAATCTCGAAAAATATGAAAAACCAATCTCCACGGTCGAGTGGATGAAGTTCTTTTCTCATCGCCTGGATGAGTTTTTCATGCGTTAAATTTTTGAATCTTCCTGCCTTTTCTTGCACAAAAAAAATGAAGGAACTTTCAGCAGCTTGTGAGATAGCTTTGGGAAGAGCTGGGGGGAAGAAACGCTTCTTTGCGGAAGAACCGTTCAAGCATTTCGTCCGGTATAAGTAATAGGCTCTTGACTGAGTCACACGTGGGGCCGTCACAAACTTCATGAAAACCTTAAGAGTATTGATTTTTTTAAAATCAAAATGAGTTTTTGATATTTCTGGACATAATTGCCACCAGGCTTTACACATTCTTCCGCACCGTATTGTATTCAATTCGGAGACTCTTCTGAAATCGTTTGGTTCGGAGAAAGAAACGCTTGGAGTTGCAATTTTTCGAAACTACGCCCCTCCCCTCAAGGAATATATTTGAAATTTAACAATTTTCGGGTTCCCTCGAAGCTTTGTCTTGAAAACAGAGGAAAAATGATCTTGGCATCGCAGCCTCCTCATCTTTTTTGAAAATGCTCTGGTGAATCCGAAATAATTTTTTGGAATAATTTGAAAGGAGATTGGAAGAAATGTGTCAAACTTGATTGAGATTGTGTTCGGGAAAATGTTCAATTCACCGGTTTTCGGGAGTGCGGTTAGTTAACAAGTAATTTTAGGATGTTGAATTTTCGTTCGGAAGAAAAAGGGAATTTTTTTTATAAAATGACGCCTCCTCTTCTTGAAGAAAAAGTGAATGGAAAAAAATCACTCTACATTTTACGTATTTGAGGTTAATTACTTCTCTTATCTGCCTCTAGAAAGCATATGCTGTGTACGATTTAAAAATAAAATCTTCCAATAAAAAAGTATCATATTGTGATCTCCACTTTTGACAATTTTTCCATTTTTATGCCATTCCTTGGATTTAGAAAACGGAGACATGGGTTAAAATTGATGGAGAGTATGTTGGGACATTTTTTTTCAATTCCGGACGAGCATAAGGCTCAATTTTGAATAGTTCAATGCTACAAGTTTTACCCGAACTTTCGTGACTCCTCACGTACTTCCTAGGTACCGTGAGAAAGTACTTGTGGATATATTTTCCTGCTTGGGGGGTTTTTTTTTTCCTCATCTTCACCCTCTTTGTCGTCGTCTTCTTCATCTTGGGGAAGGCTTCTCCGGATTTTGATGCTGGGAAACGCGAACGTCGCCGATCTCACGTTTTCCAGCACTGCCGGGGCACCCCTAAATGCAAATTTTTTCGCGGC